ACCAGCCAGGGATTGAACCCAGGACCTCTGCCTATATATGGTGGTGCTCCAACCAACTGAGCTACCAGCCCTTGTACTAATGTCAACTCATGATGTGTGTTGTCTAACAAGGCTAACAGGCTTTGAGCTTGACTATTCCAACAGTAGCATGGACAGGTGTCAAAAATGAAGTGAATATTCAAAAGACTCGCCTTTGCGCCACACAAGCACAGTGCCACATGGAATAGTAATCAATATTGCCTTTTTCAAACTTGTGGCTGATAAGCACCACTTCTATTAGGCAATCCAGTCGTGCTCACCTTTGCTTTCCATTCGGTACTTTCTGCATTTTGGCATTTTGGCAAATTTTTGCGTCGCCACTGGCTACACATTGTGCCCTTGGTTTTATTGTTCTCCCTTACCTTTTTTGCTTTACTCAGTCCCACCATGGGTCCCTTACTCTCTTTTTTATTCTCACCCGACGGTCGCTTTTGGATCCCTATTCTAGTCCATTTCCTCGTCACCTCCACCCTCCTCCTACTTGTCTTCTTTGCTCCCCCACAATACCTGATGTCACCACTCTCTATCTGCTTCCATCACCAATCCGTCGACCATCACGTGCCACTGCTGAAATCAGCAAAGCCCCGGCGGCTGGTCCAAATTGGGCAACAGGTCCATCTTCATGATGTCGATTTTCCATTGTACACTATCAAATCATCAGTTGCTTGTCTTGCCTGGTTGGAATGTGGGTGGGTAGTTTCCGAGCTGGAGAAGCTTCATTCCCTTGTGTTGCCTATGTACATCACTGTCCCATTCACTTGGGTACATTTATCCTTTGTCCTTTGTCTTCGCTACAGCTACACCTACCACACGCTGCCTGGGACTTACTTGTTCCAAATTGGAACTACTCCTCTCCCTCCCTTGTTTGACCAGGTGGTCCAATACAGCCAGTCCATTGGTAAGGCCATGGAACCATCAGATTTGGACTAGGTGGTGAACCAGTGGCTCCAGTTCCTTTTTTTTTTCAGCAGAGCATTCATTTACAGTGCAATTAATTTTGATTTTTGAGTCATTTCTATGGACACATTTTTTTAGAATGCCTGACTGACAATAAAGGAATTGTGTTGATACTGATATTGTTTTGCTTTACCTTTTTTTTACTGCATTTTCCCATGACTTCATGATTTTCTTGCTCTCTTTCTGTTATTGGACTTTATTTTATGGCTGTACAAACCTGTGACATCACTTACACAGCATTTATTGTTCTATCCCTTTTTTTCCCTTATTTTGACGATTTTATCCTGTACTACCTACGCAGGGTTTGTCAGCATACATTCCTTCCTTCATGTTCTTTCTCATTCTGTTTGCACAGCTATACTGTGCATAGCCTACCTTTCTTTTACTATATAAACCCCTGTATTTTACCTAGTAAAAAAACAATAAGAACTCCAATCCAGACTTTTTCTCTAATCTCAAGTTCACTACTCTGCTACTTGTGATCCAGTGTGGTCACAACACTTCCCACTGCTACCACTGTTAATTGCTATCATTGTCACTTGTTACTTTTGAAAGTCATTATCATCCCTTTCAATTAGAGTCCTTCTGAACACTACAGTCTGTGCGTCAGGAGCCTGCTATCACTGGGAACCTTGTCACCTTGTCATCTTGTCATTCTCAAACCTACCTTGTGCTACAATTAGCAAGGTAGTGCTGGTCTATACTCGTCATAAAGCCCCTATCTTCTATCAATTCAACTATCCCTCCTCCTCAAAAGCCACACCTATACATCTCTGGGTTTGACTTTGAAGAATTGTCATACATACCACCCCATGAACAATCAGAGCACCCACTGTTCTAGGAAGCAAAGCCCATAAACAAGTTCTGTGGAATCTGGGAGGATTGTGTGTTAGTTTGTTTTGTGTGTGGTTTTTTAACAACAGTTCTCATCATCAACATTGACAGTAGAAGAGCTTACATGAGACAACAACTCTGTATTGAGTATTGGAGCAACTTTGCTCATGGGACACTTGCAGATAGAATCCCTGGAATGACACTTGAGGAAGAGTTGCAAGAGTGGAGAGAGAGAAGCAGTCAAAGCCTTCCTGCATTTAGGGGACCAGACAGTATGCAACAATGCAAGGAATATCCTTGCCCAATGAGTGTATCTCACTCCCCTCCCCCAGATTTGCTGTCCCTTGCCTCAACAACGGGACATCCATTTCCAGGGCAACACCACCCACATTTGCCGCAGCAGCCTCAACCAGAATCTCACCCATCATTGCCAGATCTCATTCTACCCACGCCTGCTCCACCATCCCCACCACATTCCTCTATAACTGACTCAATAGTCCCCGTAGCCAACGCAGTAGAAGAATTGCAGGGCATATCAGCTCCTATGCAACCAACAATGCCCCTCCTCCAACTCTCTCGACCCCATTGCAACTGCCGACTACGCCGCCAGTGCCCAGAGCCGGTACTCCTTATCCCTTTGGGTTGCACACCTTGCGTGCAGCAAACAAACCGGAGGTTGACTCCCACGTTGAACAACAACTTGTCTCTGGATGGAAGGTTGTTGAGGACCAATTAAGATGCTGCACAATCCCCTCACTGTGGGAGCAAGAGGCCCTCACCAATTTCTGATTACTCCAATTCCACTCACTCACCTCTTCCGGATGACAATATTGCCCTCATATTTGACATTACTATGCTTGTCAAGAATATGATCATTGTGTCATTTACTGTTGTTACCATACTTGTTCTGTATGTGGTCTAGATGCGCCCGCACACCAAGCTAATGAATGCAACTGGCAATGCAACTGGCAATGCAACTTACCCTTTGTAGCAGATAATTGGGGATTAGACAACGAGCATAACGACCTTGACAAAGACGCACAGTACAACGTAGATGGAGAACTAGGAGACTTTGGAGCAGTCTGAACCTAAAAAGGGGGTAATGTTACAAACTGTGTTCTCTGCAGACTTCACTTCCTTTCTAAGTAGCTATACACCGCTACTTACCTTTACTTTCCCACATACTGTTACCTATTATTATTTCACTTGTCAATGTTTGTTCAACACAAACACCTACCCTAAAGTAGACAAGTATATATATACACCTGTATTGTAGTTACCATATGATTGTACACTTCAACAGTGTAACTTGGTATTCATCAGTTTGAACCTCATTATCAGAATATGTCTCAAACCCATTTATAAACAGGCTTATCAGAAACTACTTCACATCCAGAAACCCCCCGTGTTACCAGACTTGCACATTCCAAGCATAACACTAAGAAAGAGAAAGATGAAAACAAGAGCCTCTTCCTAGCAAAGTGGGAAGATATGTCTCATTTCACAACACTACTCCCACCAGTAGGAATTCACATTATTTAATACATCTGATTGACACACAGTTGGCCTCCTGTGTATTAGAGAGTTATTGCTGACATACATGTAAAATCATGTGACAGGCAATCTCATAAATTTGAAACCATACAGTATATTGTTTTGTTACTACAGCCAATGATATATATTTTTCATAGTTTATAAAGCTTTTGGATGCATTTTTATAAACAGATGGCAAGTTTAACTGGGCTATCTGTGAAAGAAACACATACAGTTCTGTCTTCCTTGTAGTGACTGTAGGTTTCTGGTGAGGAGTAAAGTGGGTAATTCAAGTAATAGAAAGCTAAGGAACTATACATAAATGTGTAAGGCTTATATAGCTAACTGTTTATCCCTCAGACCGAAAGAGGAATAAAAGGAAAGTGGCCTGAGGAAGAAATCAACCAATGAGAAAAAAAATAACTATTGTATGACTTTTAAAGATCAATCAGCAGGTGAGAGAATGTACTAATAATAAGTGTTGTTACGCATGTTCGGGAACCATATCCTCATAGTGAGGTATGATCCTGACTAGAGCATTTATTAATATCTCCAGGCACTGATGGGGCTTGGAGCTGGTTGGTGAGATCTCTACCACCGGCCCTTACCCATTGTGCTGGCTGGCTGGGAGTGATACCCAGTCTCTAATCTGCGATACAAAGTGGTAACGATGGTTAAGGAAGCCTGTGAGGGCTATGAGAAGTAAGATAGCAAAAGATACCTCTAGCCCTAGAGCCAGAGGTGTAATAGGAAAAGTGTTCAAGAACTAAGACATGGAGCGAGAAGATAAGAAAATAATAATTGGTCCTTACAAATGTCTCTCAATCTTTAGGTAGCATTTTGAGTAAACAGATAAAGAATCAATCAACTGCTAAAGAATATGTACATCATGAGTGTCCTATATATACTATGGGGAAGTCAGCCATGAGGCGCTGACCGAGAAACATGTGTTAGCCTTGAGGCGCTGACTGATGATGACATCATGGTCCGGACTTGATCTGTTTGGGTATTATATTATACTACTACAGAGTATTTGTACATATGTACTATACAGTTGATGAAGGCAGTGGCTGATGATGTCATTGGACACAGCCTGTGTGACCAGCTCCACTATGTGAGAGATTTGTAGCCAAGAATAAAGAAAAGCAGTGCAGCGCAAGAACATGAAGTGTGAACAAAATGGAAAGTGCCACATGGCACAGTGTGTGAAAACTATGAAAGAAAGTTAAAGTGGAGAATAAAATTTAAGGGTCCAAAAATTGTGTATCGTAACAAAAAGGTTGTTTAATCATGTGGTTTGTGCTAGTGAAATAGTAGTAGTTGTATCATTGATATTTATAGCAATGCTTTGATCCAAGTATAAGTTATGTTGGAGATTTCTGGAAGTGGCTGCAAGGTATTGCACCAGATTGCAAGCCCACAATTAGCGGCACCAGTTGCAATTGATTATTGGGAAAACCCTTATCTTTGCAATGCAACTATAATCTAATTGTAATCACTGGGTCTGAAACCTGTAATCAATTGCAATTAATATTGCATCCCCTTTAGGAGTATCTGAAAAACAATATTTTTTTGGCTTTGCAAGAGGCAAAATAAATTACAATAATTTATTCCAATTGTAAGTATGGTATTTGTACTTACAGGGATTTGAACCCGCGACCACCCCACTTGCAATAGCCATTGCAACCAGGTGTTTTTTTGAATATAACCACTCCACCAATGGGCTGACATTACCATAGAAGTGTACATCAATATAACTAATTGTTCTGCTGGATTGCTTGTAATGTACTTATGAAGTGATTGCAACACCACACAAGTATCAGCAAAGGTTGATTTGTAAAAAATATGTTAGAGTATGAAATCAAATAGCTACTTGGTACAACAAGTGCACTTTGTAATAGTGGTACCAATTTCAGTACTACCTGTAGCTACTTCTGCAGACTTCCCTTTACCACTTTGACCCTTCTTGGTTTTCATCACTAGTGCATTGGTAATATTATCTCTGGGCTCCTCCTCTAAAATATCAACTCCATTAGTGCCAATGAGCTTGCGAGAGAAAATGACATCAGTAGATGAAACATTAATCTGCACTGCAGATGGTGCAGCAGTTGCCACTACTACTTCAGTATCATTGTCATCAGAAGAAATATCCATTTTGGTCATTGCTTGTTCAACTTTTTTGTTATAGTGATCTTCTTGCCCTGCTATAACTGCCTGCATAGTCTTGCAAGAAGAAAAAATATACCAGTCAAAGATTTTGTATATCTCTTTGACTTGTTTCTTGTCAGCTTTCATAATGAGGATTTTTGTGTAGTTGCAGAACAGGTAAAAGTACTTTAAACCTGATTTAACACTTTTGCCATCATGTGGAAATTCTTCGTCAGGAGAAACTAAGAAAGCAGCCTATATAGCAAGATCAGAATGACAGCTGCTCAGAATAGTCTACTTTTAACTCACCACAACCGCTCCACATGCTAGAGATCCTGGAGTATTCATAGTGACATCCCATGTTTTTGCATTACTTTTACCACCAGCATGGCCACCCTCAAGTGACTTTGGTCCATGAAATGCGACTTTGAGAATCTGAGCAACAATGGTAAGTCAGGTCTCATACATGATTTTAGTGACTACATTACCTTGGCAATTCCAGTACTTCCAAAGACATTTTTCATGTCCATTACACCATCAGGAAACAGGACAGATGGGAACATATCATACTGCATTTGCTCTCCAACCAATTTGGCTCCTTGTAATATTTTCAGCTTTGGAACTGAGGTCCTGTCAAAAAAGGACTTCAAAATAATGCTGCGGGAGACCAAATATTTTGCTGGCTTCGCCACAAATTTTGAAAATGACATGTGGACGGCCACTGTGTAGCCTTTCTTGAAATTTAGATTATAAAAAAACAATTTAGTACTTTTACATATGAAATGAATGGCGTATAACAAACATACCAGGTTGCCAAGATGCTGGCTATCCTTCATTAAACAATGAAAGTGGATGGGAATGAATTCATGCAGTTCTCTAATTTGTGCCTGCTCTTCTACAAGTGCTGATGCATAGCGTTTTGGAGAGTCTACTGTTGGCACATCGGATCCAGCTGGCCGTTCTGCTTAAAACCACAGTAAATTTACCAACATATCAACCATAATCCCATATTTCTTTGCGAGCTTCCCAATCTCCTCATCATGAGCAATGACCTCCTTTGGGACAGCTGATGCCCAAGTTCATGTAGGCTGCTTTGCCTTAAGCAATGTATTGTCCCTTTTCAGCTGCCTATTGTCATTGCAGATCTCATGTAAGTGCAGTTGCATAGCCTGAAGTCCTGTGATGATGTTTGATTTTTATGATCTGCAGAAGGCAATACATTTACTTACTTTTCTGAGCTCCGCAATGGATGCACCATCTCCTAGCATTGCAAGTGCCAGGAGATCCTGTCTATGGCTGCTATTAGATGACCAGGCCTTAGATGTGTGCTTCTTGTTGCCAGGTCCATCACAGCTCTCCTCCAAATCATTGCAGTCGTCAGTTGTTTCTGAAGAAAAGACACCATTAAAGTTCTCTTGTTCATCTGAGTCTGAATTGCTGTCATGTTGTCTTGCACCGTGTTGAGGCATCTGGCTGAGAAATATTGGGTCACGTCAATGCTGGGAGGGCAAATATAAACAGCAAGACTTTAAAGCAGTTGCAGCCAACTTACATAAAATGAAGCACGAGGATGCTGTGTTTCCATTATGTATACATTGTAACATGAGGATGCAGCAAGCCTTTGGTGTGTTGGATGTATTATGTTCATATTACATCAAATGTCTTTTCTTCTGTTGTTTCCACTACCAATGATGTTACCATTACAAATAATGAACACCAGCTTTTGTTTGTTGTCATAGTTCAGAGGAAGGACCGGAAACAAGCTTGGATATAAAGGAGTTGGTAGAAATGTGCAGCTACATAACAAATGCACAATCAAGCAGATTAGAATCTTTTTCAATGAAATTGATGATGTTGTATGAGACTTCCTTGCTTGTGAGTAGCCTTCTCACTCAGCTGGGCACCTCCCAATAGTTCAATGCACACCAAATTGTCGATGATAGCAACCGCAAATAGATGGTGCTGGTTTGGGCATCAATAAGAAAGTAGGGGGTGAGGAGGAGGTGGGAGAGGGATGGGAGGATGGGGGTGGATGGTGTAAGGTCAAGCCTCCATATCATGTTTGATCACTGAGAGCTTTCCATTTGTTTAAGCCTCTATGTCAGGCACTGAATGAGCAATTGCCAATGTCAAGTTAAGATTGTCAAGCTGCCAGCTCCTTTTATCAAAGCTTCTAGCATCACATAGGCATTGTAATTGCTTGCCCAAATAAATGATATACTCTCCATCTCCAACAACAGCTACAAAATGGCCATTTGGTGAGTTGGTAACAGATATAGTAAAGTTTTTGGTGTTGCCTATTTCTTTGATTGAGAGGACCTGCTGGCATAGTGTCCTCCTGAAATGTTTGAAGGTTTCCTGATAAGGCTTTGTGGTTATGGGTATCTATGAGTTTCCCAGACAAGTCCATGCTACATCTGAATGCATCATGGATCCACATAGGCACTGTGACACGAAGAAACAACACGGTTGTAAGAAAATCATTTGATGATCATAAGATCAACAATAAAAACACAAAACAGATGTTGAAGGGAGATTGTGTGGTTTGAAAAAAATAATCAGTGATATGTGGTGTTGTAACAACCAAGAGTTAGTCACTCTGGCGCACAACTAGAACCAACTATAGAGACAATGATGAGGGAGTGGTTACCCTTTAGACTTCAACAAGTTAGTTGTGAGGATACAACAGGAGGACTCACTGAGGAGTCTCCTTGATCTATTGGTCTATATATACTACTATAGGTTTGTTTGTACATGTACAGTTGATAGAGGCAGTGGCTGATGATGTCATGGGGCCTAGCCCGTGTGACCAGCTCCACTGCATGAGAGACTTGTAGCTAAAATAAGAAGAAAGGTAGTGCAGCGCGAGAAAGAGGAGTTTGAACAAAATGGAAAGTGCCACATGGCACAATGTGAGAAAACTACAGTAAAAAGGTTGAAGAGGAGAATGAAATTTAAAGGTCCAAAAATGTGTTATTGTAACAGGTGTGGTGTATGTGATAGGATGAGTGGTTGCGCTTGTATAAGGTGTCCATGGTAAATGCATTTTTGTCAGTCAACTATGGATAGGAATGATTGCCAGCATATTTCTTGTGGAATGGCTTATGGTTGATAGGTTTGAGAACATAATTCAGCATCAAGTTTACGGTAGGAATGATGGTACTCTTGGGTATGACAAGTAATGAGCAAGATTCAGAGTCTAATAGAAAATTAGTGATCAAATGAATGCGAATAATTATCCTATCAGTCTACTCACCCACTTATCCTGACCCAAAATCAGCCTGGCAAGCCAAATAGCAGCAGCAGCTATCAATGATGAAGGTGCAGCCAACAATCTCCACTCTAGGCATTGAATCTCAAGGGAGTACTTGGCAATTGTGCAAGCCTTCACATCATATTTGTCTGCCTTGCTAATCCGCCTCAAACAGTGCATTGGGTTGGGATAACTCAAATCCCAGTCAAGCATTTTCAAGACATAGCGCTCTGCTTGGAGAATTTCAGTTTTGGTGTACAAAGAATCAGCACAGTACAAGAAGTGTGCAATGGATTGACAAAACCGGATAAACCCGGTCTCTGCCAAAGCAGCCATTGTTCTCCATGGAGTTTAGCCACCACTCCATGAAGTCACCATTGTTCTCCTAGGAGCACAATTGTACTCCTAGGAGTCATTATACTGTAGCGAGTAGCACCTCCGACTATAAGTAGTAGGGGGTTTAGTATAGGAATACCTCAGTCGTTTCTATAGCCTCTCGGGCAGCGGCTGAGGTATGTTACATTACATTTATTAGAGATCACCTTAAACTAACATCTATTGTAGTTTCACTTAGGTAAATAATAAAGTCGTTTCTATAGCCTCTCGGGCAGCGGCTGAGTTTCACTTAGTTTTATTACATATTACACATGTATAGATTAGAGGCAAAAAGTCCCAGTGTGGCACAATGCATTCATCACCCATCAAATGTCTCCGGACATTTGAGAAGTGGCTCCAGTGCAGTTTATTCTGTGCCTTCCCAAAATGTCTGGTTCGAGACTAACATTACAATACATTGCAACCAATGCCAAGCCATTTTCAGAATCTGCGACAGAATATACAGTTGCGGAAAGTTATCCAGTATTCCCCCACTGTCTTATTTATTGAATATGGACTTAAGGCTGACAATTCGAATCACAAAATCATCCACTACTACTTACCAAAAGAAGATATCTTACCTAAGCAGATAAGATGACTCTTGCGCTTACCAACTTGCTTGAAGGGTCCGACAGCTTTCATGCACTTGAGCTTGAAATCTTTCTGATCTTGTCTTCGTTATCTATCCTTTCAACGTTTACCCCATCCCTAGCAAGCATAATGGCGGAAGAGACACCCCAACAGCCGCTATTTACATGTCTCTCATGCTCAATCGCTTTTCTCTCTGCAGAAGACCAGAGTGAGTCCTCTTAACCAACCTAGCTCCTAACATCTCACATTCGTTTAGGGATCCATTATCGCTCGGACCACCATAGGTACAATATGAAGCGTCGAGTGGCCTCTCTTCCTCCCGTCAGCGTTGCAACTTTCAATGAGAAGGTTATCCAGAGGAGAACAGAGACCGCTATCATGTCATCGCCCAAAGGCTCGAGTTGCGAAACTTGCGGGTGAGCTTCTTTAATTTGTTTCGTTTTTTCTTTTAGTTCTCTACTTCAACTACCCTCGTCTTACTTCGCGCTGGATGTGTGATTTATCGTGATTTTTAAATATTGATGTTCATGCTTTCTTTTTACCGATAGTAAAACATATACCACTGAGGGTGCTTACCGATCTCACATCAACTCGAAGAAGCATAAGGAGAACGAAGTCAAGGCTGCCTCTAGACCAAAAGTAGATCTCGTAGATCCCACAGATCCCGAAACGCAGGGCCAACCAAACGGCGAAACCGTCGCCCCTGCTGCTGCCTCCTCCCCTCCCGCCTCACCTAAACCATCCCCGCCGTTCTCGTCTTCTAAAGACGTCAGCACTCTCGTAGATGCCGATGCCTCCGATGACGAAATCACCCAAACTATCGATGAAAAAATAGCGGCCGCCCGATCCAAACTCTCCCCCTCCAACTGCCTCTTCTGCCCGACCTCCTCCCCCTCCCTCTCCTCCAACCTCACCCACATGTCCATCGCCCACTCCTTCTTCATCCCCGATGCCGATTACTTAGTCGACATCACCGGCCTCGTCACCTACCTAGGTGAAAAGATCGCCGTGGGGAACGTGTGCATTTATTGCAATGATAAGGGCAGGGAGTTCAGGACGTTGGAGGCGGTGAGGAAACATATGGTTGATAAAAGTCATTGCAAGATCGCATATGATACCGAGGATGATCGGCTCGAGGTATCGGATTTCTATGATTTCACCAGCTCATATCCGGACGAGGCACAGAGGAAGAAGCGGAAACAGAAACAGAAGCTGGTGTCCAGCAAGGCAGAGGCTAATGGGAAGGCCGAAACCGATGTTTGGGAAGACATCGGAGAAGATGGCAGCGGTAGCGACGTTGACGAGATCGTCGACGAAGAGGCCTCGGACGAATCGGAGGAGGGCGATTCTGATTCGGACAGCGTACCAGACAATCAACTCAGTTACGGTGACTCTAACTACGAGCTTGTCCTGCCATCAGGAGCTCGTATAGGTCACAGGAGTATGCGCCGTTACTACACTCAGTCCTTCCATGCCTATCGAGGCGGCAAAGAGGAAGATCCAAACTCGGGTGCTGCCATCGTTCGCCGACTTTTGGCTGATAAAAACTCAGCTCTCGTGCCCAGAAAAGGCGGGTATGGAGCTTTCGGACAAGGGACTGAAGTAATAAAGGCAAGAAATAGAGGAGAGGCTCGTGAAGCCGGACGTCACGTACGAGAGTTTAGAGATCAAAAGCGAAGAGAAGACTTCAAGACAAAGGTTGGCTTCATTCACAACAGCCAGAAGCATTTCCGCGACCCACTCCTCCAAGTAAGTAATCCCATATTCTGTAAACCAATAAATTTTGACATTCAATTTCTAGTAATCCAAGTAATCGCGAAGTGTTTAAAGAGTCATATTGTAGCCTTTGTATCGTCATATCATTTTTGCAGTAGTTTGTTTTCTGCTGTGAAATGTCTGTCTAACACAAATATAAAAAAGGGAAAAACATGACGTAGGAGATATATCAAAGGAACGACCACCACAAGGTCGATCTTGTCTTGAATAGAGGGTATAAAATAACGTGCGATCGATAGCAAGAATAAACAGAAAGAAAAATAATAAAAAAACTAATACAAATATGCCGCAGGAACGACACCTTCCTGTCCAGAGTGAGGGTTCCTCGCGTACCACCAACTGTACACAGAGGGTCAGTATAGTCATGACAATACGACTAGCCCACTTACGCATTATCCCGGTCATCCAGTACTTCCACCTCAAGCCCAGCTGTCAGAGGCATCTCCCCTTCCCCAGAACCATCAAACGAATAACGAGCATGAGCAGGCCTGCTAACTTCTTCTTCTGCAGCCAATGTACCAATGACAGCATCAGATGGCGTTTCAGCCCGTAGATAGTTGCTCGCATCAGGCCCAAATGGATCAGGTTCAGCAGTTGGGGTCACTGCGCCTTCTCGGGCAGCCTCTTCCTTCTCTATGTTGAAGTTGTTGAAAGGGCTTTGGGTACCAAGAATGGTTGTACGGGTGGCTGCATTGATGTGTTCCAACAAGGAAGAGGGTCGATGACTTATCGAATCGTCGTCTTCTTCAGCAGGATCGACTTTTCCAAGCTTGTCGTCTCTGCGAGAGAAAAGCGTCCACAGAATACCGATCAAAGCCAAGAGGAAAACGACCCCGGCGGCGATGGCAATCGAGATAAGGATGACCACACCAACAGCGAGGAAATCTTTTCAAGACACGTTCATTAGTACGTAGAGCAAATGATAATGACGGGCACACTTACGATGCTGGCTGAAGCTGAAGCTCGCGTATGAATAGAACAGAGAAGATACGAAACCCAAAGTTCCTTGAGATGACATCGACGAGAAGTAGGGAATGAAGTTTGTGCCATCGAATAGAACAGACGACGCCGTGCCAAAGGACGAATCAGCCAACGAACCGGACAACATCAACATGCGATCAGACTCGATAACACTGTTGGCCGCATGCGTGTTCTGCAGAGGCACCATCACCAACTGCGAAACGTTCGTTGTACTCTGAAGGCTCGAGCCTGTGTGAAAAAGCTTATGAGGCGGCTGACATTGACAAGGTAAGTAAATAACTCACCAATATTGTTCCAAGAAACACCATTCCAGAAGGACAAGAATGGCGATGAACCATCGCTGGTACTAAATGGAAAATATATTTAGAGCAACTTCTTTCCTAGGTTCAAGGGACTCACCGGCCAGCTGCGAAGATACTGCTAGCATTCGTGTTGTCCACTTCCAGGGCGGTAACAGGACCAGGAATATCAGCACCACTGCCAACTGCAGTCCACGTTGTATTTGAGAAACTGAATTGCGCTACGTTCGCAGGCGTGTTACCAGACAACACTATAGAGCCTGCCGCAATCAACAGCTCTTGGTTGTTCTGGCGAAAAGCACATCAGCCCGAAATCAATCACAGAAATAGTGAAAATAACGCTGACCCCAGCGTACTTGACTGACGAAACCTCCCCTTGAATACCATTTCCAAGAGAGTTCCACTGGCCCATAGACATATCGAATGAACATATACCTGGGCAAGGAAGCGATCCGGCTTGTGAGAATGAACCCGCAACGATGATGAGATTAGGTTTGAACGTCGATGTCGTGATAGAACGAACAACCACCGGTGACCCTGTGCTAGACCGGAGAGCTTGAAGACTCGAGGTGTTCCATCCTTGCGTCATGAGGTCATACACAGCCAATCCGTTCGCGCTAGTTCCTCCCAAAGTAAACTCTCCACCCACAAATAGCTGGTTATCATCCACCAACAGAGCGCGAACCGTCCCATTAACTTGAGACCCTTGCAGACCTGTAAGAGTGGAACTACTAGAGTCATAGATAGCCAAGGCTTGGGATTCCGTTGAAGACGACGAGGAAAATGAAAAGTTGCCTCCGATGATAGCAAGCTCCTTGGACGAAGTACTATTAGTCCAGAATGCTCCTGCAAGGACGGCAGGGGCAGGGGCGGGAGGTAGCGTTGGAAGAGGGGCGGGCTGATCACCAGTCGTCTGCCTCGCAAATAAGTTGGAGAACTTGATATGAGGTATCCAAGCAACAGGTCCACGACGATGATGAGACCTACGCTTCCTGGAAGAAAGAGGCGATGAAGACTCCATGGTATCGTCGAGCTGAACTCCGAGAGGCATGACGTTCGGGCCATTGTTCCCATTAGACAGCATAACAAAGCCACTAGCGCCGTACTGCGCCATATTCTCTAGATTGCCTGCCAAGAACTGCGATTGCCCCTGCCCATTACTAGATGAGGTGCCATTACCCACAAAGGTCATATTCCCAAAGACGAATCCTCCGCTATTCACCCATGATCCCGTACTAATCCCCCATGTCGCAAATCCAGAAGCATCCATTCCCATATTCGTTCCAGGGGCAGATAAAACCTTGGAGAAGTTGCCAGCGATTTGGATTTCTTCATTCGCAAGGGCGAGTCTGACCACGTTACCATTAACTCCAGCATTCAACCCAGCCCAGGTGTTTGCCTGTACATCATACATGGCTACACCACTCAGTTTTCCTTGCGTAGAGTTCGAGCTCGTGTCAGCGAAGGAGCCACCGACATAAAGCTGGTTGCCGTATAAAGCAAGCGAAGTGACAGGGCCGTTCAAGCCATTGTTAGATAACGTAGCCAAAGCTCCGTTCTTGTAAACAACGATGTTCGCAGCTCCAGAAGCTGGACCGGTGGACAACGTGAATGTACCTCCCAAGAAAATGGCACCAGAAGGATGTTGGACGACAGCAGCAATGGCCGCCGAGGAAGTCAAACTACTCACTCCGCCCAAGCCACTGAACAGATCGAATCCAACATTATCGAATGAGGTTTCGGTCGTATTGGGCAGCGCTGTCGTAGCATCAGCAGTAGAGCTCGAAGAAATCGGCCACTCGAAGAATCCGAAACCCTCCTGACCTCCCTGGCTCAGCGTCCCATTACTCCCACTAGAGCCCGATGCGGCGTTAGAGCTAACATTGGCAGAAGTCAATACCAATTGCACATTGCCGGCCACCAACTCATACTGTCCCCCTTGACCACTACCTGTGGGAGTTGCCGCGAGGGTCAAAGATACGGTCGTAACGAAATTAGAAGAGGAAGGAATGATCGGGCCGCTATACACGAGCGTAGCTTGATCTGCCGTGTTCGTTTGCGATACATTAGTGACCCATGGGCTTTGTCCGCCACCAGGAAAGACGGTGATCTGGACTGAAGTGCGAAGACTGCAGTCTTGGAAATCCGTACAGCCGGGAACGATGAGGTTCACATCATAATTACCTGACGCGGAGACGTAGGGCATCCATGTGAAACTTGGAGCCTGAGAAGCAGGGGTGCCTACAGCAACTGTGGAGACGAGAACGGTCTGCAAAGTAGCTGGAATATTCGTGTTTGCGTTTTTTTGTGTCCATGTTCCAGTGCTCGTCGAGTTTGATGGGTTAGGAGCATAGCAGGACTGTGTGTTGTTGCTGCTAATAGCAGACGCGAACGCTCCTGTAGAAAGAAGCTGGAGAATATGTAATCCAGCCGAAGTTCCAGTCCACCCTGAAAGCGTGATCTGCACACCCGACAGCGTGACAGGGCCCGTAAACAAGAAGTCCTGATAGAGTATAGACGAGTTCGTAGATAACGGACAGGTGGTCGAGCAAGTTTGGTTTTGACCTGTCACAGGATCCACGTATGATAATGTTTGAACAGCATTATCAGGAATCGAGGTCACACTTCCGATCTAGTTAATTTACAGTGTGCGTAGAATGAGAGCGATGCTCGTACCTGAAAGCAGTGGTACCATGTCCACTCTGAAAAGTGTTTCCGAGACGCACGCCGTATGCACTGATCGAGGAGTAGTCGCGCACAGTGATCAAAGCTGTATTTCCGTCTGCGGCAAACCACGTGTTTCCAGGACCATCTGGACCAGCAGGACACAAGATGTTTTGAATATTACTATACGAAGGGTCCGTCGATGAAGGGGACCCTTCTATTTCCGCTCCTTGCAGTGGTATGGGGACGAGAGACGAAGAGAAGGGCGATGCACCAGGAGAAAATGGGACATTTGGGTTATTTGTATTGTTGAGAGGAGCACCAGTGCCAAAGGACGTCGAGAATGAACCGGAGAAAAAAAGGCTAGATTGTGAATAATTCGAAGTGATAGAGAGGACCTCGCCCTCTGCACCAGCCAAGCCCTTGAAGGGTGCCGCCGACCACGAGTTGGCATGGGCATCCCAGACCGCAACTGACGAGCCCGGGGAGGTGAAGTGGCCTCCTGCCCATACCTTGCTGTTTGCTGTGTCGCAGTACAAAGCGTTGATCGCGCCGTTTGGCCCATTAGAGCCAAGGGCGGTGAATGCGCCTGATGAAGGTGTATAGGACGCGATGTTGGCAGCCGAGGTGCTGCCTATGGACGAGAAAGAGCCAGCAAAGTAGAAGACGTCGTTCAGAGCACACCCTGCTAGTATTGATCCACCCGAATTTGTTGAGCCGAGGCTAGCCAATGCGCCTGAAGATGTGCGTGACAGAAGAGAAGATGTCGATGGATCAAAAGTGACGGTTGAAGAATTGTCGAACAAATCGAGACCTGCAAAAGCACCTGCGAGACCTACTGAGCCCATGCGGTCGAAATCGACGAGGGGAAGCGATGCAAAGGCGACATTAGAAAGAGAGAGAAGAGCGAGGAAAAGACTTGTTCGCGACTGCGTTGAAGGGCATTTAAGGTGATTGACCATTGCGGGTATGGATTTGAAGCATATATGAGCTTTCCGAATATGCAGAGGGTATCAGTGACCCCTTGGTCCAAGGACAGCGACGATGGCAGGAAACAGAAAAGAGGCGAGGATTCGAAGTTCTTGTTGCGCGTGCATGTCGCGTCGTCAACAAACAACAATCCAGTCCACGTGCTCACGTCCCACGGTCCATGGTCCATCCCATGGTCCACAGGTCCACAGGTCCACGGCTCAGTCACTATCACTCTACAGTCTAAGCAAACAAACGCATGTCACATTATTCTGACTGCCCTGTCTGTGCAGCAGCGCTCCAGATGGAAAACAAGTACGGTATTGTTCATGTCCACCACTCCCTCTAGACCCGACTGCAGACTATCCTTCTAATGAGTACCTTCGCGTCTACTTGTCTATTCGCTCGCCGTCTTCACAGTAACAGAGCTCATGTCGACACCAGTTCCCACTGATTGCAGATGCGACGAGCCCGCATCTAAGGATCTATAACAGCCCATACCAGGTCACATCATCTGGCCTTTGGGAGCATAGATCAGGTACTCACTGAGGGTGTCTATACCGATGCAGATTGGGTCTTTTTGCATCCGTCTGCAGTATCGTATTGTCCGAGATCTGCTGCGACAAAAGCAAGTGCTTTTCGTTGATTCTAGCCCAGATTTCACTAGGTGTCCCGTAATGAGCAAGGTACCGCGTGAGATAGACATCTTCACCGGGCGCCGGGGCGTATTTATAAAACCCAACTACAGCGAGCGAGAGCAGGAATGTATTGCGCCAGAAAGGAGTGTTGAAGCCAGCTGTTTCCCAATCCAGGTTGTGTTTTTTTTCGCAAAGGATTCCATGTTCAGTTCGAGAAAAAAAGGTAGATAAAGACAGAAAGGCTCTACCTTCGCGCGGGTATTGCGTGGCATCCTGGTGCTCGTCGTGGTGCTCGTGCGAATGACTGTCATGGGATGCGAATCTCCGTTGCAGGATATGTGTTGCTGCTGGCTTTGGACGGACGAGCAGCGCTGCTCGTGCCACGGACATGTTGTTGGTATGCGGAGAGGATCAAGCTCGTGTATAGCCGGCCCTCAATCCGACATCGGGTCTCATTGACTATTACGGCAACTCCATCCTGCTTTACGGGCTCTCCTCCTACGGTATCACCCGAGCCTACCTTCCTCACTACCACATCCCGGTGCATCCCATCCATCTTCTCGCACACCGGGATATTCGTATGGCTGATTATTCTCTTTCACGATCTGGGCATATCACTGGAACGCGATTCAAAAAATGACCACATTCAGGACCTGTCAGCCTCCACCCAGGTTAAAATGCTACGAAACGCGATCCTCTTCAACGCAACATCAAGGCAAAAGACAATGACCACAAAGACTTTCCGAGAGCAACCTCCCCATCTCTCCCCGTATCTCTCTCGCTCCCCACTTGTGCCAACCGCCACTGCGACCGACGAAAAGCATCCAACCCAGCCCTTTCCAGACGTTGAACACCCCTTGCCTCTTCTACCTCCCTCAGAACCATCACAGCCCCACATACGCACCCTACCATCATCCACCAGCACCCAGCTAACCTCCCCATGGTCCTTCGTCTCCCTTTCCTCCTCCGACTCCTCCGAAACCATCACCCTCCCCATGGCCCATCATTTCCCCGAACTAAACGAGCCCCCATCCGACGAGTCGCTCTCTCCTGTTGCACGCGCGATAGTTACCCCAGCAGAAGTCTTATTCTTACTCAACCTTCTCGACGATCTAGATGCCGACGCTTCCCAGGAAGTGGCAAGAGTAAAGATGGCTATACGCGAGACTCACATGCTTATCAGCGAGTATAAAGAGAACAGACCTGGCATAAATAAACATCATCTGCCGTTGTTGGCTTTTTGACCGCGCTGTACCTTTTTGCGTGGTATATCACTTGAATGACATGTCATTAAACTTTACCATGCGCGATGTTTTCAACCAGACGTGTCGCGAAAGACGACCGCCCGTATACGACCCGTTAGCGCTAGTCAGCCACAGTTGTGATAGGGGCTCCTCTAAAAAGGACATGTCTCAATCATCATACCCATTAGAGTCACAAGCTCCGATAGCGGTGAGGCTGACCAGAAACACAACACCGTGACAGCCATCTCCCTGATCCACTGATTCAATCCACCGCACAACTTGATCCACATCCAACATGAGTGAGCAACCACCCACCTCCCTTCTGACAGACACAGCACTGATCAATCCATCTCAGGCGAGAGACAAACCCCCCACCGTCGTCAGTCCACTCTTGATGAACAGACCATGAAGGCGCTCGAGAGACGTCTCAGTAACAGGCCAGAGAAAGAAGAGTTGGTGGATCGTAACATCCTCAAAGGTAAGTGTCATCTTCAACGGCACAAGACGCTGCAAGATCCTCATACTACTCTTGCACGTGCCCCCACAGAGGACAACGTTGCGCCTGCCCTCGCAGCCGCAAAGGAGAGGCTTCAAAGGTCTCAGTTAGAGGTTAGTCACAGCCATGCTCTTAGATACTGGATACGATGATCGATGATGGTTTAATCGCAGGACAAAATCTCTCAGGCGTTGCAGCAGCGCTCCAAGCCCGAAGATCTCGTGAACAAAGGAATCATTGCAGGAGGTATATCCCACTCCCACACCAAACCAAATCAAACACACTCAACGGTTTTCCACCAGATCAATTTGCACCAGCATCCGCTTAAACCCACAAGCGCTCAGTCTCAAAACCCAATCTTGTATAATACAACGATGTTCCCCATTATGAACGTCAACTTGGATAGCTGTACAATAGTTGTGCCTATGAAATGGTCTATGAAACTTGTATTTTATGTAAACATCAAACGGACATGATAATGGTAGATAAATAAGAGATGAGACGTACTGAAAAAAAGAGTGGGGTGATGTTGATTTCGAAAATGGTTATACCGGTCCATCTACTCGCGAGGTTTCCTCATTCTATCTCTCATCTCCCTAGCTGCCCTCTTGGTTCCCTCGCCCCCTGCCCACCCACGCCGTCTCAGCCAACCGACCAGTCTAGGCGTGAACGCCGCCGTGAGACCCACTCTAACGGGCAAGAACAGCGTCTTGTGAACGGTGTAAGCCAGCACGAGCATCGCATACAGACCCTCGTGGCCATTACCGCCACCACTTGGACTCTCGATCTCGTCTCTGCCAGGTTCCGGTGGCTTAGAGTGCAGCAGCCCCGCAACAAGCTCTTTGACGGTGGTTGTCAAGCGAGCGACATGCTCCGCGCCTAGGAGGTTGATGCCAACGAAAGCGACACCAAAGTCCAAGGTAGAAAGGATGAGGTACACTCCCAGAGCGTACCAGCCATAAGCTTTTATAAGGTGTTTTAGTCGCTGGGACAGGGTTGCGTCTGGAGGCAAGTCGGTGCGGGTGTCATTTGAAGGCGAGGGTGGTGGCGAGGAAGAGGAAGAGGAGCGACGGGCGGGGAAGTGGTGGAAGAGGCGTGAGGGGAGACGTGATGGGCTTATTGACGGCGTCGAAGGCATCGAGCGCACTGCAAGCCTGGTCGTCATCGGAAGAATGGGTGCAGACACCCTGAAAAGTGGAATGCGAGGCAATAAGCGACGTATCATTGTTAACGATTGCAGATTGATGAAGAAAGACGGTGGCGAACGGCGAGGAGAGTGGTGAGTGAGACGGCAGGAAGGTGTGCGTACGCCGTCGGCGGCAGCGAGCAAGACTCTTTTTGGTTGCGGGTCCGACTAGCGCTGGGGCGATGAGCGCATCTGGACCGGAAAGAGCCGAATAAATCTGCAGTTGTGGCTGTGATAAATTTTGAAAAAGATCGATTGGAAGATTTTGCCAGTTTCTTGGAACGTGGTTATCCCCCACATCCTCCTGCAAATTTCACTTTTGTCTGCGAGCTGGTCACTTCATCGTCTGCTCGCCTTCTCGTCTTTTCTATACAACATCATCCTCGTTTCATGCATTCTGGAACAGCCCTTTGCGGCGGGTACGAATCTCCATCTCGATAGCATCCCTACTCCCCATCTACCACTCCACCTCTCCCTGCGCTTCTCCTGAGTAACCATGTCGTTCAATGATGACAAGGACTACTCTGCCCCTTTTGAAGGCCCCGAAAAATTACTAGAAATCTGGTTTGCACCTTCACCTGCTCACGTGCCAGATGCACTTTCTCCAACCAATGGCAGAATTGGTCTGAGGAACGTCCCCAGAAAAGTATGGGAGGACATGCTTGATATCGTCAAGTGTAAAGTCCTCAGTTCTATCGAAGGACAGGAAACAGACGCCTATCTTTTGAGGTGTGTATCTATAGTCCATCATATTACGTCTTGCACTCGCCAGCTGTCCACGCCCCCCTTATCGATGTAGATTACAGTTCCGTCCGCATCTTCGCTCTTCTTCTCTTCTTCCTGCACACAGCTTTTGCTCATTATTTCCTTTTTACTCTCCTTAGCGAATCCTCGCTTTTTGTTTTTGCCCATCGCATCATCCTGAAAACATGCGGAACCACTCTTAACCTCCTTGGTCTTCCTCGCATCCTTGAGATCGCACGCGAATATGCGTCCCTTCATTCTGTATACCGTTGCTTCTACTCGCGAAAGTCTTTCATGTTCCCTGAGCGCCAGCTTGGTCCCCATAGAGAATGGAAGGACGAAGTCAAGTTTCTCGATGACATCTTCCCAAATGGTGCGGCTTATACCGTCGGCAAAGTAAACGGCGACCACTGGTTGCTTTACATAACAACACCTGGTGAAGGGTTTGCAAATGGAGAGACTGTACCAAGTTCTCCCGAGACTATCCCGTCGATGCTCCTTCAGAAGAAGGGTGGCACGCAGGAGGATGGCCAGGATATTTTACAGGCGGACAATTCCGAACCTCAATTCAATCAAGATTACACGATCGAAATTCTCATGAGCAACTTATCTCCAGAGGCCCGAGAGACGTTCTATTTCTCCACTCCCCCATCTCCATCCGATTCCGAGACGTCCTTGGAGACGTTTTCTAACACAGGACTGACACTGTCTTCTGCCATCGGTGTCACTGATCTGTTTCCCACTGATCTAACCACGTTGGATGCGTACGCATTCACACCATGCGGGTATTCTTCCAACGCGCTGCTGAAATGGGGGGGCCGGGGTGACACGGAGTCTTCTAGTAAAGGTGGTGAAGGATATTACACCATCCATGTCACACCCGAAGAAGGCTGGTCTTATGCCAGCTTCGAATGCAACGTGCCACTGTCGACAGCTCCGTTTTCCAAAGTGGATGACATTCCTGATTTGAAAACGCTCATCAGGCGTGTTGTGAACATCTTCCAGCCTGGGCGACTTTCCCTGACACTATTCATATCGAGCATGAATAACGGCAATGCCGAGGAGGAGGAAAGCGAGACAGCGGTGGAAGCAGCGCAGAGGGCGTTTAAAGCAGCACTGTCAACCTGGCGCCCCATGTCATGTTCGTCTGATGGATCATCAGACGGAGGGCATGTGTTTGGAGACCAGGAGAGAGGAAAAAGAGGCTATAAGAGGACAGACAAGATCAACTACGAATTTGGGGGATACGATCTGGCATTTGCGTCGTTTGAGCTCCGTTGAGGGAATTGGAATTGGGGGTTTGGCAGCTTCCAATCAAGTTCTATCTATTTATTTTTTCGCTTTTCTGTGATTTGTTTTTCAAGTTTACGTTTCCAGCGCCTATGAAAGCAACAGGAAGAGATTTTTGTATTCGTTGGCGTGTTCGCAGTTGGCAGTTTTGTGTGATCTTTGTACGAGTTTGCGGTGAATATTTTTGATGATTGTATATGAGATGGGTTCATTTACGAATGCCGGCGGACCGAGGAGGTCGAGATCACAGGTGTTCATTTGGTACAGACGTACCTTCATGTCGGCAACAGGCGAGACGCTCACCATCAGTATGGACCAGAAGTAGGAGCTGACTAAGAGAAAAAGAGGAGGAGATAGGGTTCCCATGCAGGAGCTATGTATAACGCAAGGTCCTGGGAGGGATGCGTTGTCGAACAGGGCCGGCGTACGGCAGGGCTGGGCCGGTGGTGGGCCCGGTATGGCATGGGACTACGAACGTCGAGTGGAAGCGAGGGCATCAGCCAGACCTCATAAGCATATTCATTTCAGGTATGAACCACATGTGTGCTCGCTGCCTGCCACTGGCACAGCACCCTTCCGCTTTACGGTACAGCGACTCGCACCAATCAGCTCACCTCTATCGACCTATCCGTACCATGCCTAAAAATACGGCCATTCAATATAGCTCACCGTCCTCGCACTCCGACATACGGACCGTTCTTCTCGAGCCCGGCCTGCCAGATGCGTCTTTCGTGAGCGAGCCTGGTAGTTTGCGATCTCTGACTAAGATCTGTCACAACTGCATAGTTTCACCGAGGACGTCGAGGCGTCCTTGATTTCACCCATCGAAGCTTTGCGGGACTTGGAATTCTTACCATATGCTCCATACACAGCAGCAATCAATCGAAGTCTCCTCCCCCGCTTCTCGTATAAGTTCCTCCTCTTCTCCTCACCCAAAATGCCATCTTTTCCTGTCTCTACTATACCCCCTCTCCCCATATTCCCCCTCCCTGTACTCCCATGCCCCCAATCATATACAACGTTGTTTCCCTGCCTGCTGCCACTTCTTCAGATAATTTGAACGCGTTAGAGGAAGTCAAGGACTTTCTGACCACTGACCTCGGCCGCGGAGGCTCCGAGCGCTGGACTTATCGTCTTCTTCCAGAACACTCCCTTAATTCAGAGATCGAGCGCATCTCTACCCCCCAGTCCCACAGGTCCGTCGACAGTGTCACTTTTCAACCGTGTACAACATATACAGCTCGCTCCCAAGATCGATACAGCATCGAAGAATGGGACCTTCCCGGAGGAAACTGGCTATTCACGGCAATCTATGACGGTAATCCTTCTCCCCCGACGTCATCGTACAACACTGATCGTGCCAAATTTAGGTCACTGTGGCCATGATACAGTCACCTATGCGCAGCGGAGGCTTCCTTCTATGGTTAGAATGTCCCTCCAAGCACTGCTAAAGAGTGCCTCGTCTTCATCACTGCGTCCTGAGCTGGTTTCAAGGACTCTCTACGATACCATCAGGCACCTCGATGACTCTATACGCTCCGATCTCTTCGACCTCTTTCCCCCAGATAAGCTAGAACGCATGTCCGATTCTCAGATTAAGCAGCACATCCTCAACAATGGTGCCGCATGGGCAGAAATATCTCCAATGTGCACTCAGGGCAGCACCGTATTGATCACCTTGACCGACCCTTCGCGAAAAAACTTATGGGTGGCTAATCTGGGCGACTCTCAAGCAGGTGAGAAGAAATGGGACACTGCCTCCCTGCATCTGATGTTTGACAATTGAAACAGTTCTAGGCACTCGGAGATCCCCAGGAAAATGGACGCCCGTCGTGATTAACGCCTCTCATAACGGGAACAATCCTTCAGAGCGTCAACGCATCATGAGAGAGCACCCGGGAGAGCCATATAGCATCTCGGAAGAAAGAGTAGTTGGATATCTCGCTCCGACGCGAGGTATCTGTCATTTATTTATTTTTCACCGGGCGGTCTCTCATTCATACTCATTCTCTTTTCTTAAATAGCCGTCGGAGATACATGGCTCAAAATCCCTGCCGCGTACTCTCGTCGCCTCTTTACAAAATATTGTCCAGAGTGGATGTCACCTAGACAGGTACACGAATTTGCCAATCGTATCTTGACGCCTCCCTACGTGTCAGATATTCCGGAAGTGTATCATCATACCCTCAACGTTTCGAACCCTATAGAAGATTATTTTTTGATCCTTTGCTCGGACGGACTGCAAGATCTGTACGATGGCGTAGATATGCACTTTAATGACAGACAGATGGTGGATAGATGGGTTAAAATTGTCGGACAAGCCATAGACTCCCGCGAGACGCGCAACCTGGCGTTGCGTCTTCTCCGTGATGGCATTGGTGGCGATAATGTACAGTTGGTGTCGCGGAATCTTACGTTAGAAATCGAGGAGAAGTGGATGGACGATGTGACTATCTTAATTCAGCGCTTCCGATAGCTCTGGGCCTTCCTTACTAAGTTGGAACTATTGTACGCCACCCCGCATTATACCATACTTACTTTAGACTTTTTGCTTTTGCCACATGATGTACCTATGTATTGTAGAGTCTCTTCCCGAGTTTGTCAGATTTCATTATTTAACAAAAAGAACGAATCAAAAAAAAAAATTGTGATTTAAATAGTACTACATGGTAGGAGCCACCGACACGCATTCCACATGACATGGAGAATACAACATATCCGAGATGAAGATGAAAATGAAGATACCCAACGCAACCAAGATACAAGCATATATATATGTATGTAAAATCCAATCACCTTCTAAATCCTTCCGTTTCGTAAGAAGTGTAAACAGGCTCCGCTTTCGCGCTATGGGAATTACCCGACTTGCCCCGCAGATTGCATAAGGGGCAAAGACGAATAAAAATTTCCGCCATTGGCCATGTAATGGTAGCCTACGTAATAACGAAGTTAGTCATATCACAAATTCAAATGTCTGAGCAAAGTTTGAGAAACTGACCATCCCGATTTGACGAGCTTCGAACAACATCACTGAAGACGAACCATGCGCTCTGTGAGCATAGACAAGGACATCGTAAATTTGATTTTGCACAGGAATTCTCTCAAACGCTGTGGTCCAGTCCGGGGAATTGGCATCTACGGCGTCCTTGGAAGAACTTGCAGAGAAAGTCTCCTTTCCCTTGGGACGCGAGAAATTGTCGATCCGTGCTATATAGTCTTTTCTCAGCTTCTCCTCTTCCCCTTCCTCTAGATGGAAGAATGCATCTCGTGGGATAAGAAGCAAATGGACTTTGTCAGAGCCTGAGCGTACGTGATGATATGCCATCCACGAGCGAAGTCGCTCCGAAAGATTTGCGTTATCGCCTCGCGAGACGAAACGAGAGAGATCAGCGTAAACGGCTGGAGGGAATGAGGCAGTTTCGCTGAGTTCAGGCGAGAGATCGCCCAAAAAGGTCGTGAAAGCCTCGTTGAAAGCGTTTCGATCAGGCATCTCAACAGAGTTGAGGGTGCGGATTCGCTGCAACACAATGTCAGGTAGCGGTGCGAAAGAAGTGTGAGACCATGATTCGATGCGCGATTTAGTGATGACCATTCCTTGCTCTGAAGGGAAAGAGTGCGAGATGAAGGATATGTGATTAGTTGATTGATTTCCTCTCGAACCTAAATGAGGATGTGGGGAGGAGTTGGGGACCCATACTCGGCCCTGATAGTCAGGAGTAAATCGGCTCGATTGCGGGTAGAGGGAAGGATCTGCGCCTTCGGATCTATCACGGTCATAGGAAGTCGGAGAAGGTGGTGTTCCGTAAGGGCGAGACGAAGATGCTATGTTTTGGCCGTAAAAGCTGTGACTGTCATCTTTGATACCGCTACGGATGAATACATGCTGCTCCTCCATACTGGGCATGTCTGACACTAGGAAAGACGCCGTTTTCGCACCATAGGGTGCCATTTGTCTATCCTTGATAGTTCCATGGTCTGATGGGACTTTATGCCTCTTTTTAGGGGTATAGTTGCATTCCGCATCATCTCCTTCACGGCAGTGATTGCACACCGGAAGATTCCGATCACACTAGAGCATCAGCAAGTTGTAATCTTATGATGGTTGGGAAGATAGAGTAGAGGATAAACGTACCTTGAGATTTTTAAGACGACACCGATCGCATCTCGGAATACCTCGGTGGGCAGGAGTTGGTAAAGGGGTATATTTGCATTCTCTCCCACTTGCCCAAGAGCAATGATTGCATGTTGGAAGCACTCTATCGCACTGTGAGACGGCTCAATTTCTTTCCAGCGGCGATAAAAGAATGGGGCAGACCTTCAAATTGTTCATACGACAGTGATCACACCGTGGTTTTCCTCTACGACCTTTCCATTGTGATTGACGAGCCATGTAGACTTTTGGATTTGGTATTCGAATTGTGAGCTGTCCATCATCGTTGGGGTCTCCGACAGAATCAGTTCCATCCGGTGATGAGTCGGCCATGGCAGTAGGTGACGTTTTGGGCGATATGCTGTGTGTGTTTTATTAGTTGGTGGGAAGGTTAAGAAAATAGAGTGCAAGGAGAGCACAGAGAAGGAGTGGAAGCCAGAAAACGTGCAAGGACCGCCACCAAGAAACGAGGAGCAAAAACGAGTGAGAATGAGGTAAGACGTACGAGTTAGGCAACGAGGTTACCAGCGCTTGAGAAAAAAAAAGCAGGAGCGACGTTTGGAAGCAGGAATGATTTATTGTGATGTCCTGTGGAATAAAGCCGCACGAAAGCAAGTGTTTTCCAGAGAAAGAAAGATGTGCAGGTCGGAATGCAAGGACGATCACTAGCAGGCGAGGCAAACCTGAACGTACTTACAGACGTGACGTGACTGTCACAGTCTGTTTTTGTCTATCTTAGATCACTCGACGAGAAAAAAGAGGGGGTCATTGCCGCTATTTAAGTGCTCTTTCTTCCACACGATGCCAAAACACATCATTGTATCTTATATGACAGTCGCCGCGTGTTGCAGCCCAATCACAGCCACGCCAGCGCACCACAGTGCCTGGCGTGTCCTTTTAGGTGTGTCCTTTTATGTAGTTTAATATGCACAATCTGTGAATTATAGCCATCGTGGCGCCACCAAGTCAGTCTATGTCGCTTCTTGTGCCCTCTTGCACCGTCTTTTTGGCTCACATGAGGCACCGAAAGAGGGGCCACCTGCACTAGATGACTGCCACGCCATAGGAAAATACTGCAGACGAGTTAATACCGCGGAAGGATCCTTGAGGTTCGGAACCACATCATTCCATTTATGGCATCTGTAGTTCACTCTTCAATTGAGAACCCTCCTTCTCGGCTCCTTCCGCCCGATGCCGCGCCATTTGTCGGCTGCGGCCGGCCATCCGGACTGCATCAACTAAGAACGGTTTTGACGTGATTACAAAACTGAATAGCGCGGCGAACACTCCAACGGCTACTAGTATGTACTCTCAACGTTACTCTATCTTTTTTATCTGTTATCTGATTTATATACACATGACGTGGTCATCCATACGAGCATCGCATACCGTACAATCACCGTCCTGGCTGCACTTCAGTCGCCTCAAGACGTGCTAACAGTGTCCTATCACATACTAATTGTGCGTTTTCCCACTATCAATCCCTTGAGGTAAGATAAAAGTACCACTTCAGCACCGTAGCGTATGTGTTGAGCGTAACCATGTATTTATCTTCGCTGTCAAACATTAATATTCACTTGATCGCTCATTTAGTTTAGCCCACTCTCTTCCCAGAATGGAAGCTTTGTTTTCGGACATGTAACTATTTCGGCTGATCGCAAGCAGTATTCGTGAGGTTCAAGAATATACCACACAGTGGCACACATTCCCTAGCACCCACGTTCTATGTTCTCTCATCATGCGGTCTCTGCTATCTATATGATTGGTCGCCAAAATCACGTTCTCAGCTGGATATTCAGTATCAGTCCACATATATTCGTGAGCCGTCACTTAACAACCTTGCTTCGCTGACCTTCTAATTCCTCTCTATCTGTACCCGTCCCACAAGTAGTCCTTTAAATCACATGGCATCACTGGCGCATGCGTCTAGGAAGCTTATAACCTCAGTTTAGATTGCTGATTCCTGGTTCTTCCACATGGGGGCCACCGCGCCCATCACGTCTATTGCCTTGGCTTCTCAGCTTCGCATTCCAGGCGATACAGGGATCTCTGGATGGCCAACGCTATAAAGCCGGTATCCTCGCCAAGATGATCTTCACGACCATATCCATCTACCCTCGTCTCTCTGTGCTATCACACCATTCACGATGTACGCCTCTGTGTTTGCTTCTCTCCTCGCTTTACAAGCAGCTACCGGATTCGCTACCTCGCTGAGCAAACGTGGAGTGGACTACTACGATCCCAACGCCAACGGGGGCTCGATGCTTGATAACGCGGGAGATGGTTACGGAGAGCCTCTTAACGTACGTGCTTTGCAGTTTTGTAGTTTCTCTAATGTATTCATCCCTCCAACGGTGGCTTATTAGGTTATCATATCCGGCTTGAGCTCTCCTGCTGTACTTACGGAAGATGGAGCGATCAACTTTGCACGCTCCATAGGCTTGTGAGCTATCTTTCTGTTGTATGAATCCATCCAGAACCTTAACCACTCTCGACCGTAGCTCAGAAGAATGCTTTGGTTTCCATCTTGGAGGTGCTCAGTCCGCTAATCTTGGTGATGGAAATGGTTCGGTTAACCAGACCATCGAGCTTCGCGAGGACTATGGCTCTTCTTCCGTGGGCACTTGCCTCGAAAGCTTGGTTGGGGGTAATCACTTCCGGTAAGTAGCTGCACGTCGGATATATCGTGAACACCCAGCTAACCAGAGCCTTTTCAGCATATACGTTCAGAATGGTACTGAGGCCGACAGCGGGGCTCTTTTCTTGGCGTAAGTCCCAACCTGATGCTACAAATAATAAAACTTTAACTTTTTTCTCGTGTTTCCTATCAGTGTCTCGAAGGAAGAGGTACAGCTTGATTTTTCTTCGAGTTTTTTTTTACCATTGTAGTGTACTGTTTTGCTAAATGTTTCTTAGGATGTAAGCGACAGCCACACTATCGTGCCTGACGGTTACGACATTGGACGGTAAGATAAAAATGACATCGAGTTCTTTTGAAAAGCCATCTGATCCTCCCTTTGTGCGTTCCCAGCAACGACCTTGTCTCGGCCGCTGTTGGCCAAACTAGCTTTGGTGGCGTCTCTTACACCACCACCGCCCAGAACGTCACTGGCTTGCTCACCCCTGGATCTACCGGAGTCAACCACGGTACGTTGACTCTATGCTCCCATTTCAAAATCAAAAAAACTTATTTACACGCTCTGTGCACCTCAGGTATTGCCGTGGATGGTATCGTCACGGTTCTTACTGTGACCATCAACTAATAGCACGAATTATCATGTTTTCACGATCTGGGACGCACATATGATTTGAATACCATTTTGTGTTTGGGGAAGCACTCGCACCTGAATTGATATTTCTTGTTTTTGTCATATACCTATTTGTCAATAATATGCGTTCCCCTATCCATTAGCGCGATCTGTGCATAGTAGGCATCAACACATAATTAATTTCCTCACCTGATCATCAATGATATCCATGTTTTCCTCATCTTTTTATACGCGTTGTTCTGATACATACAACATATTCATATCAGCAACCTTTTGCGACGTTGTTTCAGGAAACCACTCGTGGAATCGTGTCCTTCGTATCATACTTGTCTATGAATGATGATCTAATTTGCCCATATCGATTTCATTGATGACTCCTTCATTATTCCATGACGGAATCAAAGAGTTAACATGCCAGAACTATGCTACAATGGATGCAGGTGGGATCAAATGAATATAAAAGTCGAGTACACCCAAAGAGATACACCCCGAAAAAAGGCGACTTTGCCATACTCGTGCCCAGTCCGTCAATGCCAGTTACTTTATCTCACATGTCCAAATCTACCTCACCCTCCGCATCAAGCTCGTCATCCCACATGTCGATGTCTTGCTGTCGGGGCGTAAGCTGATGGGGAGACTGAGATGAGAAACGCTCCGAGTCCAACACGTCAGAGTTACTGTTGTGGTCGCTGTCGCTACACAAGCTAGCAGCCCAAATCCGCTCGTTTTCTTCGACTTGCTGACGGGTGCGACGCGTGACTCGACCCAGGATAAAATCGAGCTGAAGATAGTTGGCGTCATTGGTAGCGAACTTCCTATGCTTGCGGTCCTGGATGTGCTAGTAGCATGCAACAGACATGAGGGAGATGTGACGGAAAGGCAGGTAAAAGCAGCTTACAGCGTTGAAGTCATCGAATTTCACCCGACAACTCTCGCAATAACCGGGTTTACTTCCCTCTTCACGTTTCGGCAGCTTGAGCGTATTGGTGCTACGACTCTTCCTTAACATTGCATGTGGACGTTCAGGTATCCCGACAGGAGGGCCCATAGTGCCAGCCCTTTTGACATCCTGTTCTTTGCCGGCAGCCACGGTAGAAACTTTACGCGAAGTAACCACTTGTTGCTGAATCCTTCCTCGCAGGGAAGCTGGTAAGTCCAATGTCCGAAACGCATTCCCGGCGTTTGAAGTGGTCCCAGTGGTAGAAGTGATACCTACACTGTTACCTGACGCAGCAATATAAGCTCCTGTTCCAGTTGATGCCAGATATCCGGAAGCGTTCGCAGAATCTTGGTTTTCTCCACAATCTCCATCGAAATCGTTAAATTCGTCCAAACCGTCATATGCGTCTTGTGCGCGACGGTGGAGGTTGTTCATCGATACTGATCGCCGAAGATCACCTGTTTTGCGAGCAGCCATCTGTGCTTGCGCTTTGCGCTTCAACTCCCTCGCCACCTTTTGAATGCGCTCCTTCTCCTTATCAGCCTCAGCCTTTTGTGACTTCTCCCATCGTCTTCTTTCCTTTTCGTCAAACTCTATGAAGGGTCCTCTTGCCTTTGGATGGCAATGGAGAGTTGGCCAGGCCCCTTTCTCTTTGCCGTCACGTCCTCTGCTGATAGGATATTCCAACGCATGGATTGTCGCGACTTCCTGTCGCACGTCCTCTACTAATACAAAATAACTTGACTTGGAGAAATACCGGAAATCATGCCTCTTCTGGGTAGGGTCCCGTTCCGTAGTAGTCCCATGTAAACGTTCCGATGCAAGGAGGCGAGTGAGAGACCGCTGGTTAGACGTTGTTGCAGAAGGTGTGCCTTGGGTCGCTATTGGGCGAGAGGAAGTCGATGCAGGTAGTGCTGGAACATCGCAACGTTCAAGAATGCTATCGAGTTTGATAGTGTTCCAAATCTTCATGCCCCACTTGAGGGCTTTCTGGACAAGTATATCATAACCTGGCGAATCCTCAGCAGGGCTGCGAGATTTCAGGTAAATCAGCCGACGTTCGTGTCAAGCTGACAGCAAACAAGAAAACTAACCGTCCTCGAAGCTTTATGGGACTCTTCAGCAAAGCGCTGGATTTCGGCACAGACGAACGAAGCCTTGTCACATTCTCCTTGTTTGCACTGGGATCTTCTGAGGGAACAACTTGATTTGTGATTAGATGCGTGATCTCATTCGAGAAAAAATCGTCGACCCGCTGATCATGATTGTATCCTGTGATCAGCACGTAGAACCTTCCTTGAACACAGAAGACATACCCCTCCCAGATGAGAAACTCGTGATGCAAGAGCATCCCTGAGGGCTGCACTTTCTGGATCAAGGAGATCGAGGTCAAAGTAGAATACCCAAGAAGGGAATGCGCGCGTGTATTTGATACGGAACTCTTCTTTTATGGCCTCGCGCTCAGCGCGTTTTCGCTCTCGCTCTCTCCTTTCGTCTTCACGTGTGGCAGCTGAAGCTGAAAATAGTGGTGCTGGCGACGGGGAAGGAGGCACTGCTCTTGGGCGTTTGACGCTGGCATAAGGCGCAGAGACGTCGCCCGCTGGTTCTGGAGAACGAGCACGCTTTGCTGAAAGGGATGTAGAACGACTAGGTGCTTTTGATGGAGAGAAGACTGCTGGAACTTGTGGAGGGATAGGGCGAGAAGTGAGAGGACGACGGGTGACTGCTGCCATCAACCTGGAGATATGTTTGAATACTAAGCTAGGCCGTTTTACAAGAATGTCGCTGCGAAACTTTTACAATGCGATAAAGTGTGGAATATGCAAGAAATGGAGGGTGCTGCCAACAGAGCAGCCAGAGAGAAAGGCGAGTGGGGTTCAGACGCGTGGGTTATTATTGTACGTTGAACAAATAAACAACGCGTGACATGTTCGCGTCGACGTAGCACGGAAATTAAATATTTATCCACTCTGCATTCTTCTCCAGCTGTAGCTAGAATAAGTGTAGAGAAATACATGTAATATCAAGGGAATTTTGGATGTACATTGCAAAGTTTCTCAGAGGCTGAAGTAGGCAACGCGCTCCACTGATAAGACACAAGAAGAGTGTCAATGTGGGAGTCCGAATTCTCAGGCTCATGATCTGTGAGATATGAGCGGAAGATAGCCGCAAAAGACTTCACATATCTTTCGCATAGCACATCGAAATCAAAATGGTAGTTAAACGCAATGCGCCAGCGCGGTGGTGGTGTACACTTGGAAAAACACGAAGTCGAGGCGCGTTGAACGGAAGTTTATGCCACGCGTTGTGCTGTGACGAAAATCACGTGATCCTCATCTCATTAAGCGTAACGCGTCGGTGGCTGACAGAGTAAGTAGTTTCAATAGTATCATGGGTTCCAAGCGACAAGTCCGTGGGGTATAACTGATAAAATACATATGGAAGCCGAGATCCAACAGACTGCGAACACCCTCCTGCTAGCCTGATTCTGAGAGACACATTACAACATGCAAAACACGACGAATAAACCGAAAGCAACGCGAAACGATAAAGCAGGATTTAGGACCCGATATATCGGATGGTCACGTAGCGCTTGCCCTGATATGTATGCGTTAGCTGTATGTTCGCTAATGCGGAAAGAATGTCACAATAACTCACAAAGATGCAAAAGGTAAGGACACATCATAAGCCTCAGTTACTTCCGCCAAAGGACTCTCAGTCAACTCCTTTGCACGTCGATCAACATCGTGGATAGTAGCGATGAGAAGATGTTCCTCCATCGACACAATATTGAGATTATAGTTCAATCCCCCGACCGAGATATCCCCCTCTCGACTGCCATTCACTGGTTGCCCAAAGAGCCCAACCCTCCGCTTACTATTCTTCATCGACTTGTCACCTCGCTGAGTACTCTTTCCAATGTGGCAGTAGGATCGAGCGACCTTCTTCGACTTTCTGATAGGACCTATTTTACCACCGGGTGGAACATTTTCCTTGTCGTGTGGGGAGGACTGGGCCGGTGGGGCACCGAGGCGTCTGGATGGTAGGATGGAATCCACAGAGGACGAGAGTGAGGGAGTGGTGAGATCAGCCATGTCGGATTCCAATACGGTGTCCAAGGACGCGCAGATAGTGCACCAGAGGTCCTCGGTATGATGAGTTACTTGGAGTTTAACACTCCAGAGTGTATTAGACCGTGTATGAGACGGTATGATGGTATGAGAGACGAGAGTCCAACCGTTGAAGGAGATAATTATAGTGCGGAGATTTATTGCTTGGGCCCCCAAGTCGGAAATATCCAGGTCCCTTGGATAGCAACTGGTTGAGTCCTTACATGAGGTAGACCGTCGAAAACCGAATGGCAGGGGAATTGCCTTGTGCGGAAAGACCATTCGCTTAAGACAGTGGCCGCATCCGCATCAGAGGTCCCAGCTTCTTTATGTCGATCGGTGTGGCCACACATACCAAAGCCGTATCGTTACGTTTCTGAAATATCACAGGCAGTACAAAGACGAGACCTTCAACTATATGACCAAAGTTACGGTGTGTCCGTCGCATTCTAGTAATACTTACATAGCGTGCCAAATGGTTGACTTATAGAATCCGAGTGTGATTAGAGAAATCACATCTGGCTTAAATTGCTAGCGGTAAGTGCCAATTGTTGGATCAATGACAATGAACTTCACCGTGGTGACAATGCTTCCGATGGCCCAACTTCGCTCAGGAAACCACAGACAGGTGATAACGATGGTATGTAACCGACCAAAAAAAAAACAAAGGAGTTTCGAGGAGGAATCTATAGTACCGTACTTAGGGTTACTTGGAAATGATTATACTTGCAGGAAACGTCATCATGTTCCAGTTCTGGATAAGGAAATAACTTGGGAGGCATGGGGTAGAGGCTCTTGCCAAGCACACACAAATAAAAGTGATATGAGGATGTCACGTGGTATACGTGTTTCTGACCTTTTGTCACTGAAAGTCAAGCTGAAAGGCGCGTTTTCTTCGAAACCGTATTGTGGTATCGTTTTCGCGTTATTTATCTGATATTTGAATCCAGTCTTAGCTGAGGAAACATAATTTTCTCAAATTTTGGTCCCATGTCGCTCATCACCGACGCTTTAGAGCTGGAAGATGAAGTGCTTTCACCTATCGAAGGGTTGTCTCCCATCTTACCGCAATTCTTTGTACCACGACTAGCTGATAAACCTCAGAACCCCATCTTGCATAATCTTGATCTCATGAGCCACATTGTGTCCAAGCCTGCCGTGGTGAAACCCTTGTTGCCTCCGGAACTGGCTATCTTAACGCAAGATATACACCAGCCGCAGCAAACTCGAAAGTCATTGTGGGCAGAAGCTATCACATCTGAAAATCAACTGCGAGTGAGATTTTTTGCTATCGCAATTGTGCTGTCATGTTGAATGCATTTTTGCCTGAACTTAAAAAGTGTCAAATCAAGACATGGGATGGTTTACGTTCTTCGTTCCGTCAGAAATCGTTCCATACACCTTTCATATCCGAGCAATCCGATCAAGTGTTTGCTTCAGCTCAATATCAGTAAGATTTTCTAACTAAGGGGAAGGTTGTGGCTTACTGAGCGTGAACAGTGTTCAGCCTGTTCTCAGCAGCTCATCGGCAAACGTAACGTATGTCACCCAGGATGAAATGCTGGTGTCGTTAAAGATGGTGGTCTTGGGAACATCTTCATCTTTACATTCATGGGATAAAAAGTCAGAAACGTTTATCCGGGTCGGCCTTGATAAAGGGGTGAATCACAGTCTTCTCATAGACGGAAGGAATGAGACTATAAGTCGAAGGTTAAATGATCATTCTTATCATTTGATGCATCACATTTAGCGTATTCTCAGCTTTTTGCAGAGGTTCTTGGACATTGGGACTCTTGTTCGTAGGCTTGAACTCTTCGTCACTTATCTTCGAAAACGGTGAACTAGATTTTCTCTGCCGTTTTACCATATTATTATTAACTTTATCGTGTAATATTCGAAGGGATGGCCCGACAGTCCATGCATTCGCCCACGCACTGTCCTCAACGCTTGCCTACGTGCGCAATACCTTGTCGAGCTTATCACCGAATATTACCGGCACTCAGTCAAAATCTAACATGCTTTCGGCCATTTGGCTACGCTACGGTGATTTGGAGGGCTTGCTTATTTCGTTGTCGTCGTTATGCCACCGGGTATGTCGTCTTTTCCTCCCACTGGGGCTGCACTGAACGGCGTGTTATGTTTATAGGAACTTCGTTTATCACCTCCAGAATACCCTGCATTTGAAACCTCTTCCGTCCCACTCTTGAATCGCGTTTATCAGCACCTCAGATCTCATATTGAGAGTTCCTCACTGCAGCTCATCACCGCCACATTTGCTTATCTGCTCACAAAGTCATCCCAGGACTGCATTCAGCGTGTTTGTCAGTCTGTGGCGTATGGTGACGGTAATCAACGTGCATCACTTGCTACCAAGCAGTCTCGTGAAGCCCATTCGTCCGACCTATTTGGCGCGAATGAGGCAGAGGAAGATGAAAATGACGATGCAGACAGTGCACAAATGGAGGACGAATATTATCCGGCATTCATACCTCCAGAACTAGCTAATATTCTACCCGCAGCAAGGAAATCATTGAAGTTATTGTTGGCTGCTCGACCAGATCACCCAATCCTACAAAAATCCTCAGCCAGCGAAGCTCTTGTTTGGCTTTGGACGGAGAGCGAGGTCAAAGCGGTATATGAAGGGCACGCAGTTGATAACAAAGACGAACGTTTAAACGACAGAAATGTGACGAATGGTGCTCAGAAGGAAGCTGATCCAGATGCCGACCTTGCCCAAAATCTCTACAAACCAGAACTAGCGCAGTTTCACGTCTTTGACATGGAGCCTGGCTCATGCCAGCAAGAATCTCTTTTCGGATCCACTTCTGGGAGCTTGGCAGATGCACCTTTACGATCGTTCATCTCCACGTTTCCTAAGGCCCTCCCGTCAATCGTTCCTAATCTAGAATTATTGACCTCCCTTGTATTCTCTCCCCTCGTCAAACACGCATCTTCTCTATCTCGTGCCGTCCTGTCGCTCTTCCTGGAGCAAGATTCGGCACTTTACCTCCACGACCACCTCAACTTACTGCGCTCATACATGCTGTTGACTTCAGACTCCTTTAAATCACGGCTAGCAACGGCTTTGTTTTCTGATTCTGAAGACCGCGAAACTTCGGACGAAAATGTCAAAGCTTTCCGGCTATCCCGTCAACCCCAGAGACACGCAAAGGCTTCAAAAACTGGACCTTGGGCCGTGGGTCTTGCGCCAGTCCTGATAGACAGAGAGAGTTGGCCTCCTGGGGGGACAGACCTCAGCTACTTTTTGAGGACGGTCATTATGGATTCCATGGAAATAGGCCATCCCTCGATGAAGGATGACTTGGAAGACCAAGAGAAATGTGGACGTCGACTCATTCTCAACGAAGCTGAGTATCGCTTAGGCTTTGCTATTCGTGATCTGCCAATTGGAGCTGGGCGCGACCAGTGGCTAAATCCTCTCTGTGAGTCTTCTCTTTTGCGCATCTCTGTGCGCACCAGTTCTGACAGTCCACCTTCACTTACAGCTATTGAGTATGTCGTGTGTTCCTGCACTTATACCGACATTTTACTAAACTAATGTCTATAGGGCTCTGGACTTCCTTTACCTCGATTATAAGGCTCCCCATCCGCTTGATGTCATCATAACTCCAGAGATTCTGTCGAAGTATCAGAGGATGTTCGCTTTCCTGTTACGGCTAATGAGAGGTGAGATTTTCCACTATTTATTGGTGTCCATCACGTTACAACGAGTTTTAGTTGAGAGTGCTATTCGCGCGGACTTTCGAATGTCACGCAAAAGAACAGAACCTCTATTTCCTACACTCACGTCATCGAATAAGCTCTTCCTGCACTTTCGATTCGTAGCGCAGACTTTTGTGAACGCGCTCTCAGCATACGTGTACGACGTCGCAATCGGAGGGAACTACGATGTCTTCCTCTCTCGCATTGTTGCTGCTCAGTCCTACGAAACACCTGATTCGGACGACGGTTTTTCAGACGTGTTTGCATTGGCCAGCTCACATTCGGCGGTTTTGGACGACATCCTGAGCGCCTGTCTCCTGAGATCGGGTCAGCGGGCAGTCGGTGATTTACTTCGCAAGACACTGGAGTTGGTTTTAGAGTTCAGCATCCTCACTGGTGATCTCAAGAGTGGCAGACTGCAAGAGTACCAGGCTGCGTCGTTGCTAGAAGATTTATTCCAACTGTACTGCAAGAAAATGTCTACTCTGGTCAGTGCCATGGCCTTATTATTTAAATGTCATACTTATGTGACATGAACAGGTTAAAGTATTGGAGGCACTATTGGAGAAGGGAGCCAAGTCGTCGCAGCTTCAAAGGGAAATACTTATGCTAAAGAAACAGGAAAGTGATGCTCATCATCCACCAGGCGGAATGGAGAGTTTGGGTCACCTTCTCAGTCGCATTAATGCCAATGGTTGGTGGAAAGGGTCAACAGGAACGGCCACTGATGCTTAGAGTCAATGTTCACACTGCATATAAAGCCACGAAATGATATATATTCTCACCAGTGAATTGACATTCTCTACATACTACTAATAAAGTGATAGTACTTATACATGACCTCCAAAAACAGACTTTACACCGTTGCACTGTAGGTAGCGAGGGAACATGGGGGATGGATGTGGGATAATAATGAAAATAAACAAAACGAAACATGCTTATGCAATAAACAAAAAGATGGGATGTACAATCAGTGGGGCAAGGTAGAACGAAAAGGAAGAATTATAATATGGCATTTAGTCTTCCACAGCATCGTGGAATGGGTTTTCAGCACAATGGTTGGAGTTGACCATCCTCGCCTTAATGTCTTTGCTTAAACGGAAACTCTCCTTGATCCATATGGCTTTGATTTCTTCTTCCCGCACACAGGTAGTATTCGCGGCCCCGCCATCGGTACCAATGACACCAAGTCCTCTCAACACCTCATCCACGCGTACACTCTCAGCAAGTTTGACCTCCTGTGCAGCGGCAGCACCCTTGGAAGGCCCTCCGAAAGAAGATGAACGGCCAAAGGCTCGTCGACCAGATTTTGAGGGTGACGACAAGGGGTTATAGGCAGACATTATTGATACTAATCCTGCCGTCTCTAGCATCCCAGCCAAATCACTGAATTCGCTCCTGGATACGGGAGTAAACAAATCGCTATCCCCACGCCTGAGGATGGCCGAGTAATAATAATGAAGCTGCGAGGCGTCGATTCCCCCCGAGCCGTTCAGCAAAGATGCGCTGGACAAAGTTCGTTTGGTAGGTGACTTGGTTGATGAAGCTGATCCACAAAATGGTAGGCTAGCTTCAAGTCTTTTGGATGCCAATATTATCGAGAGAAGGACAAGGCGATGTTGAAGACCAAGGTTGTGGACCTTCACTACAACTTCGCTATTACTAGTAACAGTGGAAGACGAGGGGGCAGAGGAAGGTGTATACGCCTTTAACGCATTCAAAACATGGGTGGGCGTAACAACTGGGGGAGAAGAAGCTAGAGGATTAGTGTCGGTGTCCATCTTCGTTGAAGTTGCAGATACTGCAAGGTCTATGGCACCCCGTAAGACTTCAAACAACGCTCTGACATCTCCAGTCTGAGTAGCAATTTTCTTTGCGAGTAAAGTTAGGGTAGGGGTAGGAAGAAACTTCTTCGATTGTTCTGCACCATCGGAGCCGCCCTTGGTGTCATATAGTGGCGAAAGGCGTGTCTGAAGAACCTGAAGAAGTTGTGCCGGTGTATAAGCTGCAAAATGAACAGTGTTCACACTTGTATCCGGACATTGTGAAAGGGACGACGTAAGTGTATGTGTGTTGGCAATTCCGATTATGCGAAGAGGATTATAAGTCTGGGCTAAGGAGAAAATGGAATTCAGATTTTCGGATGAGGCCGCGATATGATCGAGTTCATCGAGAATAAGAATACTGATCGATCGATCGTTATCAGCAACTGTCACATTGACACTTAAAACCAAAAGATACATACCAGCGATATTCCATACCAGCCAAGGCTTTTTCTACAGCTTGTTTACCTTTCACTTTTCGAGTTTTGTTCGGCGATTTAGCATTAGATGCATCACAGAGTTCCTCGGAAAGACGGTCCCACAGTGCATCGATGCTATTCAAAGCCATGCAGTTGATAGAGACGATTTTTCGATCCGATCTCTCCGCATCCTCGAGTGAAGATAAGATTGAGTTGACCAGAGCTGTTTTTCCAGTGCCTGGGGTGCCTGAGATGTACAGAGTTGCGACATCATTTTCCGGTGTTTCAGCTTCGAAGAAAGACACGATAAATTGTTTGATCGTATCTCGCTCTTCATCGCGTCCAGCAATATGAAGAGAACTATTACAAGTTGCACGAAGAAGCGAACGAGCCCGAGCATGAATTGGTAGCAACGATAGAGGTGGAGTGGGAGGAGGGGTAGATATAGCAAGGTGAGATATGGCTGATGCCGGAGTACAAGGTAGTGCTAATACATTGGATGTGGAGGCATGTCTCCGCGCTAAAAGTTGAAAAAAGTTAGTTTCGGTGCCAATACTTATGTAAAAACGACGACTTACTTGCTCTCGGACGTGACGGGCTTATGAGCTCTGTACTCGTACGTCTCAGCGAGCTACGCACAATGCTGGGGGACGTCTCGTTAAGGAGCTCTCCAGAGAAGGGAGGAATATTTTCCTTGTTAGCATCGCCATCAACAGTCGACAACGAAACTCGAGCGCGTTTTGGTTTCGGGGTCAGTTCAGGTGTGAGAGGCAATTGAGTCACTGCGAATGCCTCGTCGCAGGAGATATTAGCAGAGACTGCAGTGTCAATCTGGTGAGAGCGCTTTCCAAGCACAGAGTTAAGTGATGAGCGCGTTTGCATGGTGAAAATTGCAGTTCGAACGACGAAAAAAAAAGTTGTACAGAGAGGAGAGATAGACTCGGGCGACACTCGAGACGTATTGAAGAGGATAAGACCTGCCTTGAGGGCACCGTTGGTGGTGAACTGGATGATGGACCAGGTTGAAGAATTCGTGTGTGGCTGAGACCTACTTATAATATCGCGTATTTTGAGACTCCGCAGTGCAGTCTCATCATCACGTCGCGTCAATCACGTGCATTAATCGCGTTCGTGTTGCTTAGCTTTGGTGCTGTTTGCCCTCCAAATCACGTGAAACTCGTGTATTACGAGATAGCCCATATCTGGAAGGTGAAGTATTCGACTCCTCGGCAGATCTATTCAATCGATACCACGACTAAAAATGAGGCAGCCTTGTGTCGATTCTGTCAGATGGCCCCATCCGTTTGTCTATTCTTATTCTAGGGTACCCACTTTTCCTCTAAGACTGGCTTTAAAGATTTTCTGATTGAAATGAGCTCGTTTCTTGGATGTCGACGGGCTTTCTGACCATGGTGGGGACACTGGGGAGACTTTGACAGCGGTGTTTGAGCGGCCATGAAACAGTTGACATCGCAGTGACATACGCCTCATACACCATACCCTTATTGCCCAACTTGAAGGTTGCCGCTGTTCGGCACGCTAAACTTCTATGTATTTTTCATTCAGCTTCGGATACTTTATGGCATGGGCTGTGTAAATGCTTCTTTGCACTGGCACATCCACAGGCATGGTTTTGCTTCTGACCACGAGTTTCCACCAGTCATAGCACCACACTGCCTGGTCACTTTGTGGATTCAAGCCGCCTCGCTCGATTTCATTTCTTGTTTGAGGCCATGTCGGATCTCTTTCCTGCTCTAGCCTTCGTCGCGGCTTTGCAGCCATATTCTGCCACCGCAGAACCGTCCTCACGGGTGCGGACAGTACGGTGAGTTGATTTGCTTGGTACAGTGATCCAACAAAGTTCTCAGGTCTTTGCAAGTCATAGGAACTTTGTCGCTCGGGACAATGGGGACGACTCTGATGGAGACGATGATAACCCTAGCAATCCAAGTAACCCAAGCAACCCTAGTAATCCAAGCAATGGGAGCAACGGGAGCAATGGCAGCAATGGCAGCAATGGCAGTAATGGGAGCAATGGCAGCAATGGCAGCAATGGCAGCAATGGCAGCAATGGCAGCAATGGTAGTAATGGTGATAACAACGGAAACTCAAGCAACACCAGTACAACCACCACCAGTACCACTTCCACCACCAGCAGCGATAGCAAGAAGGACAAACACGACTCTACGACTTCTTCGGGTAATAGCTCCACCGACAGCGGTTCCAGTACTACTACAAGCAATTGGAGTAGTACCAGCAGCTCTAGCAAAACCAGCTCGAATGGTAGCAGCAAGTGCGGTGATGGTAGTAGCAACGGTCCTAATGGAACTTGTGGTACCAGCAATAGTGGGTCTCTCAGTACTGGTGCTCGTGCTGGAATCGCCGTCGGAATAAGTGGGTATTGTGAATATGATAATTGAGCTATAACTAATATTTCGACAGTACTGGCTGTTATTCTGCTCTTCGTATTGATATGTCTCCTCAGGAGAAGAGTACGACGTGCTCGCGAACGCTCGGAGCTGCCGGTAGTGGCACCGGTTTCTGCTGAAGTGCAGCGTTATGCTCCTCCATTGTCTGCTCCTCCTCCGGTGCCCCCTAGAGATTATCCGCCCCCAGTGCCTCCTCGAGATACTCCTACCCCATTATCTCGTCTGGATCTTGCGCGGAGACAACCATCTCAGAATCAGTACGGACCTGTGAGCCCGCAATCGTCCAGTATTGCTCCTCTGCTCGATCCTTCTCGTCGCGAATCATATCTCACATCAGCATCTCGACATCACAGCTTCTCGCCAACTTCAGATGCTCATAATACAGTGCACGATGATATGATGCCGTTGCCCAATCCCCACGATCCTTTCCCTGAGCGTCCCGTCTCTATGATCTCACCTATTTCTGCTACCTCTCCCACAGCATTGGGATCTGTACCCCCGAGTTCTTTCCAGGGACAGGCATTAGCAGCTGTTGGGGGTGCATCTTCTTCCTCCCGCACAGAGGACCGAGTACTTGATCGTTCTTCCACTCAATCATCTACTCTTCACTCAGACTTGACGCTGTACCAGAAGCAGCTTGAACTTGACCACAGGAAGCGGAGTCTCGATGCTCGCGATCCGGATGTCCCGAGTGACCCTCCCCCGCTGTATTCGCGCTCGTAGATGGCTGATTTCTTGGACACTGCCTCAGCCACATATTTTCTTGCTTTTAAATACTTGAATACTTGATTGGACCCTTGGTTACATACCGCCTTTTACTTGGCTTTTTACATTATTTTCTAGTACATCACAGTAGTGATATCGTGGTTCTGGCGTTTTTGGGGCATGAAGCTTATTCCAGAAATAGTGCAGTTTATCATTTTGCGTATACATCTTATGCCGCCAGAGGGCTAACATTCAAGAGCACAACAAAAAGGACATTATACAGAGGGCGCGATAATATCGATGATCTTTCCGGATAGGTAGTGAAGTAGAAATGGATAACCTGGGATGTTCGTCGATGTATGTTTCACGTTATTCGAATAATGAGCGGACAAGATTTCAATTTCTGCTTTGCGCCGTGTGTGTAGCATTCGCATCAGCTCCTTCCTACGAGAAGTCGTGAATAAAAGTCGATATAAAGGAGGCAAGTCGACTACCTCCATGGCGCTGGCATCGTCTCCGGAGGGCGTTGAAGCATCAAAATGGCCTGAGGGTCTTTAAATGAAACCACTAGATAGCACAAATGTAAGGTCAAACCTTTTTCTCATCGTGTTTAGTGATAGGAATCATAGAATCGATGTCGATGCCCAAGCTGTGAATGAAACGTGAGTATAGCACGGAATAAAACCTACAGCAAATTCGTATGATCATACTCCGCCAACTCGGATGTCCATATTCCTAGCCACTCAACGCGCTCCGCGGCCAGCTTTCCATTCTCATGTCTGAGACTCCAGCTGCCATATTTATAGACAGAGAGAATGTCGATACCATATGCATCGCCGTCGACTAATGCCAGAATTGGGATGCTATGATACCACAATTAAAAACAGGTAAGACACAAAATTAGACTTCAATCGGCGAATTACTGAGATGGCAGATTGTCTGAGAATGTCTTAACGAGCTGACGGGTTGCGACATCCGGATAGCCCTTTCCCTAAGACGATATTAGAATATCTGCGTGGCAGAAAAGATTCAAGTCACCGTGATGATTATGCCAGGACCTGGGAGCGATGGGTGACTTGCAAACTGCAGGCGACATAGGGTCTGAAAGACGGCCTGTATTTAAGATATTCGTGAAGATGTCACAGAAACGAGTGGTGAGAGGCTGACGTCTTTCTCTACTATTAGAACCCAAGCCATATCGCCTTCTATTTCGAAACGGTCAATATCTTCCCCGACAGGAATCAATGCACCCTGTTAACGGTCAGCAGACTTTGATCACGATGAGAAATTCCCAACAAACGGACCTCCGATTCGTTGATATGGATGGTCTCTCCTCCAGTAAGATGAATGAGAAGGCCACTACCACATATAAGTCCTTTCGTGGACGCACGCTGATGGAAGTAGTGAAGCAAGTTTGATAGAAATAATGTACTTGCTTACGACGTGGAGATCCGATCGGTTGAGTTCAAAAGTAGCAGCGACATCATCAACAAGCTGCCCCCCGTACAGGATTAATGATCATAGCGTTGAAAATATGAAATGACGAACATACACGGTCTACAGTAGCTTGCGACTTGAATAAGGATACATCTTTGTAGTACATATCTCTTCGATATACATTCATAGGTTAAACATTCTGACTGCCGAACAAGGGGGAAACGTACCGTTTCGTAACGGGTATGTCATATAACAAGGCCTCATGCATAAAATCAAGCACACGAAAAATATGTGCTACAGGCCGTTACGTACTAGTTGAGCCAAAGAAGACATATGTACATACCGAGAGGTTTTGCACTGGCTCCTTTAGAGTTGAGTGGATACCGTACAGAGCGGAAAGCTGCACATGCTGCTTGGACGAAGATTGATAAGTTAAGGGAATGTAGATAGCAAATACTAACTTGAGTCTTTCTTTCTGCGATCTGCTAAGCGTAGCTCTATCTTGCGAGTCTTGCTCTTTACTGGACGAGAACGTTTTCGAGAATCATCGGCTTCCGAGTTATCAGCGTCATCAATGTTCCTATAGCCTGCTATATCGTCCAGACAGCCAGTTAGCTGGGTTAGGAAAGAGAGAACAAGGTCTTCAATATTCGAAATAGACTGTGCTCTAATCGAATCATCATAAGCAAGGTCTGAGGTGACATATATGCGCGCATGTACCTCTGATTATCTGTATCTATCTCGTCAGAGTCTTGTGCGTTTTGTTCCAGATCGCCACTGAGAAGGTAAATACTGTCTTCGCCGTCAGACATGAATATATCTTCTCCAAAGTACGACCCTCCCGAGTCATCCAAGATTGCCTGTGGGTGAACAATATGGTCGAGAAAATCAAGCGAGTCGTCGTCGCAAAATAGTTCATCCATTATGCCGTCGTATGAGTTGCTTTTGAAAGGAGAGCTAGCCTCAACTGGAACAGAACGAGATGTCTCGAGGTCGCCTTGAACCATTGTGGTGCGGCACTGGAAGTACTAGGTTAAACTAGCCGAATCTGTTAGGACGACGCGATCTGGTCACGTGCCACAGCCCCTAATATAAAAACTTGAATAACATGACCGTGTCTCGTTGCTACTCAACCTCGATTTATTTTTTTTGGTATGTTGGGAATTTTTATCATTAAATCTTTTGTACATTAATGCCCTGGAGAGGTGGTACACGTTGTTGCATTCTAACATGTTCCAATCTCCTTTTGCCTTTCCAAACCACCAGCAAAATCGAGCAAACGCTGTCTCTAATGCAGTGTTTTCTCGTGCTCCAGTGTACGACTTGATTTTCCAAGCCCTTTCTCCTCGGTCTCTCATTAGAACAGGTCGAACGTGTCGCGTTGCGAAAGATGCCGTGTACGATTTTTCAGTTCGAGCGTTCAATATTAACCGGCACCTTTCTCGTTTCTTCACCAACCCTCTCGCCTTTCGGTCTTTGCAAGCGTGCACGGGCACATTGATCTCTGGATCCAGCGCGATTCAGTTTCTAGATCGGACTTTTTATCCAGAATCCGATCTAGATATCTATACTCATCCAGGTCACGCTCGCGAAGTCGGTCTCTGGCTCATGGAAATCGAAGGGTACCGTTTTGAGCATAACTCAGTACAGCATGCAGATTTCAAAGTAGAACTCCCAGATGACTGGGATGGACAGGAGCGTCGCGTTTATTCAGCCGATAACTTTAACTATTGCATGAAAGGAGTGGAGGCAGTGTATACATTTACCAAAGAGCAGCCTGGTGGCGAGCCTCTGAAAGTGCAGCTCGTCGATTCCAAGTTAAACCCATTGGAGGTTATCCTCAATTTTCACTCAAGTGAGCCCATTTTCAACAGTAGTCATGTGTTTGCTGATAAGCTTGGTCAAATTATTAGCGTGTGTCATGAACGTGATCGCCTTTGATGCTGCATACTCCTTATATCCCATGGCTACATTCGAGGATAGGCGCGCTCTCAAGTTGACCAATCCTCGACCGCACTATATAAGTGCGCTGCACAAATACGTCCATCGCGGTTGGCGGTTAATTGCATACATCAACGCGCATGATGAGCTTAGCCGTTCTTCGTTCTTTCTGTCCAGGGCTCGATGGGTAAATGATCAACATAGCTGGATAGTCCCCTTGAACATGGAAGGAGTCCACTTACGCCCTTCGATGTCACCTTCCTCAGAAAATATTAGCTGGGACCCTGTTATTCACAACAGTTGGACGCTGGCCCGTACTAACGATGAAAAGGAATACTCTGAGATTTATTCTCAATACCAACCTTCCCATACTACCGTGTGCCGTTATAACTATACGGTGGCGGTAAAAGAATTGCTTTATATGTTGATTTCGCACTTCAAACCGCAGGGAAAGCTATATCATTCAATCACATATCTCGATAAAAGCCACTGGACCTGGTATAGTTTTCTTCTTCTTCACGTGCTATAATATACCTAATATATTCAAAGGCATGATGCAGATATACCAAGGATCAGGAGTCGCTATGAATCCGAGTCCATGTTGATTAGAGATTGAATGCATCCTATAACCTCTCTACTTTCTGATTTTTTGTTTCATCTATGTTGACCACGTCTACATATATGCTGCTACTCAAGTACATAGCTTGACATAATTAGTATACTAAAAAGTAAAATATATACATTCTCGACTCATGTTACAACCTTATCCTTCCAATTACGCCCTGAGACGTTCGCCAATGACTTGCTGTGCCCCTCTTGTTGTTTTGAGCGTTGACGCTTGGTACCTCTTGTCTCTCTCACGTTTGTCTCCACTTCGATCATTTCTTCTCTTCCTATGCCTTCAGCCTTTAACCCACCCTCTGCCGCCCCATTCTGGGTTTGTCCTTCATCCAAAGATGGGCCGTGTTCCACAAGAACAGCATCACTTTGCTCCTCATCATCGATCTCTAAACCTGTTTGCAAAGCTTCTGTCTCTGCCTCTACATCGCTCACGACGCCTGTCTCCTCTTTCTCAGCTTCTTCAATCATGGCATCTGCTTCCTTCTTAGCCCTAGCTTTCTTTGCAGATTTACGGCCTTTGGTTTCTTTGCTTTCTTTATCAGCTGGAGGCCTTAGTGATTCTACGGAACGCCAAGGTGAACCAGGTCATACGGATATGAATATAAAGCACAAAGTGGCGTACCATATATGACAGGTTGCAAATCATACATCCGGTAAAGATGGAGAACGGCTTGTTCCTTGTCTTTTGCCTGTAAAGAGTATCAGAGACTAGAAACCGTGAGCAATAATCAATAACGGAATCAAGTACCTCGATCATCAAGTCTGTAATTGTTGACTGTTTAGCACCAATCTCGACCAACCTTTTCGCTGCAACTGTACGTACCCATATCATCGGGCAAGTCCTCAGGCAATGCCTGACAGCGGTCTGCATGTGCCCTGCGTTCCATGATGCTAACTGCGCCTGCCCGTGGCTCGCTCAGGTGTTGCTTTGGTCGGATACCACGCCTGGCAAAGATGGCATTTGCTTGTTGGATGATGGCAGCAGGTGGGAGATTCGGGGAAGGATTTAATAAATCGTGGTGGTAGTCGAGAATGAGTGGCACCGACAACTCAGTACATAAGGGGAGCAACTCCGCTGCATTATAACAAAGCTGTCAGAAAGGGCGATGTTGATTTAGTGGATTTAAATAGTGCGAACGCGGAAAAGAAAGAAACATACTTCATCGTTTTCAAGAACCAATCTGTCCCTAACATTCTGTGGAAGTCTCTGGATGGTTGCTTTGATGCGCTTAAGTGTCTCATCTTTATCTCCATACACACCTCCACCGTGGACAATCATCACACCATCCGGACCAATGCCCATAATGTCAAGCATCTCACAATGGTACTTCAACTCGCGGATACTGGCCTCTACGACGTCTTCGCGGGGACTACCAAGCTGGGTAAACTGTCCGGGATGCGTCGTCAGACGGTGTCCATACTTTGCAGCGAGTGCACCAATACTGGCGAGTAGCGGAGCACAATAAGTAAGAGAATAGCCATATATAGCATGCGAAGCAAAGGGGAACATTTCGGATGAGCTGCAATTTCATAATATGTGAGTATGAAAACGAAAAACAAAGCAACATTCAGCCACATACAGACGCATGAAACGAATATTCTATGGCGATCTATGAGAAACATTATTAGGTTATGACTAACGGAAAAAACGTACGTTTCGTTCGTTCCACTCGATTATTTTCAGCATGTCCTCCGCATTTCGACGACCAAGATCCTTCACGAAATCTAAGCCTTCTTTCTTGATGGTATCAATCCTGTATGTACAAGTTTGATTTTGAGACCTAAGCTTTGCCTCCAGGAGCATCAAGCTTACCGACATGTCCTGGAACAGAATATAGCCTCATGCACAGGTTTTTTATTCCTTAATATTGTATTTAAGCATGCGTAACCTAGGTAAAGTGGTCAAGTTTGGGAGATTGATTTGTTAGGCTTGCTTCCGCACTTACCTAGCCGTCCCTTGAACGATGTACTCTTCTTCTCCACATCTGGGATAACATAGACAGGTTCAGGTTTTGGTTGGCGCGTTTTGCGTTTCTTCTTAGGGGGCCCTTCCTCTACAAAAGATGATGCATCGTCTTCTGCTTGAGAAACCTTATGTTTCTTCCCTTTAGATTTAGATTTCGACTTCTTGGACTTTGCTTTGATCTTAAGAGCCTCCACTTCAACCTCTTCATTTTCATGCCTAAATTTATCCTTCCTCCTGGTTTTTTGCCTGGACTTTGTGGGTGGACTCAATGGAGTTTTTGATTCTATGGGTGTGAGATCTGACTCCAATGCTTCGTTCGTATTCTGGGTAGGCGCAATAATACGAGACGTCTCTCGTCTAGGTCTAAGAGTACGTTTTTCCAGAATGGCGGAAGAGATGGCGTCTGCTGCAGACTGAGTAATTGCTTCCCTTTCCAGGTCCTCACTTGGTGAGCTACGCATTGAATGCCGAACAGTAGTACTACTGGCAACCATCGCAAAATGATGAGAGCGTCCAAGGCTCTGGCAATGAAGCTGGGCGAGACGACACTGAATGATAGGTGCAACAACCTGAATGCGAATTGAGAAAGCCAATTTGCCTGCAAAAATGATAGGAAACCAAGATAATATTCAATGAGACCAGAATGAAGGCCCGAAGCTTCGCCAGGTAGCTCACCGTACTGACTATTGTATTCAGGGGCTTGCTGTCTGCAAGTAAGGTTGTGATAGACCGATTGACTTTAGCAGAGAAAAATCGAGATATTTGGCTGAAGCCTTGTTATGAGAGAAATTGAAAGGTCTGCCTTGGAAATTTTCCATGTTTTCTGTTGCGTTTCGATCTGGGCATCCGTTCTTGTTGGCACCGCAGACGATCGAGGACAAACGTGATGTGACTATGTACTGACTTGTCACGATAGGGATATGTGTCACACTGCGTTCAGGTCCGTCCTGTCACGGTGCTGCAGATAACTTACAACTTGAACTTGAATCATATACATCGCTATGGCTCACCAACACGCAGGTCACGACATGCCCGGCCACGATATGCCAGGTCACGATATGCCAGGTATGGGCCCCAAGTGCTCCATGAGCATGCTCTGGTATAGAATACATGGTCTCCTTGCAATTCTGACTACTGACTACTTTCTTCAGGAACACCAATATCATCGACACCTGTATTGTTTTTCCCCAATGGCACATAAGCTCTCACACCGGCTTCGTCCTGTCCTGTCTCGTCATCGTCGGTCTTGGAGTTCTTTACGAATACCTTCGTGTCTTCCAGCGTCAGGTCGACAGGCGGATCGCTCTATCGTTAGGAAAGGGAAAGAGTCGTGCTCGTTCAAGTAGTGGGCGCAACTCTCCAACCAATGCCAGCGACTTCGAAGAGGCTGCCTTACTGACTGGACGCCGAACTCTGAAGCCTAGTAAAATAGGGTTTGTGATATGACCTGTTTCTGTCACTTGTTTTGACCTCGTAACAGAACCCCTGTACCTCCTTTTGCTCGAGCGCTACGTGCAAGCCTGTACGGCGTATCAGTATTCTTGTCATTCTTCCTCATGCTGGTATTCATGACATACAACGTATGGCCTCAAGCTGATAAGTGTAATGCTTACTAACGCTCACTTCCTCATCATCAGGCATACCTCATCCTGGCCGTTGTGGTCGGCGCAGTAATCGGGCACTTCATCTTCGGAAGCCATGTTGACTTCGACAACCTCGATACCGCGAAGAATGGCATGTTTTGTCACTAATTTTTTTGCTATCTCCCTCGTGTTTTCTTCATTCTTGCAATCTGACAGCAATCTTTTGGGTCTTGGTTATACCTACCATGTACAGTAAGCATATTTATGCAAGTAGACTGTTGTGAATACACTGTTTGTAGCTTATCTTGTGTGTTTGTCGGTGATATGCGTACAGACGCCCGTTGCCATATACCCGTTCAGACAGAGCAGGGTATACAGTAAAAAAGTCCGTGGGGCTAAGTTGACAATGTAAACCTCTTCTATCTTATCTTTCTAGTACAGTCAACAAGGATGGTGTAAGAAAGGGCTAGAATGACATTTTATACAAATACAGTGCATATGTATTAAGCGCTCTTCATCTCTGTATCCCCATCAGTCTTTGCCAGACCTTCTGCCCGAAGCAACGCGTCGATCTCAGAGGGTTTGTATATTTTGGCCTTCGGTTGTTTCGTGCTTTCATCGAGTGTCAGCACGGCGAACTCCACTTGAGTTTTTAATCTATAATCAGTGTTTTTCAAAACCAGATTAAATATCATGCACTCACATTTCTCACTTCCCAACGTCGTACTGTCCATGGTTTTGCTCATTACCTTCAGTACTAGCGCGATCGCATCTTTCACCAAGATATCATCTTTGTACTCTTGTTTCAAGAGTGACTGCGCAGTTCCGTTGTTCGCACCAATACATGTCGCTTTCCAACCTGAATAATTGCCTGATGGATCGGAATGGTACAGTTGAAATTGGTAGTGTGGGTCGTAACCTGCGTAGAGAAGTGAGACACCGAAAGGTCGGAGACCTTGCATAGTGTAAGGTTAAGCAATGATTAAACAGAACGGAACATGAAAAATCATACCTCCATATTGCGTGTACCCTTGCTTCATATCACATAGTCGCTGCGCAAGCAGTTCCACGGGTATGTCTTCATTGTATGACAATAGATGTTGTTGAGCTGCTGTACGTGCATAATTTACCAGCGAATTAGCATCAGATGTCAGGCCAGCAACGCCGCCGATCACATTGCTGGTACTGAGATGAACAGACATTCAAGGCGACGAACTGCGATCACCTACGAATTCAGCAAGAAGATCTTCTCTCCGCTACCTCCATAACCACCCTCTCCTGATAGATCTAGGAGCTTTCCTGTCACCTTCTTCTCCGCTGCGAGGACGACACCATCCTTTGCGAGAACGCCGAGCACAGTACCGGCATGAGATATGGCCTCCATGGCATATTCGACTGAACATCTATCAAGATATAGCCCTTGCATCATAGATTCAACTTACTTTGGTAGAGTCGACCTGTATGTGATAAGGAAAACATAAGCTGGTGAGTTCTCACCCGATATGTCCTGCTTACCTTCTGGCGAGAATATCGTTGTACGACCTGGAATGAATGATCTCAGAAACCAAGTTTACACATACTTAGTTTGCGACATACTGTCATATCTTCTTGCCTATTGTCCATCAGGTTGATTAGCAGCTTCCAGGTCTGTAGAAATATCAGGCACATACCATGGTGGATGAAAGATGATCGTTCTTGCAGTAACTTCTCTGTAGTTACTGACGCGTCCTTTGCGATTCAGGTGTACGCGTCTGCAACCCCGCCGGGACTTGCCGCCACGTGCATTTGAATCTGCCTCTTTCAAGTTTCTCTTGTTTAGCATCCAGAATCCTAGTAGTAAGCAACTGCATCGACATTAACAATCCAGAAAAAAGCCGCTTGGTCATATTCGCAGCCGTTCTACAATCAAAACAAGTAACATAGCCTTCTAGGCAGGATTGTACATGTGGACTCATATTTTCGTGGCCCGTAGCAATAAAAACCACTGAATTCATCTACTTTCTCCGTCCTTGCATTCTACAGCGACTCTCCAATAAACTTCTCTAGACCATCTTTGATTTCTTTTACCTGTTCTTCTAACGTCATCTCGATTGGGACCGTTACGACTCCCTCTTCATCCTCAGGACTCTCTAGCGTCTCTAGCTGGCTCTCTAGCATCTTAGCCTTCATGAAGTGTCCTTTGCGATGTTCCATGCGGTCCATGAGTACGTCTTTCCCACCTTTCATGAACACAAAATACGTTGGTAGGTCTTCTGAGTGTGGCGAAACGAAATGCGAAGGGACTGTTCCAGATTTCTCATGTCCTCGCAGGAGAGCACGGTAGGTTTTCTTCAGCGCAGAGCAGGCGATGATGATACCAGGTCGATTGATTGACCTCGCTTCCGTACCTGTCTTCAGCTGGGTGCTCGACGCCGCCACTTTGGCCTCGTGCTTTTCGAGTGCATGCTCCGTCTCTGGCTTTGATTCAGGCTCTGGTATTTCTCCTGGATCTTCACCCCTTTGAGTCTGTACTTTCTTGTGCGCCGTCGTACGGATGATTTCTAGCCAAGGCGCGCGGTCCTCGTCCGTCAGCGGCTCACCCCTCGACATCTTTTCCACATTCGATTTTGGATGCAGGTCATCGCCATCGATGAACGGTACGTGTAATGCTTCGGAAAGAGCTGCACCCAGAGTGGACTTGCCAGTCCCAGATACCCCCTATACAAAACAAACTTGTGAGCTTAGACCAATCAAAAACATGACTTTATAATGGTGTCGTGTGACCGAGTGCGGTTGTTGTCACGAAATGAAAATGGGGTGGTGTTGTGTATCGAGCAAAGAACAGCGTTACACACTGACCATGACTACAATGAATATTCCATGATTGGCGGTTTGATGACTCTGAGGATCGGCGGGGGTGGACTTTGGCAGTGGGTTACCGTCGGAGTACGACTTTGGATCGTTATCAACCAGGGACTTGAGATAAGGGTCTGCACTGAAATCGTCGGGAGACCTTTCCGTTGTCGAGGACATTGTCATTTATTGGTATTGATCAAAAGAAGTTGCTCCTCGATGGTCGCCTCTGTAACTCCTCTGTAGTGCAATTACGGCGCTCTGGCTTCACTGGTACCTTTGGCAGATGTCAAATTAAATTGTATGATGAAGAGTTAATGGAACTCGATGACTCGGAATTAAACGGTGAATCTGGTTTGGGGAAAACGGTCAGCCTAGGGCACGTTCAAACTATCGCATCCGACGCAGACTTCTTGGGCTGTCAGATGAGGACATGACAGACCTTCCGCTGCAATCTTGTCGCCGATATGCCAGCCATTCAGCACTTTACACACACTACTTCAAGGAACAAAAGGTGCTCACATTCCTTGATAAATTTCCCTTGGACTTTGGACTCTATACAAGGTGTAACTGGGCGACGGACCAGATGAAACTTCCGAGTCTTCTAAGGGGCCCCCAAGCAGCTCCTGCCCTCCAGCCTTTTCTTCACAGACCTGGTTGTTGGTATTATGACGATGGCAAACTTAAGGAGCTACTGTGAATAAGACATAATATATTCGGAACAAGCATGGGAGGTCATTGCTTAGAGGAGACTAGAGCTTCACGTGCAGTTGCAGCTGTGCGTACGGAATCGGTCCGTGGAAACAGTCGGGCCCGTGCGCACAACCCCGGGAGTGAAAGGATTTAGACCTACCCGAAACAGGTGATATCGTGATGGACCTGAATGGATTCCACGGAGCGCCATTTTATCTGTTGTGTTGCGGTCAACAGCCTCTATGAAAATTAATCAAGTTTCCCCTGACAAGACGAATCTGTTTGATCTCCGGGTTTGTGGCAAGTATATACAGGTGCCTATCCAACTATCGCAATTTGTAGTGTAAATGGGATGCGATACCTGTTCACATCTTTGCAGTCCGACAGTATTAGTAATTGGATCGGTGGTTGGATTAGAAAAGTAAGAGTGTGAAGGAGAGGAATTTTGTTTGTAAAAAAAAGAGTGGATGAAGCAATGACAAAAAGGAAGGGAATTGCTGAGGAGGAAAAGTGCTATTGATGTCAAATTTGTGCCAGAGGAAACAACGATTATAAGGCGGATCATAGTGCAGAGTGTTGGAATAGAATGGTGTGAAAGCAGATGGGTGAAGGGGGAGGGGACGTAGCCCCGGTATTAGACAAGGTGAAACATACTGTTGCAGAAATGGGTAAAGTGAACTTAAGAAATGATTGGTGAAACAACGAGATGACAGAAAACAAACACATTAAACAACAAACAGTATAGTATAAAACGAATAAACAAAAGATTGATTTCCTTTGATAGATCATTACCATTTCACTCATCATCGACCATGGGGAGACATTGCATGAGGCGGCGTCGAGAAGTCAATAGCATTGTACGCAGGAGGCGGTACGTCGTAGACACCGTCTTCAGGCCCTCTGTTCGTGGGTAGTGTAGGAGCAATGTCAAGCCCATTAGTCGCCGTGCGCCGGCGATGTGCCCTATTCAATGCACGCATCCAATCAATCTGTGCATCCGCATCCTTCTCATGTCGCACCCTTCGCCCATTACTTCCAGTATTTGCGGGTGTCACTGGCTCAACCGCAGGTGCTGGAGGCTGAGTTGGCGCATTCGATTGCGAATGAGCATGACGGTGCCCCGGGGAACCTGAGCGCGAAACTGTCAAAGGCGTAGGAGGCAGCGTGCGCTGAACAGCCACCGAAGTGCGTTTGTCGGTGGGCAGTGGAGGCTGATGTTGCTCAGGCGTGCGGGGAACCTGGGGCAATCGTCGGCGGCGGAGGGAACCGGAAGCAGAATGAGCACGGTTACGTGAGGACTGGGCACTCTGGGGTCGTGACAATGGTTCGGGGTCGTCATCGAAGACGGGAGGTGGGATAGCGATACCGTCCCCGGTCACTGTTGCCCAGCGTGTGTGTTCCGTTGCTGCGGGCGAAACAGAAGGAGAAGAACGTGAACGGTGTAACCACGGTTGCGAAGATGCAGGTGGGTGGTAAGAAGATGGAGGCATGGGAAGTTCACGACGTCCTCCCGTGTGAGGTGATGAGAGAGGGCGAGATGAAAGTGGAGGGTAATCAGATGACGGAATGGATGAAATAGGCGTTGCAGAGAATGGCTGAGATGTGTAACGAGTGCTAGTATCGATACGTGGGACGACCGTACCACAACTTTGCCGGTTTTGTGATTCTTCGAAGAAGGCACTATCAAAAAATCCAGTAGATGGCGCAGATGATGGCGTAGGTGGGTAATACGCTGATTCATCTGAAATGCTTGCTGTGTCACATGCGGTACTTGGACGTGGAGGTAAGTCGATGGCCGCGCAGTGTGGCCGAAGAGACGGATATAGTGGTTCTCCATAAACGATCTTGCGCCACTGTTGAATGGATGTTGACATATGCGAAGGTTCTGATAAATCAAGTACGTCTGCATCATCTACGCAGCTCGGTGGGGCACCGGCCTCAAAGCAAGGAGTCTTGAGGGACGGATAAAGTGGTTCACCATACATGATCTTTCGCCATTGTCGAGCAGATGCAGGAGTATTAACCGAGGCGGACTTCGGAGCCAGCTGTGTCTCGGTACAAGCCTTTTCATCAGGGTGATGTGCGATAGTCATCCACTCTTCTGGTTCCGTAACAAGTAAAAGTGCTGTTACGAAAAGGTGGTCGAGGAGAACAACTGCTATCCCAGCATGGTCAAGCTGAGGGCGAGAGTTATATCTGTTTTCCAAAGCCTCGAATATGTGGAGTCGAGGTGGAATGGAGTCCACAGCAATTTCCAGCGAGGCGACAAGGCCTTTACACATGGTAGTAGTACACTAAACAGCAAACGCATAAGCATGGTATATAGGCGATCACAGCAAAAGATGGCCGGGCGTACATGATAGGCATTGCCCGAGCGCTTCCATTTCAAACTATGAGGATAATTGGGAATGGCAAACTTCCGGGAGCTAAAAACGACGAGGGGGTCAATGATCGTTGATGGACTGTAGACGGATCAGACTTGCCTCCCCATAGTGCCATATTTCAGAAAATTTTCTGTAGCCTTCCATCGATAGCCATTTATTTGTACGTTAGATCCGTTAACGTTCTCTTTTCCTTTGCCCTTGATATGAAGTTCTTTTGGCCAACGAATGTCGGCTGCCTTAGTCATTCCATCCCAAGGGTCAGAACGCCAGATGGTGGTTGAGGAGCCCACAGTTTCGACTGCGTAGAGAGGTTTTCCAGTGACATCGTCTATGGCAACAGAGTCCAAGAAAGATAAGGAAGAGAGCTCTAGAGTGAGGAGAGGCATCTTTTGTCGACGGGGATACATGTCATCGCCAATGTCGAGACGATGAAGGTAAGGAAAGATGGAAGAGGGAGCAGAGCAAGAAGGGGTGACGGTGGAAGGACCAGCGGAGGGTGTGATTGACGCCTGTGTGCGATTTGAAGGAACTGGAGTGGCTGTTGCACTGGAACAGATACTCGAAATGCGAGACGCAACGGGACAGGCGGAGATCTTTGTGGGTTTTTGGACCACCACGGGCGGGGGAGGACAAGACAAGCGTTGGGCTGGTGGAGGAATAAATTGAGAGATGGAGGGTTTGTCAGATTCAGCGAGCGACCACGACATGAGCGCCCGGTGCATAACTGGGAAACAAAAGCTGGAGCTTGCTGGTAACAGAGCGCTGGTAATAGGATGTAACAGGATAAGTTTACAACCGCGACAATTAGCTGGAGACTTCTTACCTCCGTATACCTTCACTAAAGGTACTAATCCAGCCAGGTTACCGAGGACCAATCTCTGATTAAATCTCGTTTAATTATGTAATACTCACATACCGATCTGGCTTCTCGGCTGCGAGCCACTGCACCCCATTTTTCAACCTCCGCGGCCTGCATACCCATGCGTTTCCCTTTCTTACCTCCTTATGGCAGGCCCATCGTCAGGAACACCCATTCCCAGATTTCCCTATAGTTCCAACACGGTCCACGTTGACCTCCCACGTCCTGCTTGCACAATAACCGCCGATAGAGTCCTCGCCACCTCCGAGTCATTCGCAGCTCCCTCGTCGGAGAGTCCGTTGGATATATGTCCGAAACCAACTCACCTTCTCGCCAGAAGCTCCCCACATCAGAACTCCTCGAACATCGCCAGCAACGTAACATCCAGACATCCGACCCACTAGTCACCTCGTGTCCATTCATTTCGGGTACTTTCATAACATATCTGGTTGCCTCAATTGATAAAGTGGATAAAGTGAGCCAACAATGACCAGCTGACGTTCAGTCACCTCCGACAACAACGAAATGTAACAGAAATCTGTCCGACACGGCGCTCCGGTTATCGCTCGCCGAAGTTTAGTAACATGCTCGGCACAATGTTCCTCCCAGGCTGCTTATACTAGCAGTTCCCACGTACAATATAACCCTAACCTCACTTATTCGGCTCCGTTTCTCACCCACACGCGCGTCAACACAGTCAAACAAGTCAACGCGTCTTTCTTTGACTCTGCCACCACCGCGCGTTTCAAGTTTTTATTCTTATATTCTTATTTTCGTTTCGTGTCCGTATTATTATTGTGCAAATCATGTCGAACGAGGCCGGTGACATAAAGTACGTGTTTGAGAATACCGGGAAATAGACAAACTGATGTGTTATTTGGCGCGTTCAGAAGTGCAAGCCCAGCCAAAAATGGCTCATCGGGCGTGACGGCCTCGCCCGTTAGTAACAAGGGGAAAGGGAAGGTTGCACAGGCAGATGAATCGATGGACGAGGAAGAAGAGGAAGAGGAGGATGATGACGAGGAGGAAGAAGAAGACGACGACGATGATGATATGGAAGAGGTTTGCGTCTCCTTCCCTTCCCTTCTCACAAAGTCTTTTTCCTCATAGCCTTTTCCAGGATGAGGATGGCGAGCCTGAAGTTGACCCTTCCGCTATCATCTCAAGTGGTCGACGCACGCGTGGCATAAAGGTCGATTACAGCTCTCCCGCTGCTCTTGCCAAAGCCGGTTTAAAACCCGAGGATGAGGATGAAGACGAAGACGAAGAAATGAAGTAAACCCTTGAAGCAAATAGACAAGTGGTCATATGTATAGAGCTTTCCTTTGTCGGTGGTGCGAGGCTTGTGAACTATAAATGTTGTACAATTGAACTTTTTAGACTCTTACTCCCTTTATCGTCCTCTTTCGTTGCTGCGGTACGCCCAATGTTCTATTAATACTGTCGCAGCTTTTCACAATGGTATAGATCAACTGCATTTCATCTGGTGGTACTTACTCAGACTAGCTGACAATTGAACGAATTAGCACAATAAGTTATTCTTCCAAGTCCAGCCTGATTAATACATGTGCTACTCTACTTCAAAGCATACGCTTCCATAAGTTACAAAACGTCGTCTATACCCTATCCTGGATGTGAAACACAACCAAGACAGACGCCACTAGTACCACTGCCAAATTCTTTACCTACTTACTAGTGGATGCCACACCGAATGTCAGGAAGCCCCATACTGCTAATGATCCAAGGGAGACTAGAACCACAAGCACCCGTGCTTCTTCTCCCGCAGTACTGCGTTCTAGCAGCAACTCACCCAGACCCCTTCTTTTGTGCCCTGGGTGGAGATCCACCGTATATCGCCGCGTTCGTGGACAGCTGTATGACCAACTCCAGCCCCAGATAAGGCCCACGTGCCAAATCATCGCGCGCCTCTCGACGCAAGAAAGCACGGCGGGCAGACCATGTTGATCAGCGGTCAAGTTGTAAGTACCCGATTCGATGTATGCGTGATTCGGCGGGGGGTGGGGGGTGGTAGATGAGGTGGCGTTGAGTGGCTGGAACGGAGTTGGCGGGGGAAGAGGCAGGGAGAGGGAGGATGGGATGAAGGTGATCGTGAAGGTGCTGAGACGCGGATGTGCGCGGGCTATATGAACGGCGCAGGTTGACAGAGGGTCTTCATTTGGGAAGCGAATGATGTTGAGGGTGAGGGAACGAAGTCGTGTGAGATGCCTGATTGATCTAGCGAATGATTCCTGTTGTGGGGAACATGTAGGATCAACTGAAGGCGCTAAAGAAGGGCAACTTACGAGCTGAAAAGACGGCTTGCGTGCACAAGTTAACTCGAGCTCGACAAGATAGGGACAAGCAGAAACCAGTGACCTTAGCAGGCTACCACTTTCGTAAGTAGAATGAAATATGAAGGAAATCTTCAGGGACCTGAGCAGAGGAAGTCCTTGGAGAACACTGGATACAACCATCGGAGCCAGATCGCGGATGACAATCGGCTCATGGAAGCCAACACTTTTAATGCTGGGATGCGAAGGTGATATAGCCTGCAGGTGCTCCAGCGAGCCGGTGAAGTGCTCGAGACAAGGTAAAGCATCGTGATGTAGAGTGGGCAGGTGCATAGGGTTCAACGCATACCGTGATATGTGGAGTGTCCGGAGTTCACGATGGGCCTCCAAGAAGGCGATGAATGGGCGTTTACTTGCAGAGCTGACGGGAATGTGCCAGTCAAGTGCGACGTCTCCTATTATGAGTTTGCGAAGGTTCGGCCAGCGGCCCCGAGACAACGCATGCGCATCCGTGGGCACGGAGGAAGTGCCGTCGATGCATAGTTCCCGGAGATCTGGCGAGCGCTTGATAAGCATATCGCACAGGCGCACGGTATGCAAGCTCTCTTTTGCACTGTGAGCAAGGTATAAACGGGACAACAGTTAAACCCCCTACCTTCAGAAGGAAGCTCGGCATGGTTAATATAAAACCCGTTCTTCAAAATCAACGAGAATCCATGTAGATTGTTGAAGTCGAACAGCTGTGCACACGATATAAGTTACTGGGGGCGCATAATAGAGTTCACGCACATGACTATTGGGGTTGGGCAGCGTCGACCCAACTGTGGTGCCTATAGTACGCAGCTGTGGACAGCTGATAAAGCACTTTTAATTAATTCATCGTGAAAGCCAGCATGATGGACTTACGACATTCGTAGCGCAAACCACATGTCGTCGAAGGGTGGACCTTCGTTTCCGTCCCATACAAATGTATTGAGAGCGTCAAGCTTCGCAGCAGCCTTCCTAACAGCGGACGAGATCAGATATCCGTCGACGACCTCACTTTCACCAGGAGAGCGAACATGATCGAATCGAATGAATAGTTTCTGAACGTGTCGGGCGATATCGGGTCTGCGAAAGAGCATGGCGAGCGTATTAACGCACTGTGACACTGTATCCAGATGCACATATGCATAAAGTGAAGGACAGATATTGGTGAACAAATGAGAGCACTGCACATGTTGTGGAGTTAGATGCGGAGTGAGCCATCCCGGGAGCCTGCATGGGTAAGACAAGTGACTGACCGATAGTCCAAGGTGGAGGATATCTGAACGAGAGTGGAGATAGCTAGCTATTTCCAACAAAAGATCACCAGGAAGGCCTGCCAGTCGCAATGAGTCTCGGTTGACTGAACCCTTACGATGTCGATGTACGGAAGTGCGTCCAGCACCTTTCGAGGGTCTTGTGTCAGTCAGCTGGGCCATGGAGGGTATGGGGATGTGTTTCAGCAAGGAGAGTACTGTAATGATGTATCCGAGAGCAAGTGCAGAGCTAGAAAGTGACGAAGTTCAGTGCAGTCATGCGAGGGTAAGATAACAAGAGCTTAAGTAAAGCCTGTGCAGGGCACTGTAAGCGATGACCGAGGCTGGGAAGACCATGAGAACGTCTGATTGCCTAAAGAGGTAACAAAGAATGTTCATCTGACCAGACCGCAACTCAAGCGGCTTGCAGTTATCATTTGAATTCGCATCTGTACTACCGTGCCCAAGGTAAGCCTCATCGTTCTTCCGGATAATAAAACCCAGCTGCAAGGTTATACCTTGCGCCCTTCTATCTCTGTCGCTGATATGTCGTCCCAGCTTTCTCTCCCAACTCTCGACAGGCTCGGTAGCACGATCCCAGATGACCTCGACGTTCAGCATGTTGCACAACAATGGTTCAAAGCCTTTTCAGCAGGCATGATGGCAAGAAGGCCAAACGCCGTTGGTTCTGTCTTAGTGGATGATGCATTCTGGCGTGATATGTTCGCACTGACATGGGACATGCGTACATTCCAATCTTCCCCAGTTATCGAGCGTTTCCTTACCGACCAGCTGAGAACCTTCAGTCTATCTTCTTTCAAGCTCAGGAAGGAGCTAGTACGCTTGGAGAGACCTTATCCAGACTTGGCTTGGATTCAAGGATTCTTTGATTTTGAGACTCAAGTTGGGATTGCATCAGGTGTTTTCAGGCTCGTTCCGTTATCCAACGGAGAATGGAAAGCACACGCGATTCTCACAAACCTCGAGGACTTGAAAGGCTTCCCAGAGAAGATTGGGTCGTTGCGCAACTTTCAGCCGAATCATGGCAAATGGGCTGATCAGCGCGTTCGCGAAAAGGAATTCGCTGACGCAGATCCCCAGGTAGTTGTGATCGGTGGCGGACAGAGTGGTTTGGAGGTAGCAGCACGGCTAAAGGCCCTTGATGTGAGCGCACTCGTGGTGGAGAAACATGAAAGAATAGGAGACAACTGGAGGAAGAGGTATGAGGCGTTGTGTCTGCACGATCCAGTTTGTAAGTAGCACATCTCATATTTATCATCATGTAACTCATTATCCACATAGGGTATGACCATATGCCTTACCTTCCGTATGTTTGGTGTTTACTCAAGTCCTTCTAATCTGACACTGCATTAAATACAGTTTTCCACAGACGTGGCCCGTGTATAGTCCGGCACTCAAGCTTGCGGACTGGCTAGAGTCTTATGCACACACTCTCGAGTTAAACGTGTGGACTTCTTCGGCTGCCACCAGTGTCACTCCACTTGCGTCTGGATCCAAGCATAAGTGGCGTGTAGTTGTGAACCGTCATGACGGGCAGGAAAGAGTATTGAACGTCAATCACGTCGTTTTTTGTATGGGATTTTCAGGAAAGATTCCAAATATGCCGACGTACCCTGGAATGGTATGTAATTCTCTCTGGGACTTCAGCATAAGACTCTTGATATCCTTCACAGGACACGTTCAAAGGTCAGATCCTGCATTCAACTAACCACAAGAAGGCCTTGGATCACATTGGGAAAAAGGTTGTTGTCATCGGCGCCTGCACTTCCGGTAAATTAGGATTTCGTCGTTGTTTCTTTGTTTCTTTGATTGAACAATAAACGTCTAGCACACGATATTTGCTCTGATTATTATGAGCATGGTATTGGTGAGTCGTTCTCTACTGATATAACGTCTTTCGTATACTGATGCTAGGATCGGGTAAGACGTGACAATGTGCCAGCGTGGGCCTACTTATATCATGACAACGAAGGAGGGAATGCCTAGATTATTGTGTATGTGTCTGGGTTCAATGAGTCAATAGCTGCATCCTCGGCTGAACCCTTCTCATACACACAGCAATTTACTGGGATGGGGGTCCACCTACGGAGATTGCAGACAGGATAAACGCATCATACCCGAACTACCTCCTTAAGCTCATGCATGTTCGAGTAACGAAGGATATTGCCGAGGCTGACAAGTGCGAATTTTCACTTTCTACTATACTCTGTTGGCTATGTGATTTAAAAATTATTCTAGGGTCCTTCTGTATGGTCTTCAGAAGCGCGGGTTCAAGCTAACATTCGGCGTGGACGACTCTGGTTTTCTGCTACTGGCGTTTGAAAAATCAGGAGGTTACTATCTGGGTTCGTTCTAAATCTACCACGGAGTTTCTTCAGTTGCGCTGAGAGTGTCACTTGTTGATACCTCAGACGTCGGTGCTTCGCAGTTGATCGTGGACGGCAAAATCAAACTGAAATCTGATAGCCCTGTCGCGAGGTTTACCCCTTCAGGACTCGAATTCGAAAACGGGTCAACACTCGATGCGGACGTCGTTATTTTTGCCACTGGGTACGTCACCTACCTTACGATGAGAGTAACTGGCTTTAATCCTAGGGGATATGATCACAGGTTCTCCGATGTGCGCTCGTCATATCGGGAAGTTTTAGATGACGCGATTGGTGATAAGCTAAGTCCGATTTGGGGTCTCAACGCAGAGGGTGAATTCAACTCGGCTTGGCGTGAGGTAGGAGCAGAAGGGATCTGGTGTATGATGGGTGAGTTGTGGAGGTGCTTCTTCTATCAGGCCAGGGGTACCACCCCAGGTTAAAGGAGTGGGGTGCAGTACAGGATGCTAATCTAGTTTTGATATAGGTAATCTTGCTTTGTGTCGATTCCATTCGAAACATCTTGCCCTTCGTGAGTCACTCTCCTACAGTGTTCGATTCCTCGTCAACAGCTCTCACTTATGTCATCGTATCAGAGATCAAAGCGAAAGAAGAAGGCATTTTTGGGACGAGATATACTGACTCATGGTTGTCTGAGCATCATGACGTGCCGCGTGCCAGACTGTAAAGTGGCAGGCTTAGGGGGAACCGCAATAGGTTATCTCAACGCATATAACAACATTTACTATCTTTATCGACACTATACAAGCTCGTCCAGACCAAATAGCTGTACCGTATTTTTATATGCCTTTTCAGTCACTTTCTCGAAAGGAACACCTTCGTTCAATCTATGCACTACCCATGCAACACCCCCGATTGCACTTGGTTCATTTCTGCCTTTGACTGGTTTTCCATAAACGAAGGATTCCGGTTTTGTAGCAGAGGGAAAGTACAGGGCTCGGAGGTTGACGGGAAGACTATCCAAGTGTGGTTTCGACGCATGCGTTGAAGTCATCGAGCACCAAGGTGCATCTAGGATGACATATAAAACCGTACCTCCGGAAATAGAGGGATCTAATTACCTGTTTCCAGAAGGAGCTTTTCGGGGCGGATAATCTTGGCAGCCTGAAGGTTTTGCTCTGTCTTCATGGAACATCCGTTCACGCTATGTATGACGCAAACATACCCGTCAACCATTCAAGGCATCAATGGGCACTGTAATTAGGACGAACCTGATATGAAAACCCATGGCCATCTAAAACATACATGTTTTGGCTTGCTGTCAGAAAACATAAGACAAATATCACCTACAAGCTCTTCGACTTCCTCGACGGAACCGGTGAAGCTATGGACGACACCCCCTTTAGCACCTAAGGCTCGGCCTCCGTTATCGCTGAAGCCTTCTTCCTTCAAAATGTTTACAAAGTCAGCGTGGGCCGCACGAGAGTGGAGAAACAATGGCAAGTGGAATTTCTTTGCAAGACTGAGCTGCGATCCTGAAGTGATCGATGAAAAAAGGTGGACAATGTCTCATGACAGGCGACTTACGAAAATGCTTCTTTTGTACATCCTTCGATGCGAAGTGAGTACGGTCATAGTCTGTTTGATCATAGTAGGCGTTTTACACACAACGTCACTGGAAGTACACATACCTAAGCCACACTCTCCAATCGCAACGACGCGACCATTGCCAAGTAGGTTTTTCTGAATTAAATCATCCAACGCTTGAAGATACGCGTCGGGTCCATTAGGGTACTGTTCGAATTCTTTTGAGCGCGTTGGATGACAACCAACTGTAGCATAGAGATCTTTGACACCATGGGTGTGAGGGAAGGTCCGGCACTATAGCACGAAACTACTAACTGTGTTTTTTGGCAAGGTCTAGTGCATGTTTGGATTCCTTCAAGCTACCACCCGTGATGATCATGGATTTGACGCCTGCTGCACGCGATCGGTCCAACATAGACTCGAAGTCATCTGCATTGTCGGAGACTGAGATACCTTATAACATAGCAGAAGTCGTGTCACCGGCTCACCCTCATGTTTCTTCCTTCCATGATGAGTGCCACGAAATACAGGGTCGGTCAAATTCACTAATAATCATCACCGTTGAAGACTTTTGAAGTGTGATGGAATAAGACACCTACCGCCGATATCTGTCGCGGATCTTTCGCATGAGTGTCGATCGAATACGATGCAGCTGTACTCAAACCTATGAATCTGAAAGCTCCCTCGACTCGTTCCGTGGGTTTAGCAGTTATAACTGTTACGGGCATCCTTGAATATTGTCTGCGAATGTTTTTAGAATGGATAAATAGGGAAAATGGGACGTGGTTGGATATATTCCGAGTTCTCTGACTGAGCGACCAGAAACTCATCAACAAAACCGTCAAAACGAACTGAGCGTTAGGTGTCAAAGACTGACTTAAGCTGAATCAATGAGTATGAAAATAGCTCTGGAACAGGTATGGAAAAATCAACGAGTCTAATCCCTTTTGCAAGATTTTCAGTGTTTTCCTGGTGCGGTGTGTGATACCTGACCGTGAACTTCAACTGCGACTGCTGCCATTTTGCGCCGTTAAAGAGGGTGTGGGTAATAGTATTACCATGAAACCCTCAGACATCGGTGCTATAGTGTAGTGGTCATCACTCGGGATTTTGATCAAAAGATCCGCTTACGTAATCCATGCACCACACTATAGCTGGTGGGAATTTCCCGGAACCCAGGTTCGAACCCTGGTAGCACCTTTATTTTTTTATACATTACATATGCATTGTGTAAATACTATTGACTGCTCTGTGGTACGAGATCTGCCAGACCCAGTGTGGAACACCAGAAGAGTCAAACAGATGTTGGATGGCTACGGAACTCTGATTGTGGGGGGAAAGTGTGAGATGCAGTCATTGAGGACGACAGGCTTATATGTACTTTCGCAACATTTCAAAATGACATCGTTCTAATAACATGTGTTGACGTCATGTAGGTTTATGGGTAGTACCAGGACCCCGGATAATCCCTAGGGAACCCAGATGTGGCACATCCGGACACCAAACGATTCTGAAGGCCAATTCACCCAGATTTCAGTCCGGACATTTAGGCGCTGTACGGGAACGAAAAATTGAAAAATAAACTTTGCACATTTTTAGCGCCACAGGCTGCCGATATGCCACAAGGAGTGCCATGCTGTGCTTTTTGACTCAGACCACCACCGACTCAATAAACTCATGTCCAAGAGGAAAGCCTCAGGCTCAGGCCTCAAGGCTTCTTTACACAACTATAAACGTCCTCGTTACTGGTTGAGAGTGAATAGAGAAACAGATATGGCCACCCACTCCAGCAACACACCTGACTACCAAGCTCCAAATATCATATTTGTGCCATCTGATACTAGCGATGGCCATCTTTCCACTAGCACGAAAGACAGGAGGATGTGGTCAGAGGCAGAAGAAGCTACACTGATTTCTTTTTTAAAATCTCATCGATCTGAGGCTGGCGATGGGCTCAATTTCTCGAAGAAGTTCTGGACAAAGGCTGCTGTAGAATTGTAGAAGATCCACCAGGTTAGCCCTGCGAAGGAGGCTGAGCACTGCGCTGGAAAATGGGGGAGGGTACGTACCATTGATTAACTGATCTATGGTATTTTCTTGACTGTCAAAGCACTGTCAAAGCAGTCGGGCTTTCATTGGGACGACATTGGCGGTGCAGGTATCACAGTGGAGAGTGAGACAGTATGGGCTGAGTATTTAAAGGTAAGTACTCACTTCATACATTGCGACACTCATCTCATCCATCTCTAGAAGAACCCTGGTGTCAAGATTTTTTGCAACAAGGGCTGGACCCATTTCTCAGCAATGGACAATCTTATGTGTGGCCGTTTTGCCAAGGGAGCAAACATTTTTCGCTCTGCCCCCCCTTCTGTACCTGTACCAAATAGCCCTCCTGTGTCTAGCATTACCCCATCATCATCTACGTTTCCTCCCCCTGTAGCTATTACCCCACAAATGCCTAGGAGCATTAATACCAACATGCATTCCCATGATGCCAACATTAACCTCTGGCTAGGGGGTGTACCATCTCCCGAATTAATGCCCGCTCCCTCAACTTTATCATCAACTACCTCCCGCGGGTCTTCTAGTAGCAAACAAAAGGAGCGTGACGCAGAGTTGGATGCCAATGCAGATGCAGATGCCATGTCGGTTGTCACTCACAGCAAGAGCACAGGCATAACTGTGCATAGCCGCAGCTCTAAAACCCCTTGTGTGGCTGCCAATGCAATGACCGCCACTGCTCTGACAGGGTTGAATGATACGCTGGGTCAGATCGTGCCCATCATGAAGGGAATCACGGACACGATCCGAAATGAATTTGACACCCCTTTAACAAAGCAGGGCAGTTCTTCTGCCGTCATACCATCATCCGTGCCAGGGACATCCACCATCACTCCTTCCTCTTTCATCTCCCACTACAACTTCGATATTGCTAAACAGCCATCCCATATACAGAGGGGTATTGCCATACAAGCACTGCAAGAGCTCGATCATGAGCTTGGGATTCCCAAGCAAGTCGAACTACTGCATATATTTGAGCGTGAAATTGGGGTGGTGGATATGTACTTGAATATGTTGCATGCAACAGATTTGCGTAGGGTGTGGATCAGTTCTTTCACAAAGGTCTGATTAGTAGTCATGTTATGTTTCTTGCTTTTTCGTTTGATCAATGTAACGGAATGTTTGCTTGTCTGCCACAAAACATTAGAATCATTCATAAGAAAATCACGTTACATCATACTAATTGTCTTCTATGCAGCTCGGCCTGATAATCCTCCCACATCAAACTCGCTATCTGATCCCTCCTGGCGTTGGCTTCTGCCTGGATTGCTTCGGTGGGGGGGCCTGAAGCTAATGTACCTGTGGCAGCGCTGGGGATGGGGTCTTCAATTAGGGTGTCATCAAAGTCTACAATATCATACAGAGGGCAGGGGGTATGCGGGCCTGAATAGCCATGTCGTACTCAGGAGGGAGCACGAGAACATGGAAACACCATTTGAGGATGCCAAAAATCCGCTCAATGACGTTGCGAGCGGATGCATGTTGAAGGTTGAAATATTCACGTGGGTTTTGAGGCCTAGAAAATGTTAGAATAAGGTAGAAGAGGATAAGGAGGACTTACCTGCAATTGCCGCGAGCATACTCCTGCAGGTGGTAGCGTTCACCTCTATAGGGCACTAAGAGCTGAGGACAAGAAGGGAACCCTGCATCCGCTAGGTAATACTTACCCTGCGGGATGTGAAGGTTACTCATACGAGCGTCATGGAACAAAGCAGCATCTGCAACAGAGCCCTCCCACCCACTAAGCATGTAACTAAATTTTAAATCAAACGTGCAACAGGCGAGGCATTTTTGAGATATTCCGCCCTTGCGGTTTCGTGAGGCCTGGCGTTTGGAGGCAGAGGGGGAACACGCAATATGTGTCCCATCGATGGCGCCAATAGCACCTTCAAAGCGACACAGTTTGGGGTTGTCAATGATATAAGGCAGTGGTGGATCATTCTCAGTGGGTAGATGGACATAGATGTTGTAGATGTCTGGGGAAGTGAATGCTAGAAACATCTGTATAATAAGTAGTAAGTTAGTTGAAAGAGGGCAGGGGGAAAATATACCTAGAAATTGTATTGCTTGATCGCTGGAATTGTTCACCGATATGGCAAACTGATAAGCCAGTGACGCAGGCGTATAGAAACATTGCAAGTTGCTCCTCAATGCGGACATGCCTTGAGTCAATGTATTGATAGCGCTTGAGTAGATCTACCAGCCTAAGGAAAACATGGCGCCTGACACCAAGTTCTGCACGAATGCGGTCAGGATGACCACTCAACAGCTCAAGGACCCACCCATGGCCAGTCAAAATGGAGGTGTGATATGGCTGGGGTATGGTCTTGTTTAGTTGGTCGTTGGCTACGAGTGCTGCTGATTGCGCAACCGTTTGGAGACCAATGAGAGCGAGGGACAGTTGTTGAACACATAGAAGTAGTGCTGCTCGGCGCCTACATAACATTGATGCTTCCTCACTCTCTTCACAATCCTCCTCTCCCATGCTGTCATCATCGCTGCCCATTCCCGTATCTCTCTGTCCGCGATCGTTGCCTTGATCTTCTTCCATTGTCTCTACAACGATGCCTGTATAACGGTGAGATTATCGTTCTATCTTACTATACGCGGGTACTAAAAGTTTTCTTTCTCCGCCTCAATGGCCCTCGTGACGCCACTTTCCCAAATCCAAGAAAAATGTCGCATTTTTTCGTTCCCGTACGGGGCCTTAGCCATTTCGAGGCAAGGGACAGGTATCGTATCAATGGTGTAATGGTTATAGTCCACTTACAATTTTTCATCCCAATAACATGGGTTCGATTCAGTGAATTTATGGCATTAGAAGACGGACACAACAAGGTTTGGATAAACAGACTCTATAGCAACCCTAACGGAAAGCGATGAAATTGCTGAATTAAATATGACCTATCTCATTCTCCTAGTCGACGTTGCAGAAGTCCGGACTAGAGTAATACTATCGTTGGCTTATTAACATGAAATTGTGACCCGATGCCCACAGATGCCCACAAGAAAGAATACGTGCGACACATTATCTAATGAGAAGCTCAGAGGAAACAAACCGTGAAATCGTAAAATGGCAAAAATATATCAAGCTGTGAAGATACCAAGGCACTCATTCCTTTTCTCACTGGATTATCACAAAAAGCATGAACATCGACATAGACATTTTGATAGGAGACTAGGTGCTTACTATATCTGATCATCTTCTTCCGAGCTATCTCTGATACGCATGCAAACCATGGGCAGAGCGATCACGAGGCCTGCGGCGGTAAGAGCCCACGTAGACGCAAATATGTTCATGAATCTATAGTGTGAACAAGCATCTCAGTGAGTGAGGTGACAGAACGAGATGGTTTCTAATTTTGATGCATACGGCAGCTTCATCGCATCTGCTCGCCAAACAACAGCAGCTCCAGCAGATAGGATTGATTTATCTGAAAATAAAACACCATAGCACCCATGAACAAGGCCCACGACTATTGTGAAAACGTACAAAAACCACTGAAGACTGCGAGTTTAGCAGGATCGTTCGACATTGCTCCCATGAGCCAGTACGCCATCGTTTCCCACATGGCACCGAACAGACCGTAGAAAATTATGAGCCAGCAGTATGCAGCATAGCCTTTGTCACTGAAGTCCATAGTCGGTGTCGCCATTGCGCGAGTATAACCCCTAGATATTGATAAAATATTTGAGGAATAATAAAATAAAATGGGAGGATGATGCAAGAACTTTTGATAATAATACGCCCAACCATAAACACCAAACACCATAGCGAGGAGAATGGCCCAACCAGAGAAGGCGCGCACGCGACGGCGAAGTCGCGGTGTATCGAGCACCAGACCAATAGCAATCGAACCAAAGATCTGACACGACCAATAGACAAGGTTATTAAGTGAACGAGTGCGGATGTTGAACAGGGCAGCACTGTAGTCGTCAAATTCTGTTCAGGATAAGTTAAGGTCCAACATGTAGATACTCTTGATATGCTTACGCCAGGTGTAGAAGTAATTGCTGGCAAAGAACATAGGAAATAGGAGGACGATAAATGGGTCCGTTTTAAGCGTGACATAGAGACTATAGAATTCATGCTTCCACGTCGGATGTTGGACTCTAGCAACCTTAGTGCCATCGGTGCGAATCATTTTGTTGGGATCGGCCATGAAGAAAGGTATGCATACTCCGATAAGGGTAAGTACGAGGAAACCAATCTATGGGGGAACTCAGTAGATGAAACATACCGGTAACGAGGTCAAGTCAACTTACATACGTTCCACTCCCAACTATCACAGAAACGGTGAGGACGTAAGTTTTCCGATAGCAGACGATAGAAAGGTGATTTCTTACCATCTCCACCCTGTCAAAGCGTGAGTGAAAGAAGAGAAACCACCTTTGATAATAACATGCCTCAGAATGGGAATTAATTCCGAACGATATTGAAGCACCGACAACAGCTCCCAAGTTGTAAGTAGCCCAGAAGATAGCGATAAATCTTCCCTTTTGAACTTCAGTCGGATAAGCCAACACGAGAGAACCTTGGGCTGCCCATAGAAGGGATGCGCATATACCGAGAATAACACTAGCCGTGGTAACAAAGTCACCTGCGTCTGGATAGATGTAAACGGTGCTGATAGCAAAGACATGCGATCGTTATTTGTTTGTCATGATAGAAGTCTGAAGACTCACAGGGAAGATGCTGTGTACAAAGAGTAACCACACGCCCCTATAACAAGAGTGAGACGAGGGCCCAGCTTGTTATTCACCGAACTACAATCGTTTTTCACTGACACGGATCAAATCGTGCAGCATGGAAGTATACGCACCCCGTAAAGAAAGAGAAAAATGCAAAGGTCGAATACATGGCACAGATTGAATTTGCAGCGGTTTTTGTATTGTATTGACCGCCTCCACCGAGTCCAACGAGAGCGCTGAACATGCCTGGACACAAGAAACATACGAATCCGAGCATAACGACCTGTGTATACGGGTTGTAATAAAAGCCCTTCAGACCGGTAGGGCGTTCAAAGACTTCAACCTGCTGGGAAGAGGGCTCCTCACTAGAGCCACAGGCCTTTTCGCCTGGAACGATGTCCGTCATCGTGCTGGGAAAAAAGAGGGTATAGGGAGTAACGTTTAAATGCTGCCAGTTATATATTGTCGAATACAGGTTGTTGCGAGCATTGGCGCATTTAAGGCAGCCCTTAGTCCAAGTCCAAGTCCTATAGGCTTCATGAGATTGAGAATCCGTCGTGTTACAGTAATGGAAGGACAAGAGTTTTCCATTTCAGCTCTGAAGTATGGTCAGAGCTGTATACATGTAGTAGAAATGCCTATATTAGACAAGTTTGTCAACAAGACGCTAGTAAACCAATAAACCAACACTCACCTCGTAGATGAACACACTAAATGGGGAGTGTATTACGAGTCAACGCGACTTCCCAGATCCTCGAGCTTTTATACTCCTACTGTTTCCTCGTTAGATGAAGCTTACGACTGAATCTATAACTGAAATGGATAAGTGATTATCTCCTTCAAGTCCAAGCTCTGCTGTAATGTGAAGAATCTGGGTACTGCAACCGGCTGGGTCTCCGAGTCGGATCATGCCAGTAAAGAATTTTGGAAAGCGCGTAACGTTATGGACTAGTCTGGTAATCTCAAAGTCGCGTCTGTTGTCTGATCCTTTGTATCACTACCATGTTTACTATCGATCGCAGCTCCTCTACGACCCTGGGATCCGCTCAGCGTACGTTCACTGCATCTCAGTCAGTATTAATGGGCACCGGCTGAACAAGAACACGGCCATTTTTAGGATTGGATCAATTCTCGCAGACCAGTTTTCCCAAACTATCTTTCCAACCTGATGCACACCGCCGGCCCTTTCTAAAACCATTAACGCGGGAGGAGGTACTAGGAAACCTAGACTATGTTGAGAGCATGGTTGGTACTAGCCTATTTCAAGCATGCCCTCCTGACGATCATGCCTGTGTGATCAGATAACCGCAGCGCTCGAATCCGCCGATGAAGTCTATGCACAGGGCATGCTCAAGTCCTGTTTGAACCGCGCTGAAAGTATCAAAACAAATCTGACGCTGGAGATCGATTCTACTCGAGCTCAATTAGAGTCGCAAAAATCAACAGCCGTGTTCATTCAGGGCATGTTGGACGATGGAAGTGAAGGGAAAGATAGCCAGGTCACACCTGCCAATGTAGAGGAATCAAATTATCTATCGCAGGGCTTCGATGCCGCGGCGCGGGCACAGATGAGACAGCATGATGCTGATACTGAGATACGAAAAATCGAGGCAAAGAACGCGTCAGCAGCTGTTCAAGCGTATCAGGATCGTCTGCAAGTCCTGGAAAGTTTACTGCGCGAAGTCGATGGAAGAATCCAGAAGTGTTCTGCGGTGGCAGCTTCGCGACAGGCTCACCCTTGAGCCTTACTATGATGTCTCCGAGGGGTTCGCTGCCCATGGTATCTATAAGATGATCACACTGCATTTACGGTTGTATGAAAATGGCTTAATGTATAACAGCTCACCACCAAGAACAATGATAAAATCTATTCCATTTTTGAAATTCGCCAACGAATTCGATCACAGCAGGAGAAAGAGTGCTGATGCACGAAGTCGAAGCGTCTCTTCGACTCAGGTTCTTTGTAATTAATCATCTTCAAGTGACGCACACGCAAAATGGTCTTTCATCCTTCATTCCTATCCTCGTTGCACAGACATGTATGAGTGCATTCCTGCAAGACACAAAAAACATTTCAGCTAATCAAAGCATAACAATATGGCGGTATCAAGGCTACAGCTCTATGGCTACGATCTCTGCATGTAGGGAAACACGATTTTAATACCTGCAGGCGTGGTTATTTTTAACAGTGTGATGTGCACGAAGGGGATATTGAGATGCGGATATCGATCGAGTAAATACGGATATGAGGCATGACGTGGCGATGCAAATACCGTGGAGATAACAGTAATCAAGACCTGACAATCGGTCAGCGACATTCAGACAACAGATAAAAGAACGGAGCGCAGCGTAGAAAATAATGACGCACATTTTATAGTGTACAGTTTTTTCATTGGCGTTAGATGTTTGGTACGATATCGTGATATCAAGGTCACGGTTGTTCCGCGCATTTGGCGAACAGGTCAGGGTTCCAGTGATCTCCTCACCTTCGCTGATCGTGACGGTTGATGGGGTATAGAACACAGTTTGTCTATGAAATTGAAAGAATCAGGAGAGAACCAGATATCAGAGTAAGACAACCTACTTCCAATGCGTGTACTGTGCATGGGGCCCGGTGGAGAATTGGACCTTTTTGTGCGTGCATTCGAATGAGATGTCGAACCAAGCAAGGAAGGCGTGGATGTCTGGATCGAATGACATTGAACAAACACCCCATGATAAATAAAGCAGAAAGAACGCACAATCATTACGGGTTGCTGTCAGACTGAAAGGCGCACTGAATGCCAAATCTTCTTTTTTGGCGGTCAGCAGATCTATTTTCTGGTTGAATGCAAGTCAAGGGAGAGTTAGACGAGGGCGTCCTAGCAATATAAATGTATATCCTCACCTTGATCATACAAGGGTTAGTGTTAACTGATTTTAGCTCTACGGTGTCTACCAATGGTTCGCGTAACGCGATGTCCTTGATGCACGAGTAATCGAAGCCGTACACGTTGTCCCAGACTTATGCATCGTAAGCATGGTAATTAATACGAGACACATGGAACACCACTCACAGTTGATCTTTTCATCCTTGTAATCCTGATCCTCGATCGCAGCCAAGTATAGGCTGGCATTGTCAGGGAAGATGAGACCTCCTGGTTTGAGGTACTTGTCACGTGCAAGGAGGACGGTGTCGAGCATAGACTCATACAGAAGGAAGTAGCCCATCCACTCGGAGATGATGATATCGAATTCTTTTAATGGAAGTTCTGCTTCTTCAAGTTTGCCTTTCACCAAGGTAATGGCTTATCCGATCGATGAAGATAAGGCGGAGACATAAGAAGGGAATGCTGAATGGCAACGTACTATCTTTGAAACCATTTGCTTCGATGATGTTCTGAGCTTGGTCAATGATGTTGGACATGTCGATCTTTAGAGAAGTTAGTATTGCCGGAAAGGCCATGTAAAATGATTAACTCACTCCAACAACATGGCTGGCGCCAGCTTTTGCAGCAAACATGCTGAGGATACCTGTACCACATCCAACGTCCAACACGGTCTTTCCTTTGAAGAGATGACCGTTATTCACGATTGCTGCGCGATACGACCCAGTTCGAACAGAATCTTTTAACATCTCTTCATGGATACCTAGATACAACGAGCGGATTAGTTTCTGAGACTATAGATAGCATATATGCACACACCAAAGTGCGCGTAGGAGTCGGCATAGCTGAAGAATAAAAAAGAAAGAGTGATATTAGGGCGGTTAACACAGAAAAGCTACGGGTGGTGCGAACTAGTCTCTGGAGGTCATGTTTTCCACCGATGGGTCATCGATGGTGACAAGACTGGTTGACGATGGGCCTGCGGTAACCTCTTTCATAGTGACTGGTTGTATGCGAAAGAGACTAAAAGATAGATAAGCCAAAAAAAATATCTCCCTGGAACCTTTACGCGCACGGACGTCCCAAAAGGCAATCGAAAAAAAGCACGATCGGTGGACACAACAGGTGCAAACAGCGTCGCGTCGGTTCCCCTCCGACAGTACCAATTGAATAGAATGACATTGTTTGGGCTATGGATGCTTCTAACTGTCGTAATCTGCAGCTGCGGACACATATAAGACACATCCCCATTATACGACACCCACTCAAAGATGCCTCAGACTCCACACGAAAGCCCTCCTACTTACTATGAGTACTATGAGACTGACGCTCCAGGGTACAGCACCATCAGTACGTTCCCTATCTAAGTTGTCTTGCTTTTATGTCTTTTCACTCACGCTCGAACCGTATAATGTTGGTACCCCGCCACAGTCCATCCAGCCGCAGCGGGGCCAACTGTTGAATTGGCCTCAGGGAATCGATCATTTAACGCGGCGTCATGTGTTCGTTAATGGGCGCACTGCTCCCGCCATGCCTCAGACTACCGTCTACCACTACATAGACAACAGAGGCGAACAAGTTGCCTCTCTCCTTCCCTCGGACCATCCAGAGATGATCTGTTTACTGGGCGGCCACGTACCGGAGGCAAGGTACGGAATGCTGGGTGAGCGGACAGCTTTTCTGCTACCTCCTGAATGGCGCACTCATATAATCACGACATGATAGGAATAATGGCAGCTGTTCTGTGGTTCCCGCTCGGCATTTGTTTCTGCATGCTCGATCAAAGAGTGAAGTGCAGGCGCTGCGGATATATGATTGATGATGGCACGTGTGGTTGAGTGTGCTTTTTGGCGTCTTTGCTTTCCTTATCTCTGCGTTGTATCGATCGTGTCCTCACATCTGGCATCTGGGAGGTCCAACACGGTCTTTCCTTTGAACACATGACCGTTATTCGCGATTGCTGTGCGATACGATCCAGTCTGGACAGAATTTTTCAACATCTCTTCATGGATACCTAGACACGACGTGCGGATCAGTTTCAGGAGAGTAAAGATAGCGTATATGCACACACCAAAGTGCGCGTAGGAGTCGGTATAGTTGAAGAGGAGAGAACAAAGAGGATATTAGGGCGATTCGCACAGAAAAGGGGTGATGCGAACCAGTCTCTGGAGGTCGTGTTTTCCACCTGTGACTGGTTGTATGCGTGGAAAGAGACTGAAAGACATAAGCCCAAAAGAAATAATCACAGTCCCTGGAACCCTTTACGCGCATGGACGTCCCAAAAGGCAATCGAGCAGTGATCGGTGGACACAACACGTGCAAACAGCGTCGGGTCGGTTCTCCTCGGACAGTGCCGATTGAATGACATTGCCTTCGGGCTATGACTCTGCTGAGCGCAGCACCTTTGCTTATAACTGTCGTGGAGGCATAGGTAACCCGCAGCTGCGGACACATATAAGACATATCCCCCACACGAGTCCTTGAATGATTGTATTACACGACGCCCACTCAAAGATGCCTCAGACCCCACAGGAAAGCCCTCCTGCTTACGATGAGGCTGTCGCTGGAGGGAGCAGCACCACCAGTACGTTCCTTATCTAACTTATATTGCATTTATGTCTTTTCACTCACGCTCAAACCGTATAATGTAGGCACCCCGTTACAGCCCATCCAGCCTAGCCCACAGAAGGGCCAACCATTGAATGGGCCTCAGGGAGTCAAACCTCCATCGCGGCGTAGTGCGTTCGTTAATGGGCGCACTGCCCCCGCCATGCCCCAGACTACCGTCTTCCACTACACGAACCCTAACACAGGCGAACAAGTTGCCTCTCTCCTTCCCCCAGGCCATCCAGAGATGGTCTGTTTGCAGCAGGGCGGCCACATATCGGAGACAAAGTACGGAATACTGGGTGAGTGGACAGCTTTTCTGCTACCTCGTGAATGGCGCACTCATATAATCACGATATGATAGGAATACTGGCAGCCATAGTGTGGTTTCCGCTCGGCATTGGTCTTTGCTTGCTCGATCGAAGAGTGAAGTGCAAGCGTTGCGGATATGTGATCGATGATGGGATGTGTGGCTGAGTGTACTTTTTGGCGTCTTTTTCCTTATCTCTGCTTGTATCGATTGGATGTATTCTTACGAGCCTCACATCTGGCATCTGGGACGATTGGCAATCACTGTATAGTATTAATGTTCGAGTACAGTGCAATTCATATATCTTGGACTAGAAATTTCTACCCCCTTATCCCATCGAGATAAAGGCACAAAGGTCATCTATTAAAATACATCGTAAGACATGATTGCGAAAACCTAGTGAACAAAATCGTGTATGTGTTTTGTGGTCTATGAAAAACGATGCATATTGTTAACAACGAAAACAGCATAGCAAATGGATAGCAAAATGTCGGCGAATTGGTGCTCACAGAGCCTTACTGAGAGCAGTTTTTTTTCACATTCCTTCTTTAGGCCTGCTCCGCTTCAGCCCTCTTGCGCTTTCTAGGTCTTTCTCCCGTGCCGTCCTCGCTGGAACAATCCGACATTTCGTCCTGCTTGCCTACAGCTGCCCCTGCTTGCGCCAAAGGGTCAGCGCTCGACAAGTGCGCATCGGCTTGATCTTTTATCTGTCAATGTTTTTGTTAGTAATGCCAAGCATCGCATTCTATCAGTTTGAATTACCTCGTCCCGACTTCCTCCGACCCTCAGGCCATCAGTGGACCCCTGAGTCTGATCGACAGTGCCAGTCTGTTCGCCAGCGTCATTTTTGTCGATGGCCGTGTTCTGCTTTGCTGCTCTGCCTTTATCCATCGCTTGTGCTTCTGTCAGGAGGTGATTCTCGTTTTCGTTCCTCGTTCTCGTTTCAGTACCTTCTTTTCCTGCTGTCCCCTTCACGGTATCTGTACTCTCGGCACTCGCCACGCTGCCCGCCTCTACCTTTTCACTCCAGTTGCTCTCGTCGTCGAAATCTTCATCATCACTGTTCTCCAACATCGCCTTTAGGTTCTCCACATCAAATTCCTTGAGGCCACCGCTCAACATTGCGATCGACTTGTCCAGCTCCGAGAGTGTGCCAGAAGATGCAGCCGATATGGATCGTTCCATCTCAGCCATGAAATCGTCGTCGTCGGGATCAACTGCAGCTCGCTTCTTAGCTCCCTTGTGGCCGCTGTCATGTTTCGTCGCATCCTGACTCCCCGTAGCAGTATGTCCCTGGCCCATCCCCTTCGTGGTGTCGGTGACGGACGGCCTCTTGCCATTCTTACCCGGTCCAGACGAATTCCCAAGACCCATCATACCTGGCGATCCCAGGCCCGACATGCCGTCAAGTCCCATCGAACCGTACATCCCCAACTTGGCGGCATCTACACCCAGCGTTCTCTCCATTTCTCCCAAGAGAGCAGAAGTGGACGACCTTGTACCCAAACCTGACGCTCCTCCTAGACCAGCCATGCCAGGCATTCCAATACCCAAACCAGAAACGTCTCCCAACCCCAGGCTTTTAGCTTCCATAGCCAGCGACCTCTCCATCTCTTTTAGGAGAGCCGAGGTGGACGACTTCGTACCCAGACCAGGCGCTTCTCCTAGACCAGGCATGCTAGGCATTCCCATACCCAAACCAGATACGTCTCCCAAGCCCAGGCTTTTAGCTTCAATAGCCAGTGACTTCTCCATTTCCTTCAGGAGAGCAGAAGTGGACGACTTCTTGCGCAAACCCGACGCTCCTCCTAGACCAGCCATGCCAGGCATTCCCATACCCAAACCAGATGCACCTCTCAAGCCCGGCATTCCCATTCCCATACCGGACAGGGCCGTAATCTCAGTCAGGATAGAGTCTAACTCAGAACGAGTGGGCATACCCTTCGATGCCGTCGGGCTCAGTTCCATTTTCTTGAGCATATCATTATCCGCGGCTAGCCTACGAAGGTTATCTTTCGTTTTCCCTGGGGCGTGCTTCGAAGAGACACCTGAGTCATTGCCAGTCGTCGGCTTCGGTCCATGAACGCGAGTTATACCTGCATCTTTGGCAATAGCGGACGTAGGGTGATCGCGGTCGCGATTTGCATCGGTTGCTGGGTCCTCGAGGCCCTGATCCTCGCCCATCGCCAATACTTTGTCTACGTCTGTCATCAGAGCGTCGGGATTTTCTTCTGAGGTGTCACTGCTGACAGCACTGTCGTTCGCAGTTGAAGTAGCTGGATTGGTGGCATCTAATGTTGTATGCATTATGAATGAAAGGTCAGCTTCCTTAATCTCAACGTAGCTATAAAAGGAACGCACCAGACTGAACGCCGGCTTGGTACCTGGTACGTTTTTGAATCATCGCCAATAAGCTATCTATGTCCATATCAATCGGAAGCGTTACGACGTCGTCCAAACTGGATCTTCTCTTTCCTTGTCCACACAATTCTCTTTCGCGACGGTGACGGGGGCAATCGCACTGTAGATCATCAGCCTTGGCTTTTCCTTTACCCTTGTCTTTCTTGCTCGGTTCATCTTCTATATCATTAACGGCTACTTTCCCTTTTCCTTTGCCATTCAATGTGTCTGTATTGACAAATCCGCCGTCTGCGTTGCATATCTGCCCACATGGAGTTTTTCTTCGCCCCACTTTTGCAGCTCCTCGATAGGGATCTCTTCGTACACTTCCAGGTCAGAGCCATCGTCAGAGCCAGAATATTCTTCATAATCGTCCTCACTCGCGATACCTTGATCTTGAATCCCCAATGTTGCCTGCAGTCTTTTGAGGTACTCTCTCATCTTCCGAGCTTCTTCTTCGGCCCGGATAGCCCTTACTTGCGATTCCACTGCAAGAGATTCCATGAAATCCCTTGCTAGTTGGCGTTCTTCTAGCGTCCGAGTCGGATCCATCACAGTTTGCATAACGGCATCCATCTTTTCCTTATTCTCGTCTATTTCAGCCAAACGACTGTCGTCTTTGGTTAGCATTAGGGCCTATATGAAGACCATTGATCAGCCTTGTCGTTGATTTAGAAAAGGAGGATGCTTACCATCTCTGACTGAGGGTCCACATCGTCGTCGAACAGATTTACGAGTCCTCGTGGGATACGCCTGTCGAGACTAGTATCGGAACAACCGTAATGGTCAGCATGACTTGGATCGGTGACAGGGGCGTCGAGTGGTATGCGACTGGGCCCTGCCTTTGGAGACCATTGAGGAGAGGCAGGGGCAGCGGGCAAAGACCCAAAGTTGTGACGGTGAGATCTAGACTTAACAGTAGACATGATTTTTGGAGGGGACAGTGTATGTCATGACAGATACAATGTAGTATATATACCTCATCGTAGGCCGACGGCGAACTAACACCCAAAATTCTAGCGATACTGAGAGTGCTCGGTGGTTACCTAAATTACCACAGATAGAAGCGCCAATTAGGTCCACACGTGTCATTTACAGAAGTGAGAAGACCATAATAGTCAATTTTGATATCGTCCTAGTGGACTCGGTGGTGTCAAAACCACCACGAGCAAGGTTTCAACTTCATCTCGCTCCATTACCCAGCCACCGAGCTGCGAGAACCGCTGAAATTTTACTGGATAAGACTCTGAAGTACGTACCCAGGGACATATGTGTGGGAATGCAGCTGCGAAAGAAGCCCAGTGTTTCCTTCGCGGGGACTTGATGCAGTGTGTCCGAGTTGACTCGAGCCATTTATCAGCTAAAATGAACCCTCGGTTTCATGTTTTCGTGGTCATGAGGAGCACATGAGGCCGTCGCCGGAGTTATAGCGAGTCTGGAGCATGGCCACGAGTCTGACACTCACATAAGTTGGTAAATTGGGCCGAAAGAATGCGTCCCAGTGAGGTTTTAACAGAGAGCATACGCATGGGGCCAGGAGGTGCGACCAGATAACTCACCATTTTGGGAACCTATCGAGTTACAACGCACCATGTTGGAAAGGTAGTATCTTGTACAATGCTCGTCGGGATCATGATCCTGCTTTGAATCTTTTGGACTATCCTTGTGACTGTCTACTAGTAGTAGTATACGATCATGGCATTACGGGTTACCGTGACGGTGAAGTGTCAGTGTGACTAACTTTGGATGATCTACCTTCAAAGCGTCCAACTTTTGAAAGACTGCAGGTGGCAACGTCACAATTAGTCATAATTAGTCACACCTTGTAAAAAGCGTCACAAAAGACTGACATTCGCAATGATAACTTAAATATGTCCCTGGGTACGTACTTCAGAGCCTTATCCAGTAAAATTTCAGCGGTTCTCGCAGCTTGGTGGCTGGGTAATGGAGCGAGATGAAGTTGAGGGGCTCGTACGGGATTAGTTTTTTTTTCTTTTTCTTTCTTTTTTTGAGATTTTCCTCCCAGGCCAAAGCCCTGCCACTCTAGTGGAGGCGCAATTGTAGAGTTCCGCAACCTATCAATAAGATAGTACTAGGACACCATGTCATCAGCTATCAGCTATACCGCCTATATAAACCCAGACACCAATCCTGCAACTTGTACAGAAGGAGATAATACTTGTGATTCGGAGGGGCAGGATGGTTTGAATACTGTAGCTAATCACCAGCCAACAGCAGAGGTACTTGGCCTGTTCACAGATGTCAAAACTAGCTTCTATTGTCATTGAATCAATCATACATGCTACTTGGGCTAAGAGCTGTCCACTCCCAGATATTTGTCATATTGCATCATGAATGTAATAGTGGCATAACAATAAGCACGAGCCGGTCACATGGATAAGCTGCCTTGTCAGGCACCAGCTGCAGTAGGGGGAGTAAGTGAGGTAGTGCTGATGGGCGGCACAATGGTAGATGTGGTGGAGCGGTTTTCCACCGAAGCCGTTTGAGAAGAGGCAATAACTGGGGAGGCAAGTGGAGCCGGGCCAATGTTGAGTTTCAAGTTGAAGTCCTTGAAGATGGGGATGATTTCCCCCAACTGGTCATTCAACCCACTGAGAGCATTAGCAACAGCGTTGCGTGGGCCTTGTTAGAGCCTCTGCTTCCGTTGTCTGCACTCTTGGTGTGAGATATGATGGTAGCGCCATCCTCAGTGTTATCATCTGAGAGTGTGGCATTCCATGCCTACTAATAGTTGTTATAGATGAGATGGTGGGAGCACAGATAGACGTTAGAGACTCAACACCACCAAGCCAGCTTTTTTATGTGTTACAGAGGCACTGGTGTTAGGCTGATTGGAGGGAATGTTGACAGAAACTGGCAGTTTGGGGGCTTTGGGGCTTTAGGATGCTTCAGGACTTTGGGGACATGGAATACATTGGAACCCTTGGCTGGGACTCTACCCAACAAGGCATGCATGGCAGAAAAATGGGTCCAGCCCTTCTTCCGAAAGCTATTTGCTACCGGATTTTTCTGTGTAGTGATTAGCTATCAGTCATAAAGCCAAAATGTATCATCATACCATAATGAGTTCCTTCCAGACTGTTTCTACTTTGTCAAGTATATTAAGACCTAGCTCATCATCCCAAGGAATGCCTGACAGGTTGGTGATAGGCTTCACTAAGTTGTATTTTGTACAAAGCTGTGAACTTGAGGTTCAGTGATTGATAGATTAGATAATGTACCCTGCCCCACTTTGAATTGCAGGAAGTGGCACTCTTGGCTGGTCCCTTGGTAAGAAGAGGAACTAAATGTAACACAACCTTAGGCCAGAACCCAGGCTTGAAATGAAATTCAAATCATCCCCACCCTCTGCACTGTTGGTGGTGATGAACTAGATAAGAGCTGACATCTCTGCTTCGGTCCAAATGGCGTTGTTGCTACTACTACCTTGGGCACCTGTGCCATTGCCTTCTTCAATGTCCATTGCAACCGGTAGATACGTCCTGAGCAGGCTGGAGGTCTTGATCCACCCTGGTAGAATATTGCAGTCATTTTGGTGAAGGGACTGGGACTAGGGTTGGGCTGGAGGCCCTGCATTTTTGTGCTCTAGACATGGGGTTGATGGAAAGATGGTACCTACCCACTCATAGGCTCATGGGATGGATGCCTATCTGTCTCTCCGACAGCATTCTGGCAGATTGTGGTGGGGGAAAAAAAGAAAGGAATTTCAGGAAAAACAGAATTCCCGTACGAGCCCTAAGTTAGTACCAACACATTTTGATTTCTCCCATTCACTCTTGCTCCAAAATTCATTCTGGTGCTTCGGCAGAAGAACCTGTGCCTGCCGGCGTCCAAGGTGATCAGATGCCGAGTTCGGCAGTGCAGTATTTGCGTGTGTTTGTGTGTAGCTGTGAGTGCTACGTGTCAATTGCTGAATTTGCTTCTTCTTCACTGACCTCCACGTCGTCCTGCGTCGATGCGCAGTCTACCCTGGCTTAAAGTTCTAACTTATACCACATAACCCGACGTGTCTAAACGACAACAATCCCAATAGCTTTTGCCAATGTCACAGCCAACGGTATCTTACGTCGACCCCTCCTCTCTCTCCCTCCCCTCTTCTTCTCTCAAGCGATCCGCCCCATCCCCATCCCCATCCCCTGCCCCCTCCTCCCATTCTGACTCTCCTTCTCCTTCCGCCAATACAGAGCCCCCACGCAAGCGTCCCCGTGCAGGTGTATCACCCGAAGAGCGCAAAGAAGCTCGTGCTCACCGTAACCGCATCGCAGCACAAAACTCGCGCGACCGTCGTAAAGCCCAGTTCTCCTTCCTCGAGCAGAGAGTTGCAGAGCTTGAGGAGGAGAACAGGAGGCTACGCGCCGAGTCGAATTCAGTCGCTACCGCCCCTACGCCTCACCTGCCCCTTTCTACTGCACGCGCTAACGCTGACGACAGCGATGAGAAGAAGAGAAAGGATAACGACGTGCGCGAGCAGGAAAACGAGGAGTTGAGAGAAAGGATCAAAACCCTCGAAAAGGGATATGAAGCTGTCTTGCGTGCTCTGGCCACACAAGGCACACATCAATCTAGTTCTACCGCTCCCAACAACAGTAACACTGCACCGTCTCAATCTACCTTAGTACCATCTTCCTCCTCCACTCCACCAGCTAGCACAACCACATCGACTAGCATCACCTCTCTTCCCCTTTCTCCACCGCTCACTCACGCTTCTCCAGCGCTCTCTTCCCCCGCTCTCTTTGATTCCGAATTCGACTTCCCCATCGACACACTCCCTCTTGACGCTCCCCTTCTTGACCTCGATCTTAACATTTCATCGCTCCCTACCACGTCTCTTCCTAGCCAATCTCCCACTCGCCACCTAGCACGGGTGGCGACCACTGGTGCACAACCTTGTGCGCTGGTGTCCCTGCAGCGGGTGGGTTTGCGGTTGTCGGAGGCATCGGTAATACGAGCGAGGGTGAACAGGAACGAGGCCAAGGCGTTGAGTACGAGCGCTACCAGGTGTGTAGATTTTCTTATTTTCTGTTATTTGAGGTTCTTTTGTTGACGGTACTCCTCTATTGATTTATAGGTTAGCGAAGGGTATAACTACCACCAACATGGACAAACGGCAGATAATGGGACTCAGCATCAACAAGACGATGCCCTCGTTGCTCGTCTCCTCGCTGAGATCCTCGCGCCGAGCCCCGTGCTCACACCAAACGCGCTCCCGCAAGTCGAGGACGAGGGCACAGCATTGGTCAGTGGCACAGCACCAGCAGCAAAGTCAACAACAACTAGCTCTTGCACTCTCGCTCGCCCTTCGAATGAAGTTGCGCGGGCAGAGGCGCCTGTGAGCGGCGTCTCGGCTGCATCATCGGTGTTTGATGGTCCGGGTGTGGATGGTGTGGGCGCGCGTCCATTGACAGAGCTGGGTTCAGGATCGAGACTAGAATCAACATCAGGAACAGGAATGAGAAGGGCGAGTGCAACTGTGAACATCAATGACCCATCGTGGGCCGAGGAAATGCGGATGGATATGGAAGCGATAGAGATGCAGAGGATGCTGGGGATGTTGCCCACGGCGGAAGACGGTGAACGGGGATTTGATCTAGACCTGGACTTCCCTTCAGCGCTGGACTTAGGGCTTGAGATGGGCGTGCAGTTTGATGCAGATGTGCAGATGGACGGTGTTGGGGTCTTTTGAGCGGTGGTCTCGACTGTACGTCTTGAGAACAATCCCCCCTCTGTCACACTACCGAGTGATTTCGATTGGGGAAAGAGGCCGTCGACGGCTGACTCACTGCAAGATCTCGTATATTATTGTATGCCGCCCCCCGCGATTAGAGCCTAGCCTCCAGCCCCCGACACCGTCAGAGCTTCTTCAATACTCGAAAAATCGCATGGAACCCGCTTTGGACGAAGTAGGATTCACATCTTTGGCAAAGCCCTACGACCGCATCTCCATTGTTCGTTCATACACGATCGAAGCAAAGCTTCCTCAGGGTGCAACATAGCAGCACAATACCCTTGGAGGTTACCGTGCACATATCTCAAAATCTCATATGTCCCATATGCATCTATTGCCTCCTCTATTCCTCTCATAACAGAATATGGCATTGACTCGGACGTTCACCTTAGCATAACTAGTCATCTTATTTATCTCATCTTCCTGATTCGGTCTCTGTTTCCTTACATCTATGTCTCTAGCTTTGTAACTTAAACGTTCCTCTCCGCCCTCGTCTCGCGATTGGTTTCGGTTTTTTCCTACATTCCCTCGTTCTTTTCTTTTTTTTTTTTGGCTTGGTTGGTCCAAGTAGTAGTGTCTTCAATCGTTCGCATTTTTCTTTTTTGGCCTCTATGTTATTTGTACCACACATTATTTTGACCGTCACCCACCCATCCCTCTCCTTCTCTCATTCTCGCCCACTATCCCTTCTACCGTGCCTCCAGCCCCTTCTCCGCACTCTCTCCTCCCGATGCAGTCTCCCGCATCGCCTTCAGCACCACGCCTGATTCTCCCCGCCAGGGTCTGACGAATCAGGATCAGTGGACTGTGGGTGTCTGTGGTGAGCGCTTGGGTGGTTGTTGAGTTGTGTGAGGGGTGTTTGTGGGGTGAGTATGTTGGGACGGGACGTGAGACGTGGTGATCGTGGGGGATAGTGACTTAGACCGCGAGGTTAGACGGGATGGAGACGGTGGGCCACCTAGCTACAATTACTAGTAGTCATACGAGAGCAGTGTAGAATGAATCGAGAATGCTTTTGACCACCTTGCAGAACTACCGCGTGAATCGAGTTTTCGATGAGATTCGTTCATGAGAACGATGACAAAATATAGTGATAAGAAGTCGATAAGTACTAATGCTACTGAGCCGAGCACAAAAATCTGATAAAAGAAAGAGGAAAAAGTGTCTCTCTGGCGGGGAGTCGAACCCCGCTCTCCCGCGAGCCGATCAATGACTCTTAGCTGATGCACCAGTCAAGATTCACTGATAGTTGTGACAGGCGGGTGTACTATCCGATATACTACCAGAGACATGTTCATGCTCGCGACAGTAGATACTATAATAGCTTGTACTCACTGGGTCTGCTCAGTGTCGAAGTCAATAGTCATCACCTGGTTGATCACATCCACACCGTGATCCCGTTACGCCTATAGTCCAGTGTTCTCGATCTCCAATGTCATTTTATCACCCTACCAAGACCTTCGATTTGACTGGGAAAGTGCTAGTTGTGGTGCGTTTTCGTTGGCAACATTATCAAATGCTATGATCGTTCATTATGATGCTGAAAACCGATCCCAAGGGTAGCCCATAGTTTCTGTCGCCAACGTTTCACAGCTCGCCGTTGATCTCCTGGTCGCATCTCTTTCCCTTGAACGAATCGGGCTCTTTGATACGAAGTATCTCATACCAGCCGTTGGCGCACGCGAAGATGGGCAAGCGGGAATCACAACGTCTCTCGAACGTATGTTTCTTCATCTATTCGATATCATCAGCAAACGCGTTGACGCTGTCCCTTTCTTCTCCTTCTCGCTGCATAGTGTACGGAAAGAATGGGATGGATATTATTGTGGCGCAACAGAGGTCACCCCCCTTGAAAGTAGGTGTTCATAATATCAAGCAGAAAGAGCTATTTCTCGTCGAAGGACTTCATTCTGATTAGAGGTGATAGTCTTATAAGCAGGACTTTGTCGATGCGCTGCTGGGGTTTGTACAAGAATCGGGCGTGGCTGCCGCGTTGTTCCTGGGCGGCGTAGACATGTCTAACAGGACAGACGCACAAATGCTGTGAGTCCTTATAAACTGCCTTTTTCCCCCACCATTGCTAGTTTGCTTATCCCCATCTTCGGCAGTGCACCTACATATTATATACGTCCAGCCAATTCACCGGCATTGGATCAAGGTCCATTTTCTATTCTTCAACAATTGCCAATTCCAGCCTATAATCACGCCTTGACCCAACCTACTCAAGCAAATCCCAATCAAAGTAGCGTGCCGTTCATACCAGGTGGCGGTTTGGGCAGGCGGCTGTTATCATCTATCCCAGCTTCGTGGTCGATTCCAACCATTTGCCTCTTACATTATGTTATGGAAGGTGACAATAGGGATGATGCCCACCTTTTGGCTGCCGTAGTCGCAAAGGTGCTGGGCGCTGACCGATATATATCAAGTTGGAAACAGCCTAGTAGTTGGAAGAAGGGACTATTTGGAGCATCACACGATCAAACGCTGTATGGATAAGGATGGCTTTTAGCTATGTCGCAAACCGTTTTTTTCACCAGATGATACATGATCTATAGTGCTATGCACCTACAAAAATACAAGCTGGTTTTTTGTGACAACCATCGTACATCGTAATAGCGACCCTTGCGATGCTCATTTTCTAGTAGCTATTCCAAGACGTTCCTTACCATGAGATTTTTTCTTGGCAGCTTGGTTTAATGGCAGATACGCGTAAGGATCAACGCCACCTTTTTTAACATCACCACCAGCCCTCTGCAAGTAGGGGAAATGATCAGCTCCAGCGGAAATTCAGAACAAAACATTCTACTAGCCTTTGCTTTGAATTCGTGTCCAAATTTAACCTCTGATCGTTTTTTGCTCTTCTTGCCTTTTCCGGCGTCAACATCCACCATTTCAACGTCTTCCTCAGCTTCTTGTTCTCGTCGACGTTTCTTTGTATCCTTGTTGAACTTGACGCGACCGCCAGCTCCGCGAACAAAACCGTCCACGGAAGTCAAACTTTCTCGGTATGCATTCCCAGCAATATCTCCTGCAGCCTTACGAGCACTGACTTCAATATCTGAGTCTGAGTCTTCTTCCTCTATTAACATTTTCCCTGATTCCTTGTCTGTGTTAAAACGAGCGGCATCTTGTCCTGGTTTGCGGCGTCGATTAGCGTTGGCACCTATGGTCACTGAATTAGTACAAGTCGATGTAATAATCAAGCCACATACTCGTAAGACGTGCTGCAGCTCCCTGGAGAAGATCCATCGGCTCATCATCATCTACTCGGAGCCTTACACCGTGATCAGCTTTGCGTTTAGCAGCAGCATTCGGACGTGATGTCCGCTCATCGTCGTCACTATCGTCAATTTCACTTTCGCTGCCATACAAAACGTCTTCGAATGCATCGCCAGTGGCTGCTTTCCCTTTTGGGATCTATCTCTCGACGTTAGTTGCATTGATCATATCCAGACGACGTAAACTTACCTCTTCATCTTCATCCTCCTCGTCACGAGCCTTCTTTCTCTTCGCCCTCTCTTTACGTTTCTTGATGTTGACCAACACTTTGGACGCCTGGTCTTCTCCAGCATATCTGTATACATCATTCCACCCAAATCGCCGGAGCATTCTCTCGAAAATATGCCGTACTTTTGCCTTGAAATGGTTTTTATGGTCGTGAGACCAAGCGAGCAACGCAGGGACCAAATCTTTCAGGAAAGGCCGCAAAAGGTCTGAAGACAGCGAATGTATAGCAAGTTTGATGTAACCAAGAGTGGACTTGACAATTTCGCGGTTAGTTGAAGATAGGAAAGCCAGCAGTGTAGTAAATATTTCGATCTGCATCCCATCGTTGATGGTGTCTATAGTATTATTGCAATGAGCTAAGAAGTTCAGGTAGAGGCCAACAAATGCATCACCTCTGAATTCGAATACAAGGCGTGATATGGCAGTGACAGTTGCGCTGATCATGTGGGGAGTAGCACCCGCGAGACCTCCAGCAATCATCGTCATATATTCATTCACGCTAGCTTGAGCTGTAGAAACGTCAAGTTGCTGTAGATCTTAGATATGAGAATCGCGCACCTTCGCCTTCGCTTTCTCCGTCTTCGTCCATGCCATCCATCATGTTTCTTCTTACGACACCACCCTCATTCATTTTCTTACCCATGACTACGATAAGTTCAAAAGCAGCGGTTCGTGCCTTCTCCGAAGCCTCCTTAGTACCCAAGACAGCTTCAGAGATGAGGGACGGGATGATGTGCATCGCTTCAGGAGGTATCTCTCGAACCAGCAGTGAGAGCAGGTTGAAGCGATCCTTTGAAAGACTATGAATGAGCATGCGAGATTCATATCCAATGCTAAAATGCTAAAAACACAACCTTCTTAGCAGCAGCCAAAAGACCTTCCGCCAATTCGTCCAGTCGAGATAATGTCGATTGTACTTCAACGGGCACCTTACCACTGCTCAATAGCTTGGCAAGAGTCTTGTATCCACGTTTCTGTACACCATTATCCTTGTTGCTCAAAATATCTTTGGAAAGGCAGGTCTGGAAAAGAGAAGTAGCGTCTACTTCTGATAGATGAGGGAGCAGCAGTATAAGAAGGTCCTGCGTCATGGCAGTTATACTCCCACCACCTTGCGAAGCAGGGGCACTTTGTGCATTGGCAAGATTTTGCTTGAAAAGCTCGAGGACCTTGTTATATGCTTTTGCAATTTCCTGAAAATGGTTGAACGAGATTATCCAAAACGGCTTATAAGAGACTAACCTGTTCATCAGCTATCCCAGCCCAGGCACTGATAACATCACCAACTATTCCACGGCCATCTCGATCTGCACTACTAAAGATATTGAACAATACGGCGAACCAGCTCTCGGCTTGACTTTTGAGGAATACTACATTCTGTGCGGCCTCGGCCGGACTAATCGATGTGACTTCTTCGGAAGCTCCATCCATTTCACTATCGGCTTTGGATGCTAGCGATACATTTGATTCCACGATGACTTTGAGAGCCTTTAGAATAGCCGGTCGAAGTTCTGGTTGGCCGTATAGGAGCTGTGATAGTAGTTGACAGAAAGCAGAAGTGAAGGACTGCATGGAGAACGTTGTTTAAAGAATACACTAAAAGCTACACATCGAGACCACTTACCTCTTTCAAGTCGACTGTAGCGTGACAGTAGCCAGCCAAACCGGACCAAATTTGTGAAACAAGTACGCTCCACACTTTTGCCTCTGCTTGTCTGTCTTCCATCTCGGCCTCCTGTTGTAAGTTGAACATGCGTTCGCTTAATGGGACGAAGTAAGACACGAAGTGGCCCAAGGGAGAAACATGGGGTTGTGGAAGCATGGGAAGGAGAAAAGCGCGCGGTTCTTGCCCTGCTTGTCTAAATCATAAAGGTGTCAGATGATTTAACTAAGTGCTGAATATATGCATACCGGTCAGCCGGTTCTAAGTTCAACGGAAGAACAGTGAGCAAGACTGCGGGTCCTATGTGACGCATAGCTGTGGCCAATGTGGCGTCTGCTGCTTCCTTGTGCTCAAAAGCTTTCTGTGTTCGGAGCTCCCCAACCTTTTGTATCAAAGGTATCAAAAGAAGTTCGGCAGCGGTGGGAGACTGACGGGACCCCTGTCTGAACCGCAGACGCGTTATAAGAGCAGAAATGATAACCAGGAGTTCTGGTATAGCACGAGAAAAGGCAAGGGAACCTAGCGCTTTCATAGTTTGCGATATGATTTCCTCTAGTAATGTTGATTGTATTTTTGTAGTACCTCGACCTTCAATGGCAATTGCCACCATATCCGTGGTTATACACTCTGACATCATGGTAAGCGATTCCGCTGCTGCTTTCCTGATCTGTGGTTTGTCCGACTCAAGGAAAGACCAGACTGTTTTCCATACGAGCGGTAGTTCAGTGGCCGAAGCTTGAGAGTCCGCGCCACTATAAGCCAGCATCGCGTGTCCTAAAACTTGCAGCCACGAAGGACATAGTGCAACATCAGATTTTGAAGGGATGGAAGCCAAAACGGCCTTCAATACGTCAGGTATTTGATCTACGACGTTGTTGGGCTCATCCGTGGTTGGAGCAGAAAAAAGCTCAGAAAGGATAGAGTACGCGGATTGAGATAGATATGGATTTCCAAGTCTAGGGAGTGTCAGAAGAAGAGTAGTGATGGACGGTAGTGTCTACCCATACGAACGATATTAATAAGATTATAGCAGAATCTACAGGCGCGGTAGAAACGTACAGAAGCGGGAAGCTTGAGTAGAACTGGGCGCAAAAAGGCAAGAATATGGATGGCAGACTCCGCGGCAGATGTTTCTGGAGTTTTGCCAGTTACTTTGGATTTTGAGAGGGCACCCGAGCTTGCCTCCCTTAGAGCATTTCTAACCCATTCGGCTACTCTATCAGCGTAAGGGTGGCGTGCCATAGGGCTAGGAGGGTTGGAAAGGACATCTTTGACAACATCCGCTGCTTTTTTCCGCACTTTTGGTCGCGGATCCATGCAAAGCTGCAATACAGATGCGAATGATTGCCGGACACCTTGAATGTCCAGCTGTGACCGCTCGAGTGATCGAAATATTACATTGTAGATCGACAATTGCGAACGTAACGACGGTGCATGAGCAAGGAGAGAAGGGAAAAGTGGGGCGGTCAGAGATAACAGAGTGTTGAGATTTGATCGCAAGACCGGTGAAGGGACGAAAGGAGTCACTAGAGCCAACAGATAAAGTTCTGCAGGCAAAACATCACCTTCACCCAAGGATATGTCTTTCTTTTGTAATGTTCCATCCAGCGTTGTAAGAAGTGTAGCAAAATAAGCTGTAGATGTCTTGTCGGTCTCCCGATCTTGCAAAGTAGACTCTAGGGCTTGCAGTAAGACAGCTGGTGCTTTTTGATGGGCCAAGTTCGAGGTTGTGTGAGGACGTATCTTGGATAATGCGTCCTCCATGATTATCGCAATAGATCCAAGATGAAATGATATCAGTTCACCGTCGAACGTTTGCTGCAAAAGCCTCGAGGCTTTTAAATTTCCGAGTCGCGGCTACAGCACTCAATGCAAGGCAGAAAAATTTAGTTAGATAAGCATCCCCAATGTGGAACACCTGTTCCTTGCCATGACCGTGACGTTGGGGCCCGGCAAACCATGATATAAGCTTACACAGAACTTGCTGGCAAACGTTATAACTTATCACGAACCGTTCACGACTTAAAACACGGGGGACACAGAATTATGCCCCAGGGATCTTCAACGCCTTGGTCCTATCTTCTAATTCGGTGAGCAGCACCACCCAGGATGTCTGACCCAGCTCACCAACGGGTTCCAGAATCTTGTTCCAATTTGTACTCAAGATATTTTACGGGACTATAGTTGTGGAAAATGCTGATTTAATACCAAAGACCGGACAACCATGGTCATTTTTCTCTCAGTCGTATACCTAGCCAGACAATTTTAACAGTCGTCTCACAGCATTGTATGTGCAAACCACAGTAATTCCTTGACGGACGCATTGTGAGTATAAACGCGAGTGTCTTTAGTACGTCACCCTGAGCATGAAATACTACACTTCAGGCTTCTAGTTACCTCAATTCCTATGAGTGTAAGTCTTTTCGTTCAGTCAAGAATGTCTTAGTCGTACTGACTCCCCCGTTCTAGCGACGTAACATGTTAAGGCTCACTGCCAAGGCTACACAATTTGGGCAGAGGACCTTCACTAGCTGGTTGATTGAATCCGCTGGCACTGTACCAATCAAACGAAGAAAGGACTCCGCAGATGGCACTGCTGATAATACTGAAGTGATGGAGAAACTAATGGAGGTGTGTGCGGAAAGGTTTCGTCTTATGATATGTTGACTTGAACATTATATAGGCATTGGAAATTGGCGATGCTATCTGCCTTTTCCCCGAGGGTATGAGTCGATATCATCCTACCATAGCGCCTCTAAAAACCGGAGGTCTGTGTTTCTGTATATCTTCTGTGTAATACGTCTCATAATTTATACAACAGTTGCTCGCATCGTTTCTGACGTACTGACGCGAAATCGTGATGACCCAAACTTTTCGGTTTCTATATTGACTTGCTCAGTTACTTACATGTATTTGTTTATCACTTTTTTTGAAGACAGTTTCTGACCTTTCAATAGGCACCGACAACATTTTCGCTCGGACGTTCTAGTTACTTTCAATCCCCCTATGACCTTCACTCCAAAGGTGTTTAAATTGGGTAATACCTTTATCGTTAATGCTAAATTTAAATATATTTCAGGATAATCCAGAACTTCTTGCACCTGTAAACTATGACGAGATTCGCGGCCTCACCGCCCAAATGCACCAACAAATCAGCTCTCGCACTATTGATTCCCCTTCTTGGGATCTCGTTCGGTCGGCTAGGATTGCTTCCAGGATATACGTTCCCCTTGGGACCCGCATGAGTTTAGGAGATTACGTTAGAGTAACCCGAACTTTTGTAGAAGCCTTCAAAGCTTCAGACGATGCGCAAAACAGCAAGCATATTGCTGAAGACGACCCAATTGAGTCTACCAGTGAAGATTTGGAGCTTAATCAGTTGCGATATGATTTGCGGGTGCGATTCTTACCTGCATAGTCCCCTTGCCGTGCTCACGATTATGTCTAGGACTACCAAGACCAGCTAGTACGATGGGGCATCAAAGACGATCGTATCCGTCGACCTCTTTCTCGGCGAGTCATTCTATCAAGAATCATAATCCGTTTATCTTGGTTTTCGTTCCTTTTCGTTATTTCTCTCCCTGGCCTAGCCTTGTGGACACCCGTATTCGCAGCCACCTTCTATGCTGTGCATAATTTCAAGAAGAGTGGCCCGATCTGGGATACATGGGATGAGATTGCACAATACAAACTCATCTATGGTCTCATTTCGGGTCTATGCGTATGGTTCGGCTCTGTCCTTCTCACTCTGCCATTTGCTTGGATAACTATATTCTTGGTGCCCTTGTTGATGTGGATGACTCTGCGCTGGCTTGAAGACGCAGTGTCGGCATTCCGTGCATTCACTGCGCTGGTTCGGCTGCTAAGGGTAGGAACATCTACTCTCAAACGCATGAGGGTGAGGAGACAAAATCTACATGGACGTATAATGAATTTAGCTGTCAAGACGCTTGGTTTACCTGCCGACCCCGAGGTATATTTCCTTGAAAGTGGAGGAAAGGAGAAAGGTCGAGTTCGGGGGAGATGGGAGAGCAGCGCGAAGTACTTTTCAGTGAGGAGGCGACGAAAGAGAGATTGGAATGAGACTCTTCGCTTATATGATAAGGTGGATTATCCAGAGGAAGGGCAATGACGACATTCACTGTAGGCGGTTTGAACGTTGAATATCGAATAAGAGGCAACATTTCAGTTAATTATGGGCAAAGTGCTAGCCAAATTGTCCGACAACATAGCGAATAGGAATTAATATACATCGCGTGCCAAAAAAGAGAGAGAAAGAGAGAAAGATACTCGTGTCTACGGGAGTGAAATTTGATAAAGCTGAGGAGAGTGCTATAAAAATCATGGCGTCAAGGTCGTAAGCATATTTGGAGAGGTATTATCCCAGTATAGGCTGATATGCTCTGTTGCCTGCAGCCCATTTGTGACCCCTATCCGCCGACACGCCTGTGACGATGACTCCAAATCCTACCAAAATCCCGACTACCCAAGATATCGTGTTCAACACGTACCCCGTGCCTGCAAACCGTGTCAGATGCTATAGTTGAAATTTCGGAATACGACTCACCAGGTCTGGCATACTCGAACGAAGGGTAACGAGCAGTTCGATACAACTCGGTGACAACAGCAAATGTGATGATTTGAAAAGCAACTAGTGATTGATCAGCAAGGGGCCGCATACAGTGGGTGAATGACTGCGTGAAAGATACCATGTAAAAGAACAAGACCCGCAACAGCCCTCCACACGCGTCTCCTTCGAGAGTGGGTACTGACGCCTATTAATAGGGAAACCAAGGCCAAGGCGGCGAAGCCTATGCCCAACTCGGTAGAATACTGCGCACTGGTCCAGGCAGCGCAAAAGAAACGATTTTCGTCGTCACAGCTATCGCTAACAGAGCGAGGGAACGGTCGGCACTCGTAATCTGTATATTCGAACCCGCCATTGCCTGGGCCAGGAATCTTGACCACCTGACGTTCGCACCTTTCCATCAAGCCGTAGCGAACGGTGACTTTTGCGTTCAAGATTTCATAGCTTGTAGTGAGCCTTTGAATTCAAAGAGGTGTCAGAACAGAACTCGCTAAAAAGACTGCTCGTTGGCGAACCAGTCCGAACGGCGTGAGGATACGATGTTCTGGGAGTTTCAAAACACCATTTCAGCGTGCAAACGAGACGGCGGTAATGGATTCGACTCACAATGACCAGAATGGCTACCACAGCAAAGAAAGTGAGGACGTAGGACGTTTTCCTCATCGTGGTCCTTGAGGGAAAAAAAATGGTGCTCAGGTTCGCTTTTATGAGTGGTAAATCTGAATTGCTTGTGCTCCACCTGAAGTCGTTTCAACCGCCCTGCGTAACCATTACGTAATAATACATCTTTGGAAACAGCTCCTTTTAGTATTTTATCGCTCAAACCATTTGCTAAGATCAGACTTCTGGGTCTGATCTTAAGCCAAGTGCGATAGCTTCTGTCCATATTTATATCTGTGGTTCCAGTATTATCCACCTATCATGTGTTGGCGTGGAAAAAGAGGGTCCAGTCTATTTTGCTATTTGCTCACAGAAGAACGTGCCATGATGGGGCCCCCTGAAAGGTAACTAAACTGAGGGATATCTGCTCTTATCTTTGCCCGATAAGCAAATGCAAGGGGGATCCAGTCAAACTTGTAAATTTCGTGTGGCGATCTGGTATGGTTTCACCACATAGCATTACGCTCTGAATTCTGACAAGGTCTCATATTTCCAGTGGCGGCGGTATCAGTGGTCTATGCCTTGCCGTCGCACTTTCAAGACAGCCAAAGATCCAGGTAGACCTGTATGAAGCTGCAGATCGCTTCAAAGAGATCGGGGCCGGAGTCATGATCTGGTCAAAGACGTGGAAGGTACTTGAACTACTTGGATTAGCAAATGAATTCGCAGAAGTAGCCCATGCTCCACCGGATGGTTCTCTTGGTAAGTGTAATAGATGACGTTTGCAGGCGCTTCGTACTTTACTCTCCGTCCGTAAGGCGTCGCCTTCGATTTCAGAAGGTCTGATAACCCCGAAGAAGGTTTTCGCTTTCATCTTGCCGAAATGCCCTGTAAGCTCATCTCAAATTCGTCATTCAGCTAGTATAGTTACTCAGAGCATGGATACATTGAGATGGTTGCATTCGTTTCCATCGAGCACATTTTCTAGATGTATTTGTTGAACATATACCCGAGGGCGTAGCGCATTTTGGCAAAAGACTGACGTCTTTCACTCGCGGTAGCTCACAGGAGCCCCTGACTCTCCAGTTTGCAGATGGCTCTAACGCCTCCTGCGATCTTCTTGTCGGCTGCGATGGCATCAAATCTCTAGTTCGAGCGCAATTATTCAAAGAACTCGCCATCCAAGAAAGTCGATCAGACTTTCTCGGTTTTATCGAGCCTGTGTGGAGCGGCACAATAGCTTACAGGGGGTTGATACCGGTTCATCGCCTATCCGAGCACAATGGTGATGAGAAACACAGAACGATCGATAGTCCGATGATGGTGAGTGTATTGTTGGCACGTATCTGCTTTTCTTACTTCTAAATGGGTAAAAATAGTACTGTGGAAATAGCAAAGTATATTCTACTCTTCCTTACCTTCCCGTTATCTGATGGCTCGAGAGTAGCATGTCGTCAGTTATTCAATATCAAAAGGGGACATAGTAAACGTTGTTGCCTTTTCGTCTCAACCTGACAAGGACGGTACTCATTACGATGGTCCCTGGGTGACGGACTGCACGCAGGAGGAGTTTCTTCAGTGTTATGCTGGTTGGGAACCTGAAGTAGAAACCATGCTCAAAGTCATCATTCACCATGCGCATACAAATATGTTATGCTTACAATTTAATACAGTGCATCGAAAAACCATCACGATGGGCAATACATCACCTCGAGCCTCTTCCCTTCTACGTGAAGGATAACATAGCCTTGATCGGAGATGCTGCTCATGCCATGACTCCTCACTTAGGTGCTGGGGCTGGTCAGGCTATCGAGGTAATAATTCGCGTCATTGCTTTTAGTGCGCTAATCGTTCTCTCCCAGGACGCTTTCCTTCTCGCTTCTCTCCTGGGACATCCATCTGTCCAACGCCTCAATATGTCCTCTGCTCTCAAAGCTTACGAAAATATCAGGTTACCTTTAGCCACCCGCGTCCAACTTGGCTCTTCGGAAGCGGGTCGCAAGTATGAGTTTGATAGCAAGCTGGGTGCTAACTATGCAAAATTAATTCCAGAAATCGATGGTCAGTGGGATTGGGTATGGGAAACATCCCCAGAGGAAGATGTTGAGCAAGCGTTGGCGCTGATGTCGCAGTATCAGCATGCCCCATAGTGGGTACAACTTAGTAGAATTGACAAATTAAGAGAAAAGAACATTGACTTACACGGACAAAGTGGCTTATAATGATCTAAATATTCGAATAATGCAAGGTCCTTGTCGATTAGTGGTTAAATCATCACGTTGTGGCAAGTTCATAACCGTGAGGCCGGAAGTTCGAATCCTCCCAAGGACACGTCTTTTTGATTGTTTTTGTTTTGGATCTTCGCATCGCTACGTATGTCTTTCCTTATTGAGTGTTAAGTGGTAAGCTGCCTGCCAATTATTTTTTTTGGTGTAATACTAGGTCGGATGTCAAGCGGACAAGGTGTTTGGTTACGCCTTTTTGCTGAAACTGACTACTGATTGGCCAATAAATCGGGACTTCGGTCACACAACTTGGTACATGAGTTACACGAAAATATGATACATGGTAGCAAGCTAAACGTCTCAGTGTAACGTTTACAGTCAGGGAAGACCGATAAACGAGCATAATGATTCAGACCAGACACACGATCCACCAAAATTAGACTCGAGGTATGCCCTGTACAACTTGAGGGTACGTCTGGGCGATCATCTATATTAAAGTGTCAAATCTGAGTCAGGGGGCCGAAGGAGGAGAGCTGTACTCACAGCGAACAACTCTGGTGCACGTATCTCCATGACTTGTGGGTCCTCACCGAGCCCAACGAAACTAAAGATAGCTGTAAGCTGGCTGGTGTCATAAGAGAGAAGGGCCTCCTTACATCGTTGAGACACCAGCTTCAAGGGCGCAAGAAAGAGTCAAAGCTATGTGAGATGTGAACACCATGAATAACGAGACACCTCATAAGATATTGGACGTACAACATGAAATCCCGATCAAGAACGCAAATAGCAACACTGGTGCAGTATATTGCCCATCTGCATTATATGACGGATGTGTGACTGTAGTGAAAAATCAAGTTAGACACCGGGTATAACATCGTGAATCATACGCACAGCGTAGGTAAAGGTAAGCGAACAAGGAGCATAGTAAGCCAATAGCATATGCTCCCCAGGTGAGTGCTAAGAGCAATGGTTAACAGCTGCTAAAATGTAGTTGATCTACCAAAAATACTCACTCATGCTAATCAAAGAATCGTTGACAAGAGCATCAATTCCTAGAGTAGAGAACGTCAGGCATCATCATCATCTAGATAAATTGAGCAGGGCAACCAACCTCGGTCTTTGAACAACCTCCACGTATCCTTAGCTGCGCGGACGTAAGGCTTGCCGTACAAGGCTAAGTTGGAGAATTCAATAATCAAGTAGCAAATCGAAATACGGGCGTTTAATGCTCACCGATTTCAATGTAAGCATATCTGCCCGACAAGCCATGTTAATGAATGAAAAGGAACGGGATAACATACACCTACTTGTTGAAATACTGCACCATGTTGTCTATACAGCCTATGAAACATTCGGCGCAGCAAGCCAAGCAAGCTTCGACGGCTATACAAAATAGAAATAAGTTGTCCACATTCAGTCCTAAAACATAGCATGGAGGTACACGCACGTTGCCCATCAGCATCTGCATTATTCCTCGCAGCATTCAAAAGTATTCTCAGTAACTCCAAAATAGTGACGATGAGCGAGCCGAAGGCGATAGATCCGAGGGAGAGGGAGGATGCTCGGGCGAACGCAGAGAGTGTAGGATGCTTGGGCTATACATATCGTACTTAGCTGCTGAGCTACACCAAGAGGGAAGAGCCTCCTACCATTTCGCCCTGTTGACGGGGACCAAAGTAGTACCAGCCTAAACATAATTTATATGTCTTCATCCACGAAAAGGGTCAATATGGACTTACATCCAAAAGGACCACCGGCAAGCGTGGCTAATGCAACGTTGCTAATAACTTGCGACGTCCAAAGGAAAGAAAAGGCCTCGAAGAAAATGAGCCCGGCTACTTTAGCGGATGAGCAAGATGTTCCATCGTTACATGCTATCAAGGCAAAGGGTTAGAACAAAGCCAAGAAAACCACACCACGGGAGACTAACATGGGTTTCCAGGTGTGAATTTGGCATATCTGTGTCATAAGTCAGACTTTTGTCACAAATGAAGAGTCTGGTATACTTACGTAGCAATCGCGGTAAAGGTAAACCAGCTGTGGGGTAGGTTCAATAAAACTGGAGAGCGTTCTCTGTTTAATTGAAACCTTACACGCTTAGAGCAGCTTGCAGAATGAGAGCCATGAACGCAACGAAGTAAACGCTTGTATGGTGTTTTGCGACGTCCATCACCACTTGCAATAAAAGAGATGCGAGGGGAATGCGAGACCTATACCCCCAGTAGGAGAATATAGAGAGCAAGGCTATCACCGTGAAAATGATAGCTCCAGCTGGGACAAACCTCGTCAATTATCAACATGAACGGAAACAATGTAAACTTACAATAGAACTTGGTGATCCAGTAATAGACGCATATTCCACTGGTAAATGATGTAAATTATGAGGCACAAAGATTGACATGCAAACATACATGTTGAGCAGAATTGAGAGAATGAGTGTGATGTGCATGATGAATCTCGTAAATAATCGCGCGAGTAAGAGATATACAGAAGAGAGCAGTAATCCAGCTGCTGTCACAAGTAATAACAGATACACAGTATGCCTGGTCACTTGTCAGAGACAGCATTAGGAACAAAGACGAAATAATAGTACCAGTTGAGTGTCACAGAGCTGCCAGTATGTGAACCATCGCCCAACCCTCCACCAAGACCACCACTGGATATCCACTGTGATATTACGATACCAGATAGCGCAGCAAAACCTAGTAACTACATCATATGTGGCTTCAGCGATCTGCATGTTAGACAGGGGGTAAAACACATACCTGCAGTACGAAGAGAATCAAGAAGGCTACATCATTGACTTTTTTCTTCGGTTTAAATCGGTCGTCTTCGTAAGGAGATTTGGTATCTGGATATGTCGGTGGGTATGGCGGGTGGTTTGGAGGGGGTGCATAAGGTTGGGAGACGCCTGGCGCAAACCTTTCCTGTACGCCACTAACTGGTTGGTAGCCTTGACCGCTACCCCATTGATCTTTATTCCACTCTGTCATTCTCTGGATACGTCAAAAAATCGTGGATGGTCGCAGACGCTGAAACTTGAAAAGGAGGTGAGCCTTAAATACTGTGCTAAATGATGCAAAAACAGACCTGTGACTGACTCGGATGTATCTTGTTTCAAGTTCGAAGTTGTTCAACTGTTGGTCGTAAAGGTGATTCGAAACGCGGGAGCAGCAGGCTAAGCAGTGTTATATTGTGGGTGAATCTGTGATCCGAACAGCAGCATACTCCAACCTGCAGGTGTTGGCTTAGGCGCCATTCCGACTTCAGAAGTAAGCATGCCTCGGCAAAAACTGAATTACTTTACATGCACAATTACGTCAATGCTTAACGGCATTTGTAATGGAACCTCATGTTTCTGAGTACGTTCAATTAAACGGAACCCACCCAGTCAGACCAAACTACTGATATGACAGTCGATATCAGCAAACGACCCACTATATATCAGTATATAACCCACCATCCCCCGAGTGCATCAGCGACGGAACCAAATATAAAGCGGTGCGATAGTAAAATCCAACAATTGGATCAATAATGTGGATGCATATGATGAAACTGCGATGATCAGGCAACCTGAGGCGCGCCACACTTAACTTGAATCATGTCCATAGCCTGTTAAACAAGATGTATTCTACAGTATATCATGATCATCGTTGCTACAGGCATATGATACGTATATAAGGGCACAGATAGAGTTATGAACAGATGGCAGAAAACGGGGCGTGTGGACAAGGTGCTGACGATGAGTACAATAAATGACCGTACAGAGAAACAAGCATAGTCAACTTGAAATCAAAGCCAAAGAATTGAAACCGAGGATGATCACAAATTATGGGGCTGGAAATTATGATATGTACATGATCATGGACGAGACGACTTGCGTCATAGTCTCAACGTGAGGACTTGTTTTTGAAGCGCACGACCATGACTGTTACATTGTCGTTAGTCTGCCGAGCAAGAGCGTGATTGACGAGTGCTTGACTAGCTTCCTGTGCATCTTCCATGTGACGAACAAGATCGATGGCGCCTTGATCACCAGTGATATCCCATAGCTGTTTTAAGTATATATATATATATCAGTACATGAAACATCAGCCACGAGAATCGAAGTCATGTGTGAACTCACACCATCGCAAGCCAAAATCAGAAACTCGTCCTCGTCGCAAAGCTCTGTCTCAGTGGTGTAAGGCGATCCCACGACAAATTCCTTCATCGATGAATCGCCCAAGCTCCGGGTCACTGCCAGCACGCCGTTCACTCGTCCGCTGAGAACGAAGCCACCGGCGTCTGTTATCCTCTTTGCTTCCTGTTTGTCGGACCCCTTGTGATCGTATGTCAATCGCACAGCTTTGCCTGCACGACACAGAACTCCACGTGCATCGCCAGCATTTGCACTATAAAGAACGCGTCGTGCGGTTGTGGGTGGTACAATCGCGGAAGTTCCATTGACTTGGTGTGTGTTTGCAGCAGGCGAGGTATTGCTAGGCGAAACAGAGCGCGGTGTAGTGGGAGACGTCGAGCGTGCTGGAGAGGCACCGCCCAGATTTTTGAGAGCTCTCGCTATTCGGCTCCCATTAGTTTTCTTAGATTTAGTTGCCTTTTTGTCCTTCGAAGAAGCTTCCTCGCTAGACTCTGCGCTATGACTGTCAGAAGCACTCGCGTTGTCGCTCTTCCCTTCTTGAAAGGATACTGGGGAACCGGCGGATTCCCGAGAGTCAGTGATAAATGACTGGTGCCCATCAGCATCCTCAATACGCAGGAATGCGGTTACAGCAGTGCATCCAGAATGGATCTTGCCCTGGGAATCTTCGCACATGCGAGAGATGCGAGTGTCTACACCATGAAATGTCTGATTCAAAACATCAGGGATAGCAGCCCCAGGCGATGAGCGAAGAGTGTCCAGCAGATACTGCAAATGATAAGGGGCGCGTCAATATCACTTCATAGATGAGCTGAGGACGGTGGCCTGATTGTACCTCGTGGAAATGAGCCCCGCACCACTCAGCGGCATGTTTACCAGCATGACCGTCGAACACGGCGAAGAAGCCTTGACCTCTTACTCCAGCATAGTCGACGACGAATGAATGGGCATCTTCCATAGATCGCCTTGAACCCTTATCTTCAGAAACACCGACTTGGTACGCGGCATTTTGTGCAGAGTGTCGGTTTAGGATCTGATGGTAAGCGCCACGGAGATGGATGAGATGAGAGTAAGATATATGAGATGGCTCCAACGTACACCATAAGTTTCAACTCCTTCGGCCGTAGTAATCGACTTGGAGCGCGCGTTTGGGGACTCTGAGAACCGTGGAGTTGTAGGATGCATGTGGGGAAGAGCAGGGTTAGAGTCCAAATTAGATGAAGCCCTTTATATATTCCGTGATCAATGGCGCGTTCTGGTCAGGGAGATGTGCGCTTGATCAGATCAAGCTTACCGTGACAATGAGTTGGAAGACGTCTGGTGGATGGTTGCCGTGTTTGCTACATGATTACGACAACATATCATCAAGTGAGCACACTGATCAGCCGCAAATGGTAATATCCGGTTCGCTCACTCTCTGGATTGTTGTGCTGCACGGTTTGGATTTCTGGCATAAGTTGCCAGCGACTATGTCTCAAAAAGCGAAAGAAAAGCGGATAGAAAGATGGAGCGAACTCGAGTGATGCAGACTGCGAGTGTCAGATGGAGTTCTTATAATGGAGCTCAGACTATCCTGCCACACAAGCCACCGCCGGCGCCGAATCCGGCCTGGTCACATGGCCTGGCATCACTTTTATGGCACAATCACGGTCGTTGTCGGGCATGCAACTGATTGTTAGAAGCGCTCGTGTAGAACAAGACAAAAAATAGAGAACAAAAAAACAAAAAACAAATCTATGTAGGTTGCCAATGTCTCACTACAATCTATTCTATAAACTATGTATACGACAAGGCCAGCCAGTCGAGGCCAGGCAGAGGCAAGTGGTTTTCATTTTCGGCCTTGGATCGGGAGCTGTGACATAATAGTATGGGACAGCGTCGGAGTGCCTTCTGCGTAGCACAAGCTGTAAAACAATCGTGACCATTTCCTAGGAGCACAACTGGTGTGTTATTGTTGTCATTCAGCACATCGGCGACCACGTTCTCGATGTGACTCGACACGAGAACCACAGCAGCGGCGTGCAAATGCACTGGCCGTACCGTACGGGCGTGAGGGTTTCCAGTGAGACCGGGCCACGTGGTTACGGCAGTTTCCGGTAGAGTAAACAAGTGTGAGGTAGATTGTCAGATTACTAGCCAGCCAGCACTTTCACCTTCAGCCGGGACTCATCTGTGTTATCCACGCTTTTTCGATTGTCTCGAAAACCTGTGGATGTCTCAGCAATCAGCCGCGCCTAAGCCTTCGTTGCAGGGGGTCAGAATAAAAGCCAGAAAGGGAGCCGTGAAAGCTCACGCAAAGCACGAACCGTCAAGTTTGTATCTTTCGTCTCTGCCAGCTGGTGACATCCGTTCTCAGTTCTCCTTTCAGTCTTCAGAGACCAGTTATACAAACATCTCGAAACCGTACCAGAAGGCGATTTTGATTCTTTTGCCACAAAACTAGTCCAAGCAGGTTCAACTCTCGAATTTCTCAAATATGCAGACGCTCTTTTCGAAATCGTCCTCGTTGGCGGTCTCATCCAGCCTGGAGGCAGCTACGTTGATGATGGTGCACCGACTTCTCCCTTCACCATCTTCAGCGCAAAGGAGCCTGTGGAGGTGGATGACGTGAAAAGATACATCGAAGTCCTTAATAAACTTATCAGAAGGCATGTTTGAACCACACGACGATATTTTGTCGAGCTTGAAAAAACTGACTTGGTATCCCTTAGATACAAATATCTTCAGAAACCTCTTGAGGAGTCTTCCCTCCCAGGCCTTCTGCAGTACATCCACCGCTGGTCTCCTGCGCAGAAAGACAAGCTGTCTACTGCGACTGGCCTTTTGATGTCTCAAGGCCTTGCAAATGCATCGTGCCTTCAGAGTTTGACAAAGGACCATCTGGTGAAAAATGGCAAGCTTGTTTGACTCTATGCTGTCATCCCTGCAGATCGTTAACTGTCTATACTCTTCAGATGTGTCTGTAAGCGTCGTAACCACCATTTTCCGTTGCTATCTATTGGACCAATCCATGGATCATCTCTCGGGCACCTTGAAGCGTGGAGGGATCAAAGATATTCTCGCATTCTTCCCGCCCAACAGGCGCTCCGCTAAACTCTTGGACGAGCACTTCAAGAAAGAAGGTCTCCCTCAGGTCGCAGAGTGGTACGCCAAAAAACAATACGCCGTTGTCAAGGAAGGCATCGTGTCGGAATTGAAGGAGTTGTCTGACCATGGAGAACCTCCTGAAGCGGTATGTATATGTATATCTTGTGCGCATATAAGCCTCCTGACAGATGTCGTCCCCCCTTAGATCATTGCCGCCATCCATAGCAAACAGGAAGAACTCCCGTTGCCTGAGACAGAGCTGATACAATGTATCTGGCAGGGTCTCATTGCTTCGGTCGATTGGAGCGCCCGCCCGGATCAAATTGAAGGTCTCGCTCTTCGAGAAGTAGGAGTATGTCCTCTTTCCCCAACCAACCCCCCCCTTCCACCGCCATACTAACTAACAATACTCGGACCTAGAAATTCTCTACGATCCTCGAGCCGTTCTGCAAGGGGCCGAAGATCGAGGTCGCACTGATCAACGTCGTTCAAGTGTATTGTTACGAAGACACGCGCATTATGAAAGCGTTTCCGCAGATATTGAAGGTCGGCCTCGTGTTTTCTCACCAGTCCATCCCGCTCGTTGTGCTGACTGTTGCATCATCTAGGTTTTGTATAATAAGGATTGTATTACCGATCAAGCCATCATATACTGGTACCAGAAGGGCTCGAAGCCACAGGGTAGACAGCATTTCTTGAAGAGTACGGAGGCTCTTGTCAAGGTGAGGTTGTTTATCAAAGACAAGTCTTACCACTTCTAACTCCCGCCATTCAGTTTTTGCAAGAACAAGAGAGCGACGATGACGATGACGAATAGACATGCGGTGTTCCCAGATTATTACGTTCATGTTACGTTCATGTACAATTTGCAATAGCCATGACTACAGTGTAATGTTGCTATGTATTAACCTGGAGTTTTCTTCTTCTTCCAATTGATAAACAAAATATATCATTGTCTTTACTGTGTATACAGACGCACAAACGTAGTTAATATTATGCACAAACAAAACCTAGCAAGCAAAATGAACAGCGACATTATCTATAAAGCGCAGACACACCCTCTCTCCGAAATTTGATAGCGATGTCTATTTTTCGAGCTCACCACGCTTCTGGCATGGGAGCAAAATCTCCAGACCAACCGTTCGTTCCGTTCATTTGTAAAAATATACCATCCGAACCATTGACCGGAAGCCCGAGGTCTGTCAAGCTCTAGAATCCACAAAAAAAAACCAAAAAAAAAACGATCGGTCAATTGGGAGTTCTCAACACATCTCACGAAAAAAAAAAAAAAGTAAAAAAAAAGAAGAAAAAGAGGGGCATGTGCACAAAGCCCACCTCCCGCACGTACCTGTTCTTGCAACCAAAGCGGGATAGCGGAGGGACTGAAGATGCCGCGATCGTTGGGCCACGCGAAGCCGAGTTCCTCCATCGTGAACGGGGCCTGCACGTTCTGCGCCTCGCCATACCCAGAGTTGATGACCATGCCTTCCGGCACGGGAGGCGGAGGCATGTTCGTCACGGGGGTGTTGATGCCTGACATGAGGCCGACCTTGCGTTTGAGGTTGGCGAGCATGATTCGGAGGGTGAGAGCATATCTGATAAGAAAAAGAAAAGAAGAAAAAGACCCTCAAGCCGTCAGGGCACCCGATATGGAAAGAGAGACGGAAATCACATACCGCTCAGCGGCTACATCAGAGAGGAGCTGTGTAAGTTGTTCGACTTGAGCGGTGATGGCCGGAAGGTCCAACTCAGCCGGGAACAAGTTGGCCATTTTTAGGAGGAATAGCCCAGAAAACGCGGCCGTGACAAGGCTATCGTGAACAGCGTATCTAAGGGCGGCCCTGCTTTGTATTTTAGCGAGTTACAAGGGTGTAGGCGATGGACAGTACTAGCCTATATGACGCTGAGTTGAGGAAGATCGCAAGGCAGTTAAAGGCCGCATCTTTTGCTTGGAAGGCCAGTTCTCTTTGTTCGAATGGCATCTTGTCCCAAGATACACCTCGAAGGGCCACACAGACAAGCCAGAGTTTGGCATAATGCAGTTCACCAGCCAGAATTTTTCTTAGCAAGGAATCTTCATCCATCGTTTGGCCTATAGTCGCAATCAGAAACTGCCATTGTAGCGATGGATGATAGAAAGCACATACGATGTAAATCGTCGCAATCTGCCCACCATTTGTCAAGAGCAACGTTGGCGCGTCGAATGAACGCCAGCGTGTTATGATTCACTTGACCGTTCAGGGGAGCCAAAGTCTCGTAGATTTGTGCTATGTCGCGTATATCAGTATGTATTAGCCTGTTAGATACACATCAAGCTTACTTTTTTGGGCAATTAGTTCAACTTGTGATATCAGGCGAACATCAGTCGGCGAAGCCATGGGATGACTCAAAAGGATGCGGCAGTGTCGTATTGAGCTCTCCTCACGAAGCACGATGGGCCTACCAGTGCCCAAACTCATCCTAAATATGAGATTAATGCCCTGCAGTCGAAAACTGAAATACTACACTCACTGATGATCGAACCAATAGAGACACAACCATATGCGAGCGGAAACAACTGATAGGGATATGAGAACCTAGCTAAAGCTGAGACGGGCGCCACGTACCCAAGTCTCTTTCCTCATCGTCTGTACGCTTTTTACCGCTATCGTCAGCTAGTTTTTCCAACGCACGATGCAGCCCAAGGTCTAATGCCATCCGCATAGCATGGCCGCTTGGAAGCCACCCATTTGTGCTCCAAGCCGCAAGCAACAACATCCCTAGACGAGAGTTGAGAACAAGACGACTATCTAAAAAGCAAGAAACTAACCCATGACAGCCTCTTTTCTGACTACTGGGCCGAAAAGAGATGAGCGGGCGATGCCTTGTGCTTCTTCCAGGCATTTGTAAAAGGTGGGACTGAGAGGACCGTTACCACTCCTGATCTTGGAAGCGATCGCCAGAATAGCGTCGAAAGTCCAGGGTGTCCGCTCCATTAAACTTTCGAATGTATCATAGTTAGGGTCAAATAGCGGGATAAAAAGGTGGCATCCTGCGAAGAAGCTGTTCACTGCAGTCAGTGACAAGAACAGGATATGACGCATATATCGAGGTAACGTACATGTGATATAGTTCTCGGGCTTCGTTCTCGGATACTAGGCCCTAAAATAGTAGGGTATAAGATATTGAAATGAAACCTTGAAGGATCCGCGTACCTTTTCGATTACATGAGGGAAAGCATTTCGAGGGATAGGTTCTGCCTTTTTGCGTTTTTTGACCCTAAAAAGTGTGAGAATCAAGATGTGGATGGGCGTTGGCGATGCTTACCTCTGGGAGGAAGTAGAGGGGGCGGCAGCGGCTTCTGCAGCGGCGTTTGCCAGACCTTGGAGGGCCTCGATAGGAGCGTTTAGGGTAGAGCGAGGCAATGTATCTTCCGACTCGTCCTCTGAAGAAGGAGCAGTGCTGGGAATAATGCCATATGTTGCATATTTGTGGGGCTAGACGAATTTGGATGAGCGATATGGTCCGATGGAATGACGATGACTTACAGGCGGGGCGAAACCGGGGAGTGGGGGAAAGTGGCGGGGATTAGGCCTTGGCTGGTTGTCGATGGCTCCGATTTGGCCATGGATATCATAGCCAGTTCTGGGAGATTGCTGGTAGGCAGACATATCGCGGCTGGGACCTGGACCGATGTTTTGCGGATAGAATGATGGGTTTTGCGGGATAGCAGCGCTAGAGTGACCCTGCGTCTGGACGGCGGACAGAATACGGTCGAGGGAAGATTGCATGCCGATCATCTGGCTTTGCATGACCTAGTATGTGAAGGTTAAGGGTGAGGTGTGTATGTGGAGGGTGTTGGCTTACTAAGTATTGACCCTCGAGTCTGGAGAGGCGCCTGATGGAGGTGAGATGGGGCGGGGATGGTTAGAGCAAGGAGGACTGACTCGACGCTTGGGCCCGACATGGGCTGTGCATTTTTCTTCTCTGGTTTCTCAAAGACGCAGTGTGTTCCACTGAGCTGGCATCGACGACAGGGAGCCTAGGAGAGAGGTCAGCCGGGCCGGGCGGAGGGGCGGTCCAGAGGGAGGATAACGAGTACGGCAAAGAACGAACTGACCTCTCCTTCACATCTGTTTTTGCCCTTCCTGCACGCGGTACAGGCCCGCGCTCCTCTCTTCGGTATGTGGACGGCCTGTTGCTGCGCGGATCCCCCGGCTGCCTCACTGGGCGACTGGGTCATCTCTGACCTCCCTTCGCCAATGCTCGTTCGCCGTCGTTTCGCTGGCACGTCTGACCCAGCAGAGGCAGAGGCAGAGGCAGAGGCAGAGGCAGTTGGCGACAGGGACATGGCGACTGCAATAATAAAGATGCGCTTCAGCCCGACCTCGTCCGAGCTCTATTCGTTATGGACTCAAAAAGCCGCTGAGCAGGATGGACCCTATACAGCCTGTCGTCCTCTCGCCACGTGCCATCACACCCCAATCCGGAATTTCAGATCACTTGACTTCCACCGCGCTCCCTCGCTCATCCCACTCACACCAGTTGCCATAATACATCCCTCAATGCCCCCGTGACCTCCCATTCCTCCTTATCATCACCACCCTTCTTTTCTCATCTCGACGCTGTTGTCTCGTCGCCCCCTTCTGACTCTCCTGTCAACATGGACCAGCAACCTACCGTTCGACGCTGGTATTCCGTCCCCAATTTCCTGCACATTCGCTGCAATTTTCGCTCGCCAGTGCTCTACAGGAACTTCAGAAAATGCCATCGACGCTTCTCCGCCGCCCGCCCCGTGGGGGTCTCGGTCACCACTGCCGTCATTCCAATGGCACTCGTGCGACGATAACATCTTGATAGGAGAGTGCACGGCAACGTCCTTCAAATACTAGCTGACTTGTACTGCAACTTGGCTATCAGCGTATTCGTCCTTCCTATCGAGCAGCGTTCCACAACCAGTACAACTTCAAATGCAACTGGCATATGTGTCGTCCTCATTTTTGCTGTCCTCTTCCTTTCCATATAGGGGAACTCATGTGCTTACCATACGGTAGACCGCAACCCATATTGTACTGGAAAATTCAAGGTCTGATCGGCCTTACTCTATGCTAATATCTTCTCCCCAAAACTTTGCCTCAAACCGCTCGCGTTGGCTAAGGCTCCGCTGAGAAACGGCCGCTACACTGCTTACTTCCAAATTTTAGGTTTACTGTAATGGATCGAGTTCTGACCCGTTGCAGTAAGTAACGTGAATCGAATGCGGTATTAATATGGCGCGAAGCCGATGCAAAGCAGTATGACAGCACAGGATGACTAGACCGTCGTTTTCTCACATTTTGTTATGACGTTCTTACCCCTGAAACTTTATCTATACTGTAACAAATTTATCTCGACAATAATAGTTTTGATGTGACTGGAATTAGAATAAGCAAAATGCGAAAATTGTTTGATCAGCCCCCTGAGTCCTGTATAACCACCATACCTACTCTTCCTGCGGACCTCCTCTGCTATCCCGTGTTTCTCGGTATCGTTCCAGATGCCGGTATCATTTGTTGTACTGGGAAAAGAAATCCTTTGCAGCACTTAACGCCTCCTCCGCCTTTCCGCAGTTAACACCGACACCCTGAGCACCATCTTCCTTTCCTCCAGCCTTTCAAAAAGATAGAGTTCAGAAACATGAGAGAGACCCAACTTGTCAAACTTGTCCGAATAACTTACTTTTCCTCCCAGGACCTCGGTGACCTTGGATGCCCATACACGGGCATCTAAACCTTTCGCTTTCGCAGCTTCTGGAACGTGATTTGCGTGTGCAACTTTGGTATTGTCCGCGTCAACGCTGAAGACATACACGGCCTTGCCCAACTTTTTGCCTTGCGTTACGACGTTTTGAAGGCTCTTCTCATCCAATCCACCGTCAAGTCTGGAACAAAAAATCTCATGTCGAAACGAGTCTCACCTTGGCATTCCCGTCAACATCCAATATGGCAAAGTAGCCTTCGGCATTTTTATTCTCGTCAAAGTGGTGCACGAGGGCATCGATAGCCTGGCGGTAAAACATGAATACGGATGGCATCTCTGATGAGTTAGAATGAATATATTCACCGCTTTGTTGGCCGCAGCCTCCTTTTCTTTGATCTGTTTGTCAAACGCTTTGCGAACCGTTGCGAGACGGTCTTTCAATTCGGCCTTCCGAATCACAGAGATGTCAGCTTGTCCGAGTTCCTATAGCACAATTTGAATTAAGAGCAACAAGCGAGGTTAGCAAGAAAACATACCACAGTGAGAGCCTTGAGTCCAGCATCTTTATCTTTACCCGACATCGCCTCTAACTGATCAAGTCGAGCCTTGAATGCATTAGCTTGACGTGCAGCCTCATGAGCTTCTTGCCCTGTCACCGCAGTAATTCTACGAATGCCTTTGGCGATGCCCGACTCCTCCGTGATGACAAAGTCCTTGATATCGCCCGTCTTGGCAACATGCCTACACACCACCGCAATCCATGAACATGCCACTCTAATCGTCAAAAGATGGGAAACAGAAACGTACGTGCCGCCACAAAATTCCACACTCGTGTTGCGCCACTTTGGATTTTCGATATCCTTCGCCATATCATCGACATCGAACTCAAGCGTGACCACCCGCACAGGATCGGGATACGATTCGCCGAACACGGCACGCAGACCAGGGATCTGTTGGGCGGATTTGAGATCGAGTTCTTTGCTGTACACTTTGACGTTCTTCTTGATCCAGTCTAGGCTCATCGACTCGATCTTGGTGAGTTCGGGTAGGGAAATTTGGGATTTGTGTGAGAAGTCGAATCGGAGCTTGGTAGGAGCGACCAGAGATCCCTTCTGGTCAATATGGTCTCCGAGGACCTCGCGGAGACCAAAGTTAAGAATGTGCGTTGCAGTGTGATTGCTGCGCAATGGCCATCGCCTCAGCTGTATGAAAGACGTTGAGAACGATACGGAATATCTACGAGAGTGTTCAAAGACGTACCTCGTCGTAGGAAGACACAACTTCATCGCCAATGTCGAGTTTACCGTACTTCAGATGCCCGATATGGAGGACGTAGCCATTAAACGATTGAACATTGGTGACCTCGAAATCAGACACGCCGTCGATGACGATATTCCCCGTATCATATTCTTGGCCACCTGATTCGGCGTAGAAGCTTGTTCGGTCAAGAAGTACACCAAACGTCGTATCTTCCGGTATGCTGCTCGTCGATTCGAAAAAGTTCTTGTTGTAGTAAATTCCCTTGACCTGAGCCATGATGTTTCCAAGCTCTGATATACATCTATTTAGCCGGAGGCTTCAAAAGAAAGGTAATGATATCACATACGGAACTTTGCCGAGTCGTCCGTCTTTGGTATCGCGTCGTTCTTCTCCAGAGCCGCTATATCATGTACGTCCAGTTTGATCACAGGATGGCTGTCTTTCTTGAGAGTCCCTTTACTCGCTTGTTTCGATGCCTCTTGTGCTTCCTCGAACTCCTTATCGTTGATCCCGAGATGCAGTTCTTCGGCCATTAAGCGAGTGAGGTCCACTGGGAAACCATAAGTGTCGTACAGGCGCCAGACATCCTTTCCATTCAGCTCTTTCGTACTCTGTTGCTGCGCACGACTAGCATACTGGTCAAAGAGCTTCTCGCCACGGTCAAGCGTCCGTGAAAATGACTCCTCTTCTTCGTCCAGTATTTCCTTGATTTCATCCACTTTCTTAGTGAGTTCAGGGAAGACATCGCCCTACAAAACACATCAATGCAACGTCTGACACGACTGCCCGGTGTGCGCACCATTGTCTCAACCACCACAGGCATCAGAGAAGAGAAGAACGACCCAATAGGGACATTCAGCTTTTTCCGTGCATACCGAGATCCTCGTCTCAGTATCCGCCTAAGGACGTATCCTCGACCGACATTATTGGGCACGCCTCCATCACTGAGCGCAAAAGACAAGGTCCGGACATGGTCGGCAACCACACGGTACGCCGTATCTATACCATCTGCATCTTCGTCTCCAAATTTACCAGCGTATGGTCGTACCCCTGTGAGTTCTTGGATTTTATCGAATATCGGTGTGAATACGTCGGTATCGTAGTTTGAGCGTTTGTCTTGCACAACCGATACCAGGCGCTCGAAACCCATACCAGTATCAACGTGTTTGGATGGTAACGACTTCAAGGAACCGTCTTCCTCGCGGTTGAACTGTATGAACACGTTGTTCCATATCTCAAGGACATCCGGGTCGTCTTGGTTGACTAGGTGTGCTGCGTTGCGTCCGCCGATGCGGTCAAAATGTATTTCGCTGTGAAAGAATGAACACGAGATCTAATAATCAGCCGAACGATATCATTACCTGCAAGGTCCACAGGGTCCTGTTGCTCCCATCTCTACAGCATCTATCAGTAATCACATAGCGCTCACGCGGGAAATATAATCACCCCAAAAGTTGTCTTTTGCGTTACCGGGAAGGATGTGATCTTCTGCTACGCCTCGATCCCGCCAATACTGTCGTGCCTCCTCGTCCGCTTGCAAGCCATTCTTAGAGTCACCCTCAAAGTAAGTCACATACAAACGATCCTTCGGAAGCCCGTAGACTTCAGTCAGGAGTTCCCACGAGTACTCGATAGCTTCTTTCTGGGAGGCGATCAGCGACGCACGCCCTTTGGGAGCAAGTATATATGACTCACCTTGAAGTAATCTCCAAATGACCAGTTTCCTAACATCTCGAAGAAAGTATGATGATAGGAATCCTTGCCGACGTCGTCCAAGTCTGTAAGGAGAGGTTCACGACATAGAACACATCTGATTGAAAAAGATGCCCACCATTGTGTTTTCCCCCTGCCCTTATGCACTTCTGGCTGTTGAATGCACGTTTTAGTTTGGCCATGTCTGAATTGGGGTCCACGGTGCCGAGGAAGATGGACTTGTACTAAGAAAGCCGTCAGACTCCGCTGTGAATGTTTAGTACACTGATCATACCTGATTCATCCCAGCATTGGCAAAGAGCAATGTAGGATCCTCATACGGGATAGTTGCCGAGGATGGCACAAAAGTATGGCCTTTGGAGCGGAAATAGTTGAAGAACTCGTCCCGCACTTTGTGTGCGGTCCAAGGACCGCTGTATACGTTGGACATGGTGGAGAGGGATCTAATATGTACAAGGGGATAAGGATGTGGCGGTCGGAATCGAAGATAGGCCGTTATAACTGGAAACCTCATGCAGGTACTAAAATCATAACTGACTCGGCATATCAGAATCGTTCCAATCTAGGAAAATCGCATGACTAAGCACGATCATTGACTTCAGTCACGTGCGACCATATTTTCACCTCAACTTACTGCAGTGGTTTCGAGTAGCTGAAGGCCTTTTAGCTTTGTAGCGCTAGACCAAGGTCACATATAGGTAATGTCTCTGTTCTCGCGTTTTGAATCCAGGTATGCATGCTGAAACCCACTTCGGTTAGTCCATCTGCTCGCAGGTCCACCATGCCTCGAATCTTGCGACAGCTCGTGCGGCTTTTATCCCGTCCACCCACCCTACAAGCTTTACCAAGTCGCGCAGCATCCCATCTCAGAGCGTTTCAAGCAACATTGCCATTCTGTTCCCAAATTCTCAACAACCATAATCCCCTTCTCTTTGGCCCAGCCCAACATCGAATCTCGTCTCCGATATTGGCCGCGGTACACCAAGTAAGGTTTGCTGCACGGGGCACTGAATACCAACCGTCCCAACGGAAAAGAAAGAGAAAGCATGGGTTCTTAGCTAGGAAGAGGAGCATCACCGGACGGAGGATTCTTGCACGGCGAAAAGCCAGAGGCCGCACGTTCTTGAGCCATTGACGGGATACGATGGGACTCTTGGCATTGTATATTGTGAGTTTAACAAGCGTACTATCATCGTGCTACGTCTTGTTTTCTTATAACTCAAGTGTCCTAGAATCAACCACCGGAAGACTAGGGGCTTGAGCTTATGTCTGGCACCTGCGTGCTTTCTGCGCGACATATCTCAGACCGCACGCAATCCTATATTCCTTCCTCCAAGTAATAAACTACCAACGCTGTGCAAGCTGTTTGGCTATATAATCATATACTGTTGGATCCTCTCAGCTTACATGACGACTGATTGATTATAGAAACCATCTTATTACATGACTCTGCACTATGGACATAACCTAACCTCGTTGTCCGTACAGATGGCCTCAGTCAGTATTGCGTGATAAGTAAAAACCTAATTAGTTCATATCCACATCGACCAGAACCTGTCGATTCAGATCTTCACTAGTGAAAGCAGGCTTGGCAAGCGGAGGAATAAACGCAGCATCGAAAGGGCTCCTTGCCGCATCCGTATCCTGGGAAGGGCTATCATCCATGAAGTTTGGAATAGCTGCTTTTCCTTGTTGAATGTTTTGGGAACCGAAGAAATTGAGAGGGGCATTGGGATCCTGAGCCTGAGGTGCCAGTGTCAGATACGATTGAGGGGGCGAAAGTGGTGAGGAGGGCGTGAAAAGGAATCCACGCTCAATAGATGACAACAGGGCGGTGATTGGCGTTTTTGTAACTGAATTGTGGGTTCCTGTGGGTTGTGAAGGGGTTGAGATAACGGGAAAACTTGGACGTGGTTGTGATTGTTGAACCTCTGGGACTTCTTCCGATACTGTAACCCCTCCATCAGCACTCGCAGGAGTGGAAACGCCGCTCTCTTGTACTACAGTGACTGTTGTGTCTGGAGTGTCTTCTTTCAGTTCATCAGTGGGTACTTCCGTATCTGGGACAAGTTCCAATCCAGGGGACGGTGGTAGCGGCACAGATGTCGGTTGAGCATTTGGACTAGGAGGCAAGGGAATCGCATCCGGTTTGACTTTCTTCGACTTCTCAGCATCTTTTGGTCGGGAGGTCGAAGGCTTACTACTCGCCACAGCTTTGCTTTTATCTCTTATCGTCAGTGGCTTCGTGACCACCTTTCCTACATTCGTGGACACAGCGCGTCCCCACATCGGCTTCGCGCTATGATTATCACTTGCTTTTCGAGCGTCCTTTGCCGCGTTAATGCGAGAAAGCTGCGAGAGCGTAGGATTCGTCACGCCTCTTGCTCTCGTTACGTTTCGTTGTGAAGGTTCTGCATCCGAGCGAGATGATGACTGTGATGATAGGAGGGAGGTGGGATGGCGTGCAGCGGCAGAAGTAGGTCGTGAAGTATCCGTCCTCGAAGGCACGCGGCTCATTGGCTCCCTTCCCTTCGAAGCTGTAGGCTGGAAAGGAGGAGGTTTCGTGGACGAGGTGCTAGCCTTCAAAGGTACATTCCTCCCTGAGTTATCAGCACGAGAAGTAGGCCGTGATGCCTTTGTGCTTTTGAGTTCACTCTCGTCAAGCTCTTGACTGGTACAAGGCGTTTCGACGGGTGGTTGGATGGGAACTCTCCTTGCGCCGCCAACGACGCGTGACTTGCCCTCGTTATTTTTATCCTTCTCAGAAGCTGACACTCTGAGCTCGCTTTGGCTTTTAACCCTTTCTGGCCGAAGAGGACCGCGGTTTACTGGGACGGCAGGTACAGCAAAGGGTGCATCGCGCCGGGTTGCAATCACACTCTTTGGGCGGGGGGCCGGTTCTTGTGAGGAAGACTGCGAAGCTACAGGATGGCTGGAAGACGATGCGAGAACAGGCCGAGATGCAGCCGAAGGCGGTACACCACCTCGCAGAGTATTGGCACGTACGCGAACATACGGCTGAGATGTAGGAGGCGCTTGAACGGTTGGATTGGGCGCTTCCTCCGAAATCACATTCGGTTTCGCAGTTCCATGACCAGGAAAGTCTGTTGCTTTTGTTTTGGCGGTTGGTTTCTTGGCCACTGCGCCAGTTGAGAGCTGTGAAGACGATGCTGATCTTGTATGCCCTTTAGTACGATCGACGACGACGTCGTTTAATGCCACTGTCAGCTGAGTACGAAGTTGCGACTTTGCTTGACTTTTAGATCCCAGCGCTCGACTACTACCTGATGCAGGTACGGAAGGATGATTCTGAACGTCAAGATATTTCCTTATGACCGGCGTCAAGGGGGCGACGAATCTAAGGAAGCAATATCAGTACAGCATATCTTTTACAATCAAACACTAACTCACCCATCCACCCTACTGGGCATAAGCGTTTTATACGCCTCAAAAACCTTCTTGCTTATTTTCCTAACATCCGCGCTCGCATCTTTCGCCGTCGCTCTGATAACTTCCTCAACAAGCCGCGCACGCGACTCTTTCTCCAGATCCGGAGGGTTGAAGCAATTCAGGCATCCCAAGACTGATTCTGCAGCCGCCAAGCGAAGCGAGACTGATTTGCTCCCCAGCGATTCTGCGAGGTACGGCAGAATGGAAGGTAGCTGCGTGCTTTCTATCGTGATGAGAATGCATGACCTTGCACGTGTTGTGAAGACTTTGTTGGCGCGGGTGCAGAGGTTGAGAAGGGTAGGTAGGAAGAGAGGGAGGAGTGGCTCGAAGGATGATCCGAGACCTGTCGCCACTGCACCTATCAGCTCGATCGCGGTACCAGAAAGCCTGGTCCGCTCGGAATTCATAGAGTTGGTGAGAGGACGCGACAGCGACCGTAGGCCTGCGATGAGCTCGGGAGGAAAATCACAAGCGCCATTATTACATAGGGATACAAGGTGAGAGATTCCTTTCGCAATCGTATCCCAAGACTCTTCTGTCTCCTCTAGACATATCTTGCTCCGGACAGACTCTATTTCAGCCGCGAGTGTGGAAGATGATTCACACTGTGGAATTTTATCAGCCCCAGTCACAGCAGCGAAGCAGGGGCTTACCTTGATATTTCGCATAGACCGCAGTTAGCTCGTGGGTGGATTAGAGAAGAGGGAGCTATGAGGGCAAAGTTCAACCTTTTTACTATGATCTGAGTGACTTCTGGAAACAAGTGCACGAGTTTTGCTGCAGGCGCGTTAACGCGCCACACACCACGTGACCGCTCAACTATTCGCATTATTATGTAATTTGCGGTGCTCGCCGACCGCATTGAGACTCAGCTTACTCATTGACTGAGGGCTTCAAGATATTGCTCGTCGTTCGCCAAAGGCCCATCATCAAGGTGAGAAATGCTGCCAATTCTCCAGTCTGTGAAAGCTTGTGTCCTGTAATGTTGCGTGGAGAAGATCCGGGCTTTGAAGTGTGAAAAATGGCACAGTTTCAACTGGATGACATGTATGTCCTTTGGATGACTTATGCTGACCGAACCTCTGCTTTACAGAAATCTCACCACCATGTCTCTCGTACTTCCTGAGGCGCATCAACAATTCCAGGTTTAGCGCTTCCTTTACTCGGTTTCTCATCCGTTCTGACAAATAAACCTCTATTGATCAGCACATTCTCCGTCTCCTTAACACTAATGTTGACGGTAAACGCAAAATCATGTACGCCTTGACCGAGATCAAGGGTGTCGGTCGTCGTTACTCCAACCTTGTCTGCAAAAAGGCCGATGTTGACCTTAACAAGCGGTGCGTTCAGACGACAAAAAGTACACATGGTGCAAAAATATTGAAGAAAGTGACTTTGAATATAGGGCTGGAGACCTGAACTCCGATGAACTGGAACGTATCGTCACCATCATCCAAAACCCCACACAGTTCAAAATCCCCACATGGTTCCTTAACAGACAGAAGGATATCGTTGACGGCAAAAACTCTCAAATATTGTCCAACGGTGTTGACTCTAAACTCCGTGACGATCTCGAGCGATTGAAGAAGATTCGTGCTCACCGTGGTCTGAGACATTTCTGGGGTCTCCGTGTCAGGGGTCAACACACAAAAACGACAGGTATGGGTGTTATACTTTTATCTGGAGTTAGAGCTCACACGAGAATATCAAGGTCGTCGGGGAAAGACTGTTGGTGTGTCGAAGAAGCGTGGTTAGGTGTTCTTATTTTATTTGTTGCATTGGAGACGTATTTCCTGTATGGTGCTTTCACATCTATGACTATAGCAACATGCACGCCATGCCCATGACATTTGCAATACGACGAATGATCAGCGATCATCATCCGCATTGAACTGAAGGCTGTAACTACTGCATTTATTTCTCCTTGATCTATGTTCCGGTGCATTGAAATGACTTGAATATGAGAGGCACAAGGGAGAGCACTAGTCCCGAGCTGTAATGACGCTGAGCCTTATGAGTTGTAGCGTGTGTACACTCCTGAGGTCGATGATCTTCATATTTGCCTTTTTGGGTGTCCGAGTAATGCACGTGAGCATTCTGGAAAGTTCAAGTTCGGAAGACGAGGTTTCATCCGGTCATAGGCTCTCATATAAGTAAAGCTCCACGACGCGTCTCCGGTACAACCTTTCCCTTCAACTAACCATCATGACCACCTGGGCGCAGACAGTCCGACACCCATGGTTCGATCACCCCTCAATGAAACGCAAGCTCGCCCTCGTCGAAGACGCAGACGACGATAACAGTCCCGAGCCAGACTCTTATCATTATCCCTACATCCGCGCAGCTTCGCCACCCAGTACGCCCTCGCGCACAAAACGACAGCGGTGCGCGACGCTCGAACAGGGGTTCGCACATCTTAACCTCAGCGCATACAAGTCCCCGTCTTCCGTCCCCGCACACACCAACGCCCACCCCCCTACTCGCTCCCCACCGCTCTCCCCCTATCTCGCTTCCGCTCACAGCCCCGTCGTTCGGGAAATACCATACACTCACCATGCGCGCTCGCCTTCCGCGATGGAAGACGACTCAGTCGCGCCAGGTGTCGTTCTGCCCACGCTCGTAGAAGAGCCAACCTCGCCAGAGCTAGAGATACCCGAGGTCAGGATGAAATCATCCTCTTGGTACGAACCAGAGAAAGACCGTACGTCCTCCACTTATTTTACCGGGTTTATGCGCCATTCAAGCGCTGTGACTGCAGGCATAGTCGTTACTGACCTTGATGGCTCAGACGATGAAGACGGTCAGGACAGGGGCGCGGAAGCGAGGGGGACGGTCGTTATATCGCCAGCTTTGCTTGATCGTATTAGGGAGAATGCAAAATCGACTGCTTCGCTGAAGGAACTCCCTACTCCTGACCATGATCCTAGCAAAGCGCTCGTACTCTTCAAGCCGCTGCCCTTGACGTCAGGAGAGCAGAAAAAATCTATTCAAAAATCCGAAGAAGCACAGTTATGGGCACCGCCAAACCGTGTCGTCTCGCAGCCTTCCCGTTATGAGGATGATGATGCCATGGACGTAGAATAACGGGGGTACTTACTTATCTTTATATTCATTATCCTTATCAATTTATTTTTATTTCTTGCTCCCGTCCTGCGGTCAACGTGGTTGATTATTGGCATTGTGAATGATGACAGAAAGACATGTCTAATGGTAACGAGACAACAGACATCTAGGAACCGAGACTGATACTAGTGTTTGAAACAACCGACTAAAACAATGGTAAGCAGAAAAAACCCAACAGACCTACAGAAAATAACAACTTTGAAAACACACAACAACAAATTAGAAGTCCCAGATCAGGAAAAAGCAATAGCAGGGGATGGAATGGGGAGGAAAGAAGCGTAGTATATATATAATCAAGTCCCAGAGGAGCTGGGTACATGTCCGCTCCGTGCTCCGTATTGAATCATGTCTTCCGTGTGCCTTTGTAGCTCAGAGCCGGTTGTGCTGGGCACTAAAGGATCGCCATGATACAGGCCTTCAGCATAGTTAACATGTGAATGGTGATGCCGGGCATGTGCGTGAGGGTGGGGGACATGATGCATTTGTACGGGTACGGGAGCATAGGGAGACCGTAAGGTGATGGGAGCAGAGTTAGTAGTGCCTTTAGGGGGGTGAGGATGGTGCTGAGAAAGATGGTTGCGATTGGAGGTAGTCGACTGTGGGTTAGCGGGGAGGGACGAAGACTGAGTGGTGGGAGGCGTGGTAAAGTGGGCTGAGGGCTGTGCTCGAGCATCCGCAAATGAATGGGGAAGCTGAGGAGAGCTCGAAGCGGATACACTTGGGTGGGAGAGGGAATGATAAGGAGCACTCAAAAGGCTGACGGGGTCGACTTCATGTGCCGTGTGAAGTTGTGCATAGGGGTCACGGTTGTGCGAATAATGGGGCTGGAGCGGCGGGTGATGTGGCAGAGAGCTGGCGGCTGGCTCTTGCTGTTGTTGAGAATGAGCGGTCTCAGGGACGGCAGGGGGAGGCATCCTGGTAGCTTCGTCGTCTCTGGCAACATTCATGTCGCTGTCGTTGTCATCGGGGTCCTCGTCGTTGGTGTGCTCTGGGTGTTGCGAGGGACCTTCGCCATCGATGTTCAAAGCTTTTTGGGCCGCTATTTCTTCTGCGGTGAGGAAGCGACCGCCTGGGCCGCGTGGTCTGCGCATAGCATGCTTATGCCTAGACTCGTGCAGATAAGGCTGAAATGGGAGGTATTAGGGGGTAAAGAAGGGCGGATAACAAGACGACGAACCTTTCTCTGCCTGGAGAGCCTGTGTAGCTCCTCGAGTCTGGCGCGCGCTACACGGCGTTTGAGAATGCGAAAATACTGCTTTGCGTTGACATAGAGAGGCTCCTCGTCGATGGAGGAGGGGTCGTCGTGGATGTGGTCTACGGGTGTTGGCTGCTGAGACCTGTCTATGTCTGGGGAGGTGTGTGTGGTTGCGGAGTGGAGGTGGTGGTGGTGGTGGTGGAGAAAGAGGTCGTCTGGGGGAGAGTCGCGGTGAGAGTGTGCGGCGGGGGTGGAGGGGCCAGGGGAGGGATTGCGGGAAGGGTGGGCTGAGTATGAGCGGTAGAAGGACGGGTGGTAGAGGTCATTGTGGCCTTGGCTGTTTTCGTAGCTGCGGGCAAAGTGTAGTTGATGATAAGCGGGAGAGAGCAGCTGATCGACAGGATCGCCCATTGATTGGCTGGCTGGCGGACAGAGTCCAATTCGCTCAACGAGCAAACAACCGTGACTCACCCTCCACGTCACACAACACTCACGTCACATTACTCACACGTTCCCTTACGTAACACACACCTTCCTCTCTTCTCTACCATGGAATCAAAGCTGTACGTCCACCACTCCCTCCTCTCTCTCCTCACACTCACCTTCCAACAGAAAACAGCTCAAGGTCGTCGACCTCAGGGACATCCTCTCAAAGGCTGCAGTCTCAATCCCTGCAAAGGCAAACAAGCAGGACCTCATCAATAAAATTGTCGCTACTCCAGCTGCTGTCCAAGTTTACCAGAAACAGCATCCTTCAGCAACACCAAAAAAGACGCCTTCATCAGCAAAGGCTCCATCGGTGTCCACGTCAAATGATGATTTGGCAAGTCTCTTTCCCGCTCTCATCTCATGCTCTCACTTATTCTGTTGCCTCAAAGTTGGCTCCCCCTGAAGAGTGAGTCGCGGCGCATACACCCAGCCCTTCCTTATTTACCCATTTTCACAGCTTGGACTTTGACGACCCTGGTCTTCCACAAGAAGCTCCTGTCGTGAAACCTTCTCCTACGAAACAGCCTCCTGCATACAAGCTATCTCGTTCAGATGTACCTATGCCTGTATGACACGCGTGTCTTTTCGAGTTTACGCGTCCTCACATTTCATATAGGATGCCCCAGCTGAATCGCCCGCCGAACCTCCATCCTCAGAAACGCCCACTGATGCACAACCCGCTCAAGACACGGTAGTAGACGAAGAGCTCGCCCGACGAAAAGCCAGGGCAGAGCGTTTCGGTATCCCCTTAGTCGAACCTAAAGCTCGTCCACAGAAAGCCAAAAAAGACTCGCCAAAGCAGTCACAAATCAAAGCCTCCGCCGTGAACGACGTGAGTATCTACTACCTCTTGTCATTATTTTTTCGCGTGCTTACGTTTATCAGGACCCTGAGAAACTCCAAAATCGTGCTGCTCGGTTCGGTATTCCCCAGAAAGCCTCCAACGGCTCCACTGGCCAGAAACGGGCTGCACCAGTCGAGGAAGTTGATGCCGAGGAGCTCGAAAGAAGGAAGAAGAGAGCGGAGAGGTTTGGTACTGTAAGTCTATTCACCCTTGTCAGCGGCACTTGTTCTCAAAGTTTTCATCTAGGGTGCCAAAGCATAAATTATCGATATTCCCCTCATATTATTACTACACCATGAACACTATGTGTTGTTGTCTCGTCGTATGTTTTGTAGTGTTTATAATATCATTTCTTGCTGAATGGAGGCATGTTGCGGGTCTCTCGAATTGAGGTTTTTCGTTGTCTGTCAGTGTTTTTACCCTTGAATAGTGTATGTGTGAGCAATAGTATAAATGTCAATGGTCAACATGAAATATTTGGGGTATAGTGGCTATCACGCCAGAAGGCCGAGAGTTCAAATTCTGCTCCCATCCCCAGGAGTGTACTATATTACCTGTGACATATTATGGAAAGTATTATCAAATTCTCTATTCATGTTTCAGAAGAAAATATGGATATAACCTGAAAGACATTATTACAAAACTTCCAGTTTTGTGGGAACATTCATTTGGGGGTGATATCAAGGACTTGTGCACTAGACCCTTCTGCAGACCTTGGTCCCTAACTTGCTAAGAGAGGAGTAAAGGCCCTTTGGGGGGAGGGACTGGAAAGACTTAGAAAAGGACTGGTAAAAAGGTGTGAATTTGTAAGGAGTTGCTTGTAATGTAACTACAGAGTTCCATGCATACAAAAATGTAGCAAGAAGCAAAGGGAATGGAGTTTGTAAGGAGTAGCTCATAATGTAACTACAGACTCCCATGCAAACAAATATCTAGCTAGAGGAAATTGTATGTGAGAAGAGTGTATCATAAGATCTAAATTACAGAGTCTATGAGGAACAATACTGTAGGAAATATGTGGAGGAAACATATGGTGGACTGGAGTCTGGAGCAGGACACACTAATCTGAGATGTTCAAAGATTCAGGAGTTTAGACTTGGGGCTATTGGTTTTTTGGAGGCCAGAATGGCATGGATATGGCAGGGTGATAGCCTTCACACTGCACTTTTGAGTAAAATAATGCCTTGTATTTTTCCCGTGAAATCCTGAATAATATGCGAGTAATGCTTGGTCAATATTTTATTACAGGTAATACCGCATGTTTATTTCAGCATTTTGACTTTGATGCTGATCATTGAGTCAGTCGCTTTCATGATAACTATATCTGTAATCAACTAGATAACTGGTGCTTGAAATACAAGTCCTTTCTGATCTTTAAGTGTGCTTCTCTAAGTTCAACCATCACATTGTCATCAGTCCCACCCGACACAACCACCAATATCCAACTTGCTCGAATCACCTCAACAATAGCCTACCTTTGAATTCATCTTTGAGCTCAATGATCAACGATCATCCAGCATATATTAATCAAAGTGCTTGGTTATGAAAAATATTGCTAGTGTACGTGTTTCAAAGTCCCTGATGGTCAACTCTGGCAGCTCATCAAGATCACTCAGAAATACTTCGCAACAGACGAAATTTGACCGGCCAATATGCAACTTAGAAGTGGCTACGCATGAAACTACACAGGACAACCATTCCAGCATGTCAGTGTTGCCCTCCTCAGACTAAGGGCGTGAGGATGAGCTCGAAGTGGAGCAGGAGGACAAGTTGGAGCAGGTGTTGGACTTGCGAGCAAGGAAAATGTGGGGTTATGCAATGGGATCTCTGGGGCAGGTGTGAATAGCCGTGAGTTGATGTATTGCTGATTGGTGAGTTGAAGTCTGCTCTATTTGGTTGACAATGGGCTGAGTCCTTGTGATGATGGTTCCAGCATCAGCATATCCCAGGCCTAGTGAGTTCTGAATATATATCTGTTGACTCTGGCTTCGAATATTGTTGTTCGTCAGGGCCTCTTTGGACAGTGTGGATGAGTCATTCATCTCCCAACTCAAAAAGCCTTGGATTGATAACCGGTATCAGTATGTGGTTTTTGTTTTCATGTTTCTGAGAACCAGGCTCACTTAGAGGACTCGAAGGTCCAGGAATAGGCTTGTGGTGCCTTCAACCACCTGAGCAACTGAACAAGGCGGTACAAATTATTCTCTGTATCCCCTTGCAAGTGTTTGCTCATTCATGAATTTTAACCAGGATCTTCCAGTCAATGCCGTTTACTGATCAATGGCTGTTTTTGACTTGGCTGTTTGATATCTTGATTTTCCCTGGTTGTTTGCGCACTGGGGCAAGTAGCCCATGACTTTCTTGGGCCTTCCTCCGAGTCTAGGCATGAAGTCTTGGTATTTATTCTCTTGGAGTGTTGGCAATGGGAGAATGGGGGAAAGAATATATATGAGACTACAATTTGACTTATATTATTCTGGTTGAATCTCCTATACTACACTGAGGTCATACTTAATAAGGAAAGAATACTGACAGTGGTATTATTACGTCATTACATGTGCCGATTATTTTGGTATTATCAGAAGTAAGGCTGAAATAATCCGACAGCATTTTTTTCAGCATTTTTTTGGTATTATATGATATTTTCACGGTATAATCCCATTGTATTTTTAGTCCTCAAAGTGCAGTGTCAAGTTGCACAGGTTGATGTTTCCATCCTCTGAGTCAACTTGAGAATTGCAGGTGTGAAATTACAGATATTTATTGATGGGTATCTAGATTAAAGTCTCAAGGCCCCTTGCATATTTTTTTTTTTCAAACATTGGATTCTACACTGTCAGATGTCTTTAGTCTCTACTAGACATCTGACATATGAGCAGCAATAATATCTTCCATAACTACATACATGCTAATTCTACTGTAGTAATTACAATTGTCCGGGTACATAATACATTGAGTCTCTACTGGACCTCTGACATTAATCACAATTGTTTAGATTGAAAGCTCACATATATAAGAAAAATAGAGACATTCTACTGAACTTTCTGGTATACCTAATAGGACTTAAGTATGGCTCTCCCCACTGGTCTTCCTCATCCTATATGGTCAACCCCATTGGTTTCCCCCCCTTCTCATAGTTCCCCCTAATGGTATTTTTTATTCTGTACAGCTTTCCCCACTGATCTTCCCCATTCTGTGTGGTTAATCCTATTGGTTTCCCCTGTCCTCATGGTTCTCTCTATTGGTCTTTCCTATCTTGTATGGTTCTCCCCACTGGTTTTCCCTATTCTATGTGGTTCTCCACATTGGAGGACTTCTCTAACTTGTATGGCTCTCTATACTGGTCTTCCCTATGCTGTATAGTCAACCCCATGAGTTTTTACCCCTCTTTGTGACCCCCCCTAGTTACCTTCCCCATCCTGTATGGTTATCCCTATTGGTCTTCCCTATTTTAAAACTTCCTTACCTTATATGGCTTTCTCCACTGGCCTTCCCTATCTTATGTGGTTCTCTCTACTGGCCCTCCTCATCCTAAGACCCCTCCCCATCCCACATGGCTCCCCCCAATTGTCTTCTCTATCCTACATAGTTAACCCCATTGATTTCCCCCCTCCCCTATGGTTCCCCCCATTGGTTCCCCCCGATATTTTTACCCTATCATTTTAGTTCCTCTTTGCAGTATTTGATACTTTTTATAGTTTTCTCCATTAGTCTTCTTTGTTCTATGTGGTTTCCCCCACTAGTCTACATATATGACTCCCTCTATTTGCCCTTTCAGTGCTATATAATAAATAATTTAGATATTTTTAATATACCCCCTGACATAAAACCCTCACTAATCTATATAAATATATTCACATTTTTTGTAATAAATCCTTTTTGTTGTTTTCATATATATCAAGTTTTGAACAATCATCTCTAACACATTATACCATTTGCATACTATAAACTAACTAATTATTATTATTATGTTATCATTTTATATAACCTTCACAAGCAAATACTTACCCCACCAGTATCTATTTAAATATAGATTTGTTATTCCCCTATTCCCATAGCCCAATATTGCCAATGTGATTAATACCAAAAGAAAAAACTTATTTACAGGGAATAGTAATAAGAGTTAGTGTTATACTCAAGAATTCCCAACCTTCATAACATTAGGAGAGGCCTATGTGTATAACAACAATTAGTGATTCTCAGGAGAATGGTACCTAAATCTTCCACTTTTGGCTCTTCTACAAATAAAGTGTTTAGTTCTGTTGGGCAGGTCTTGTTAACCTCTTGTTGAGATAAGGATAAGTAAGTGATAGCTTAGGCAAGTTCTAGTAAGGCTAGGATTGGCTATAGCATATATTCATATTAAGGTTCTACTCTACTACAGAGGGGTTTATATGGTATAATCCTGGCTATGTAATCCTAAGTAGAAAAGTGGCCTGATAATTTAGCTAGCCAATAATAAATAAAAAAAGAAATAATGAGATAGAAGTAAAAGAATAATAGTTCCATAGTGATAGGAGCTCTAGGTTATATGGTGCAATAAGAAGAACCTTGAAAAATAGCTAAAAATAGACCTGTAAGGGATCAGGTATAAGCCAATAGGAATTCTAGGAAAAATAATAAAGAGTAAGACTGTCACGATCGTATCCATCTGATTCAGCTTTCTTATCTAATCAAGAGATAGAGACTCTTGTTTCACCTTATCTAATCTCTCCCTGATCTAGTCTTATCAAGTATCACGTGATCTATTAGTAATACACATTACCAATCAGCCTCACTACATACACATGTTCGTTACCAATACCCTACGTCATACCTCCCCGTAGCCTCATGCCTTTTCCTATATAACTAGTACAATATCCATGTACATGTTACGATAACACAATTTCCGGACATCTCCTTTCCTTTTTTTTATTCTCCGCTTTAACTTTATACTTTAAATGCCACGCGGCATTTCCCTTTCTCGCGCCGCGTTGCCTTTCTTTTACTTTTAGACTTAACTCTCTCACGCAGTGGAGCTGGCCATACGGGCTAAGCCCTATGACATCATCAGCCACTGCCTTCATCAACTGTATAGTACACATGTACAAACAAACCTGTAGTAGTATATATACCCCAATAGATCCAGGAGACTCCTCAGCGAGTCCTCCTGTTGTATACCAACTAACTCACTGCAGCCCAAGGGGTACCCACTCCCCATCTTCCACTACCTTTATAGTGTGTTCCTGTGTGCGCCAGAGTAACTAACTCTTGGTTGTTACAGTACATACCCTAGTTGTAGATTTACTCTTTTATACTTGCTTGTCAATACTTGTTGAGATTTAAGTCCTACGCTGCTCGGGTCACCGGCATACAGCTAGGGTCTCT